ATAGCGCGTGGCCCTAACAGAATCGGGAATCAGGTGGCAGGCGCGTGGCGCACGCGTGCGCACGTATGCGGGAACAAGGTGTCAGGGGATTGATGCTTAGAGGGAGGCCATGATCAATACCGTGACAATATGTATGCCAGCCTATTTATTGCATTTGCTACAGCCGCTTAATATAGGCTGTTTCTCGACACTAAAGCAGGCCTATAGACGCAGCGTTGAACAGCTTATAGGCTGCGGTGTCAACTATATCAATAAACACAAATTCCTGCTGCTATATAGGCAGGCCAGGTAAACAGCGCTACATCAAGATAATATACAGGCAGGCTTTGCAGCCACTGGCCTTGTTCTATATAGCCCTAAGCGCGTGCTATTGCAGCTGCATGCCAAATTTCAGACACCATCACCCCAACGCCGTCCACCGTCCTCAAATATATCTTTAGCAGCTGAAACACCTTACAATATTGCTAAGCTACAGAAGCAGACAGCCTTAATAAAGCGCTATTTCCACCGGCATATGCATAGCCTATTAAGTAAAGCAGAACAAGCCCTTAGCAGGATTGTTAAGGGGTGTGAAATGGCAATGTCAAACGCTGTGCTGCTTGCAAGCGAACTTGAGACGGCACGCATAGAAAATAAGCGCCAGAAACAAAAGAGGGCAAGGAAGCGCAAGTATGTAGCTAAAGGAGGGGTTCTATTAGGAACAGAAGTGGCCTCTCGTGCACAAGCTGCCCAAATAGAGGCAGAGGAGGCGCCAGCAGCGGCAGCGGCCGAGCGACCGCAGCGTGCAAAACCTAGGTGCAGCATGTGCGAATCAACTGAACACAACGCACGTACGTGCCCTAGACGGCAGGCAACTAGCTAGTAGATAGCTACACTAAATACAATCGTTCGTGGTTGAGCAATTCGCAATATTCGGCGTGGCGGCTTGGTGGGGTGGGCAGGATGCCCGCACGGGCAGCTTGCCCGCAGAACACGTTATACCTAGGTTTTACTATAGCAACGACAACATACCGGAGAGCAATATATTAACCGCGGCGAACAGTGGTCATCCCCTCGGAGGAGATAAGATCGGCGCCCTCGATCTGTGGGAGCTTCTAGCGGACGACTTACACTTCAAGATGGATTACGAGAAGCTCTGTCGAAGCATCCGAAATCGGTGTTGTGAGCGGACTCGATGAAGACGACGCAACATCAAGACTTCGCAACACCAAGACTTCACAACATTTCAGACGAGATCATAGTAAAGCAACGATTCATCTTCCAGCGACAATTGGCCGAACGTCGAATCTTCCAACGACGAATCTTCTAACCACGAATCCTCCCATCCCTACCCTAACCAGCTCCGTTGAAATCTCAGCGGCTTTCCTTGACCCTGTTGATGACACAGATGTTGGAAGTTATGGACAGGTGAGGTGAGTGTAGAGGAATAGCGGCAACGGGATGTCTTTTGGGCTGAGAACAATTCTAAGAGGTAAGTTATGCCTATGGAGCGGATCTTTATAACGAGTTCTAGAGCTTTATGGAATTGTGATTTCAGAGAGAGGCTGATTGGTGCTAATTGGCGGACTGTGGCTGATAAAGGTCCATACCTATGCGGCGAAAGGTTATGTTGTTAAGTAAAAGCGGCAGTAGAAGCAAGCCTGTGATACTACTATTATTACCGTTTTTCATTATGGTCCGTCCCAAGGAGAAAATAATATACATATTGTAAGGCTGTATCCCATATCATTTTAATCACGTTCCCGACAAACCCCGCACTTTCCCAAACAATTATTCCGCAGAACACAATCCACTTCCAATCAAACCCAATCACTTCAAAGACTGTAAATCATTACCTACCACGCTTCGCCGCGTGTCGAGTCGAAATCGCGCTTAATCCGAGTTACATCGGCACGTCTTCTCCCCAATGCTCCAAGCTCCTCTGCCCTCTCCCCATCCTACTTCCGCAAGTCTTCACCGCCTCACAGCCCCCCTCCGGATCAGCGTCCTTGGTGTAACGCATAGCGGGAGTGGCGTTCGGAGTCCGTTGCGGGGGGCGTGTCGCACCGGCGGTGGATCGATAGCGCTGTGATCGCTCTCCCCGGTGCACATCGTATTTCCTATTCCCGATCCTGAACCCTGGATCTACGAATCGGGAATGGGAATGCCATGGAAGTGTGGTTTCGCGGAGAATTTTATTGATTGAGCGGTGAGAGATTGACGAAGGGACGAGGATTATACGTCAGGCGAGCTATGCATGATAATTTCCAGCTCTATGAGTTCCATAGTAATAGCGAATTTCCCAAGCATCTAGAATACCCGAGCGGAAACGAAAGAACGAAGGGATTAGGACTATACTCCAGGCACCACAACCATTGCAGGATCTCGACAATGGCGTCATCGATAGCAGCAATTCCTATGATTCGCACCCACTCCCATTCCCCCAAGCCTAAACATAGCCATCCCAATCTGCTATATAAAATCAACACTCCAATCCTACTCATCTACGCTCCGCTGGTCTCGAACTCCAGCACGCATATCGATCGCCACCCCGAGCCCCACAGGCTGTTTTGCAGCGCGATGGGATGGGATGGGATGTTTCTATGTATTTAGCCATGCGAGGCCTCTTACCGCAGCATTGGAAATTTGTAGGAACTAGACTAGGAGCGAGGCGGGGCAGGGAGCATGGCAACGTGGAAAATCTGCAGATTGAAACGAATTGAAACGAAACAGCTCGGCGCAGCGTGAGGGGGATGAGGTGGCATGCGGCAGCACTGCGGCGAACGGCGCAGCGCGGTGTCGTGAACGCGCGGTGAGGCGCGAATGATGGAGGGTAGAGGCTGTGGCCGGCCAATATCTATGCATCGGGGAGATAGAACGACCGGCGCGGATTGCGGTGAGCGAGAGGGGAGAGCCATTTTTCCAGGGAGTGAGGTTGTGTTACTAGACCCCAAACCTACTCACTCATGTGAAGGTATAGGGACTCGGTGCCATTAATCCGCCACGCAACCGAGGTCGTGAAGACCATCAACAGTCAACAAAGGCATCAACACGACGCGGCCGCGAATGATTGCGCCATGGGCAGTAAATTAGCTAGGCATGAACTTCAGACTCCACGCGTCGGACACGCAAGACTCATCGGGCGGGAGGCTGCGACAACCCCGGACGCCGCCGTGTTTCAACGGGCGGAGAATCCGCCGCAGGGCCCAATGGTTGCGCGCGTGGGCAATCTCGTGGAAACGCGGCTGCGGCGGCGAAGGCTATCGTCAGGAAGAAGGGAAATATGGCACGTCGCAAGGAGGAGAGCGGCTTGAGGGTGTGACTCGAGGCGGTCGCGGGGGAAACACTATATGAAGAAGGGGAGTCGAGGGACTGGACGGGCGGGTGTGGCCCGTGAGCACTGGAAAACGAGGTGGCAATCTCTGCCACGCGGAGGGTGCTCAAGATGTCGTATAAGAGATGCGATATACGGGGCCCGCGCATGGTGTTGAGTATTGGGCCAAGACGCGCGGGTAAAGGAAGGTGTTTGTGAGATAAGCGCTGGTCAGGGCCGAAGAACAGAGCAGCGGCCCGGCAGCCAACCAGCGAGGCAGCGTGTTGGTGACAAGAAAGGAGGGTGCGTTTGCAGCTGGCGCGGCTGGAGCTGGAGGAGGAGAGCCAGTCAGAGGATGCCAGGGAGATGCCAGGGAGATGCCAGTGCAGGACGGTCAGGATTCACGATGTCAGGAAGGCGGGCATGCTGGAGCTGGTCATGCTCTTCCAGCGCAGCCCTGCGGATACAAGCACCCTTGTCGCTGTATCGAGCGCGAACGACACTGGCCATCTCGCTATCATGGACACGCGCACCCCGCTGGGCGTGAAACGGCGGAGCGCTGCAAACTGGGCGTCGGTGCCCGTGTCGTCGCCGCGCTGGGCAGGCGCAGGGCAATCTGCTCGGGCTCGTCGCGGTCATCAAACGCCTTCTGCGTGAAGGGCATCGGGCGCTGCTAGGCCGGCATAGTGAAACGCAGCGGGCGGCGCGGATTGGCCAGCTGCAGGCTGCAGGCGAAAGCATTTATTGGAACAGCCCGCGGTGCGACTGGCTGGCGACACTCAACCACGGCAGCACGGCAGCCGGCGAGCCAGCGCTTGCGAACATGGCCCAGCGCGGCCAAGGAGGGCGAGCAGACGTCAGCCCGAGAGGCCACGATAGCCCCGTGGCCCTATTCTCCTATTGCGCGCGCTTTCGGTGACTCCTCTGGCACCTGTTCGCGCCCCTCAGCACCACTCGGGCCCCCCAAGAGCCATCTCGCCGCTGCGACAGGCTGAAACCGCCGCCCGTGCCCGTCGCCGCCGCCATTGGCCCTTGTTGCGCCCCCGTCGGCGTCTCTAACAGCTCGGCAGAGCCCCGTTTTCCTGCTGAGTCTGCTCGAGACGGGCAGGCCAGCGCGCCCATACCGCCCATACCGCCCACCCATACCGCCCACCCCCCGGCGTGCAGCGAATATCTGAACCCGACACCCTCACGACGCTGCCCTCCTCTGCATCCGCCGCTCCCCACGACCACGAGCAGCAGCCCGCGCCCGCCGACGCAGCTCGCACCGTTGCCGCACCGCCAGGCTGGTCTCTCCGCGCGCTCGGCCACCAGTTTGCTCTGTTGGCTCCGCCGCTCCGTCGCGTTTGGGATCGCTTTAAGAATATCTCTGCCCGCCATTCTCAGACACGCAAAGTGTTGCGCTGCCCGTGCCAGCACCGACAGGACGCCCTTCATCTTGCTCCAACGCTCCTCCAACGCCCCAGCTCCTCCAACGCGCCTCAAACATGACCACCGTCGCTGCCCCCCCGCTCACCGCGCCGCTCGCGCCGCCGCAGATGGACCAGATGGCCAGCCAGCGCACATATGCTGCCATTGCGCCCTTGGCCACCTCGACGCCCAGCAAGTCGAGAACACAGGCCGACAATGTTTCTCCCACCTCCAGCAACGGCTCATCGCACCCGCGAGGAGACGGGAAACGCTCGCCTAACTCGTATGTCCATTGCCATTCACTCTCGTTCTTCTTACCCCCCTCGCAACTCCCACCCTCACCTCTCCACCACTGCCAACATGGCTGCTCACAGATCCAACTGCAGATCAAGAGGGCCGCATGCACCCAAGATCTTCGTGAAGAAAGAGCCCCCCTCCTCCCCCGAACTCCCCATTTCCCGCCACCGACCGCCGCGCTTAACTCTCTCCGGTAATACCACTCTCAACACCTCCGGCGCCCTCACCGCACGCCCATCCGCACCCCTCACCTCCAAGGACAGCGCCGGCCTCGGAATGCACGAAGTCGGCCTGGCCTGTCTCTCCCCCGGGTTCCATACCCAGGACCCCACCATGCGGGAGCAGCTGCAGCGGAGCATTGAGATGCGGGATCGCCAACGACAGATAATCGAGCAACGACAGAAGGGCCAAGGGAAGGGTGGCAACGACAGCGAAGGCCTTCGACAGGACGCCAACCCGTTCCGCAATGGCATGAAGACGCCCACATCCTGGCGGCGAAAGGGCCCTCCACCGGGCCTCTCCATCGCCCCACCGTCCCACAACCAGTTTGCCAACGAACGTGTCATCCAGTCTGCGCCCCTCAACCAATCCTTCACTGGTCTGCGCAACGGCCTGCACCCGCCTTCACGGCAGGTTGCCAACCAACCCTCCAACCTCTCCCACACGTCACATATCCACCATGTTGCCGCCACACAGACGAACAATCGCCTACCACCCATTTCCTCTGTCTTTCCCGGCGAGCCCCTCGGCGAGCCCCGCAACATCTATAACCACAGTCCCGGCCACTCCTCGCACTCGAATATCCAGCCGCCGCTACCATCACCCGGCTTCCCGCACCAGAACAGCCCAGCTCCCACTTCTGGCCGACCCCGCGAGTACAAGTCGGCCGAAGAAGCAGTCCAGTCCATGTCTGGTGGCCGCGAAGACCTTCTTCCGCGGATCGTTCACTATGGCGGCCATCAACCACCCACGCCGCCTTCCCCAATGCCGCCAAAGTCGGCTCACCCAAGCATGCAGCACAGCATGCAGCACGGCCTCGGCATGTCCGGCATGGATCTACACCGCAGCGGTAGCGGGAGGAGAAGAGGGCGTGACGAGTACGAACGAGACATGGGAACACCACCCCTCGGTCGTCAAGAGGCAAAGAGGGGTCCGTTTGGCGAACCACGGGACACACCCGAGGAGAACAGGAGAAAGAAGGAGGAATTCATCAGCCTATGCGCGAGAGCTTGGGACCTTTTCCACTCATGATAAAAGAGCAATAGCGCGGATTGAGCTTTGATACGTTGTTTGATTTTGCTGGGAGCTGGTTCTACCTCCATCTCATTGGTATCCACGCGCGTTTTTGGAGTTATGATTATTACCCCGTCACGTTTTTCTCTTCAATCTATCTCTCAAGTTCCCCATAACTGAAAGATCATCTACGCTTTCTATACTTCTTAACTCGCTTGAGTCTTGGCATGCCTTTTTCTTGCGATTTCACTCCTCCACTTCAGTCCGTCGATTGGCTTGGGATTTCCTTGCCTTCTTCTACTATGGTTTCGCTTTATTGTCTAAAAGCGGCGCACGTAATAGGGCTGTTGATGCCCGAATCGGAATTTGGGTCGGATCATCGTAACTGTCTCGGGACTTTCCTTGGGTTGTGAAATGAGCCATGGTGGTGATGGAACGGGCACGGATGGGTGAAGATGGATGGATGGATGCACGGAATGATTGGGATCGATTTGGATGAACCTTCTACCTACCATTCTTCGGAGGAGCGTGTATATTATCGTGGGTGTGAGAGGGGGTTTGGCGATTAGAACGGTGTGGCTGGAGGGTGGACACAGGAATCGAGGTGCTCTATTGTTCTGACTCACTGCCTTGCATTGCTTCCTTTAATATGTGAGGTCGATGCACTTCTTACCCACACGACGAGTCATCAACAGCCCACGCCAAACGCCAAGCCCCTCGCATTTCTGTCCCGACGTGAAATGAATAGGTCACGCGTTGGAAGGACGGTACCTACTTAGTCAGAGATGAATAGCGTTAGGGCTAGGGATGGCTACTAAATATACTAGAGGGGAGTCGGAGACTCATATACATAGTAAAAACTATACATAGTAAAAACTATAATACTATCAACAGACGTTGAGATAGAGTTAGCACAACCCTAAGATCGCCACCCCATCTGTTTAAGATCTCGATAGTCTACTATATATGTTCCTTGATCGCAGTACTGCGTGGCAATAACTCGTCCAGGAGCCAGGAAGATGTGGTCGAGCGGCAGCCGGGAGAACAGCATCGGCTCGACCTGCTCGCCTGAAACGCCGGCTCAACCTGCGTCTTGGCCGTCTCGTGTCCAAGTTTCCAACCTTTCTGCGCCACGCTACCGACACACCAACCACCAACCACTCCTCTTACACATGCTCTCCTCGGCTCCAGCCACGCTTGGTTGCGCGCGCAGGGATTCCTGGTGCTGCATTGAGATGTCCGCCACACCGCAGGGGGTCGGGGCGGGATGAATGCATCGTGACGTCGCCAGCGCGGAACGAGTGGCAGCTGTGGCAGCATGGGTTGCACAGCCATTTCGTCATGCTGGCCAGCTTTTGGGACGGAGAGGCTGGGGGATGGGTAATAAGAGGACGAGGCGGCCCTTCCATCTTCTTCTGATTCGATTACTTCTCTTTGCGCAAAAGTCACTTCAAAGAGCTATCTACTTTCCGATCTTCAACGTCTTTGCGCTCGGCATTTCGACATTGCCTCTTTTACATACCTCTTCTTTTTGACGCGACGCTTGCGAGTCCTATTGACAATGGGCGAAGGAAAGGATAAGCCGCTCAATGAGTATGTGACCTCCCTTTTGCCGCGGTGCTGCTGGAGTTGGGAGAATTCTGCCTCCTGGTCTATCAATCGCAACCACCTCCTTCATCTCCCCAGTCATCCCATTCCAGCCGGCACTCTACATCACACCACCTCATAACACCCCTCTCCCAACCGCCAACTAACATCCCCAGGCTCCTGACCCCCTCCCTCGTAACCATCAAAGTGGGCCCCAGCGGGACCCCCTACGCCCTGCACGAAGCCCTCCTGACCGCACGCTCGCAATTCTTCGCCAAAACCTTCTCCTCCTCCTCCAACGACAAATCCTACGCCTTGCCCGACGAAGACCCGGAGCCCTTCCAGTCCTTCGTGCACTGGCTCTACTCGGCCCACACCCCGACGCCCACCAAGGAAGCCGACCTGGACGTCCTCTACGACCTGTACCTGCTCGGCTCCAAGCTGCGCGCCCGCGCCCTGCAGACCCAGGTTATGGCGCAGATCAAGCACTGGTACAAGGAGAGCGACACGTACCCCGGCTTGAGGCGGGTGCAGTACGTGTACGCGAACACCGAGGAGGGGAGCAAGATGCGGGAGGTGTTGGTGAGCAGCGTGGCGAGGGGGCTAGTGCTTAGGAGCGACGGGATCCCGCAGCACTGGGATAAGGCGCTGCGGAAGAACGGGATGTTGGCGGTGGATTTGGTGAGGGCGGTGCAGAGCTGGGGTCTGAGTCCGGAGAGGGTGCCGGATGCTAGGGCGGAGGAGCAGGGTGATGTCAAGGATGATGGCGAGGAGGAGGAGGATGAGGATGAGGATGAGGAGAACACCGAGGTGGACGAGGAGGTTGATGGGGAACAGCCTGAGGGAGACGACGTCAAGAAGGAGCAAGATGTTGGATCCGAGGGCGTGAAGGAGAAATTGATGGGGGAGCTGCCGAATGGGTTGGTCAATGGGGTGCACTGAAGTGTGCAGGTGGGAGAGGAGGTGGAGGAGGAGGAGAGCGACAAGAAAGTCGAGACAGCGAATGTGCCAGAGGAAATTTCCCCAACCGTTCAATTTGAAGACGTACCGGATATACAGCTCCACAGTCCGCCAAACATCACCACGAACGAACAGCCTTCATTACGTCCTCTTCCACCAAGGGCAAGCAAACGGCCTAGGCATAGGTCCAGGGGAAGAAAGCCATCGATCCAGTGGAACCTACATTTCTTCCCTTGACCATTTCTGCACTTTCTTCAGGCCGGCGTTCTGGTTCTAAAACACGGGGTGCGTACCGTAATGCTTGGATTTTCTCACCGGTTTTGGCTATTCTTGTTCACCTTGGCTCAAAATGACACTGTATTTGTACGGTATTTCTATGTAGTTACCTATTTAGGAGGCATTTAGGCTTAATTTGCTATCTATTCATTATTCTGTTTTCTACAGCTTCAATCCAGCCTCTCTCGACTTTGACATCTTCTCCCTGAATATTCCCTACCTCAAGAAGTTCTGCGAGGCCGTATGGTTCCTGCGTACGTCTAATTCAGCCCCTCTAGCCTTTGTCATCATCCTCACAAAACCTTCCATCCCAAGAGGTTCTACAAAGCTCTGTTACCCCCGCCAAACCAGTGGACGAGCACCTATGCTTCAAAGGTGCCAGCCCAAACATCAACCGAGATCTGTCTGTCCAATTCAGCCTCTGTCGGCTTTGAAATCCTCCTTTCAAATACCCTCCCCACTCTAGGGAGGCCTCTAAACCCCACTTTGCCCATGTAAAAACAGCACATCGTCACCCACAATCTGAGCTCTGCTAAGAAAACATCATCTGAGTTCCTTAGGTCTGATTCGGCCTCTGCAGACTTCCGCATCCTCCATTTTCCTCCCCGGAAACTCTAAGAAGTGCTTCAGGGCGACATAATCGTTGTCAAAACGAAGAGCAAGTGCGTATAGCATCGGGTGTTAGATCTGGTTGACCGCTAGAGCAATTTACACCCTCTAGATCTTTACACTCGCCTCAAGAATTTTTCATACGTTAAAGGTCTTCACGCAGTGGCAAGCAAGTATGTATTAACACTTCTCAAGTTCACAGATTCCATGTCCCATCGTCCTCCGACGCTCTCGTGGTTTCTGCCGTGATCCGGACGGAGAGAACGGTGTCACGTGCCATATCGTTCGTTGGGCAGGGCAATCACCATTTGATATTCCTAAAAGGGCTGTGCTCTCCGCGCTCCATCCCCGCCTTCGAATCCGCGATCCATCATTACTCTCGTGCTGCAGGTGCTTGCTTCCACGCTTCAAGCCCGAACGCAGCTCGTTAGTCCTCCGCTCCCAATTATATCCCCTTGGACAATCACTGATCCTTCACCTCCCCGCCCACTCCGAATCGATCTCCAGCACTGCTATAAATATTTCCTCCCGCTGGCAGCTACACCTCTACCTCTACCTCTCCTTCCATCTCCTCTACCGCCGCCGACATGGAGCACTCCTAGCCCGCCTCCCTGGACACGGTCCGCGCGCCACGGCCGCCGCTATTGCAATCTACCACCGCCCAGTCAGCGGCATGCCCGCGTATGTCCTAGATCACTAATTGTGACACTGCAGCAGTTAGGGGTGGTTCCAAAAGAAAAGGTTTAGAAAAGTAGACTTTGAATATAAGAAATGGTGGTTCTTACTACCTATATGCTTGCTATAGTAGCAGCAGCTAAGAGTAGTAGTAGTAGATTGGTTGTTGTAGGATGATAGGATTGTGTGAACTGAAGGACCTGGAGTAGAAGTAGAGTAAGGGGTAAGGGGGGAAGGCTACTTATATAACTATAGTAGCCTTAGCTCTGTGCTCTAACCAGTCTGCGAACTATGCGGGGGGGGGGGGGGGAAGGCGCGTACCTGTTTTGCAAGCATTGCCGGACGGATGGCCCGGAAAGCGGAGTTTGAGGGGAGGGCGGTGTTAGCCTGGAATCGGTGTGCGAGGGGGCAGTAGGGGGGTTGGGTGGGTGCGAGGCTGGGGAAGGATGGGGAGGAGGCTGGTGGGGGGGGAGGGAGGGTTGCAGGATGTGCCGAGGGTGGATTTTAAGGGGCTGGATGAAGGGGAGAGCGAGAGTGAGTGGATGAGTGAGTGGGAAAGCGGCGGGCGGCGGGACGTGAGGTCTTGTAGTAGTAGCCGAGGGGATGAGAAAAGCCCTTTGAATGAAAGCTGCACCTGCAGCGATTTGCATGGCGTCTTTAATCGTGATGAAGGAAGAATGCAATAGTATACTCGCTTGCCACTGTTCGAGGTCCTTCGACTTATGATGGATCTTGAAGGCGGATGTAAAGCGAGACGCGGTCGATATTAGGCTTCCTCTTGACTGGCTAGCGCTATAGCGACGGGGCTAATCCTGACAGTGATGTATGGCTTCCAAAAGTAGCACTTACGCAGTGGTGGTCCATGGGTCTAGGTTTTCAAAGCGTTGGACACGATGTAAAGGGAAGCGCAGTGTGTATAAGGCTACCAGGCTACCTCTTGACTTTCGGCTACTCACCAGCCAAGGCACCCCTAACAGCAGTGTATAGCTTCCAAAGTAACACTTTCGCAGTGACAAATCCACGAGTCTAGGTGTTTAAAAGATTACATTATCTGGTACTTCTCCACAGCAGAACAAGCAAAGTAGTCCAGGTTTAGGGAAAAGTTCTATAAGTAGTCATTACCATCCTAGGTACATACTGAAGGCGGATTTACATTCGTAGAATCTATGATAGTAATGAACTGCGGCAAGCTGACCGAATCTAAAATTCTCCCATTGTTTCCAGTTGAATTTTGAAGGAATATTAGCGCGAGGCCAGCTAGGCGTGAGGAGACAACTAGACCATCCGCAAAAATACCCTGTCTTGCTTTTGAAAGTCTAATGACAGCATTTTTGGCTCCTTCGCAAGCACCATCTACACAGCGATCGTCAGCATTCATTTTCGACTTTTCATATCACTTTTATGGAACATACCGCAGTCCAACTGGTCTATCGCAAGACCAAGATGAAAATCAAGGAGCCGATGGTGTAAGTAACGCTGAAAACAACGCTGCAAATTCCTAAGACCTCCAAAAACGTGGTTCGCTTGGTCGTAGTCGAGTCGGTAGCGGTCGAGGCGGTATCGTCGATCGGCGGCATAAGGACTTGCGTATAATAATGATGGAAATTTTCCAGTAGCTCCTTCGTGCCTTAACAATCTATCTCACCAAAACGGCGATAACGGCTGAGGGCAACTTCGAGGATGCCGTCCAGCTTCTCTAAGTACGCTTTCGCTGAGCGGGCTGTGGCGGCACTCTTTTCCCTTTTGAGTTGTGCCACTTGCTGGAGGAGGTCGTCTATTTGGGTAGCCTGGTCCTTCGTTCGCTTGTTCCTTTCGTCGATGCGTGCGGACCTGGCTGGGAGATTATCCAGCATGTGGGCTCTTGTGGTGGGATCATTTGCCATATTCGGACTGGAGTAGATTGGAGTCGTGGATTCTTCTAATTTGTAGTGCGAAGGGACGTCTTGATTGATCATGTTGGGTGGAGGCACAGAGGATGAGATGAGACTACGTGAAAAGAAGAAGAAATTGCATCGTATTCTTTTCAACGGCATTGCCACCCATGGTTCGAAGCAGTGGGGTACTAGATTTGACACGAGCGAATCTCAGCCAACCTGATGGTCATCATGATGAAATAATTCGATTCCTTCTTCTGAAGCTCGGTACAGTAAATGGGACAAGCTGCGTGAATGTACATGCTATGATGCGGTTGCATGGACGAAATGTTGTGGAGACGGGATGAGAGGCGAAGTCGTTTCTCACGTGATCGTTGGAGCTTGCCCGCAATGACCGAATGTTGAACGACCACATCACCAGGCAGCTTCACATCCACACGCCATCACGACTTCTTCCCTCCTCCTGAAACCTACACTCTTGCCACCATAGCCACCAGAAACGCCTCCCACGCTTCTCAATAACGCGATTTCTCTGAAAACATCGAAGCTCCTTCATTATCTTGGATCTACCTGAATGCCCCCAGAGCTGCCTTGAAATAGTGGCTGCACGCATCAACCTCTCCTGCTGAGCTCATCCAGCTCCAAATGTCTCAACCATGGGACTACATCGCAAAGATCGTCTCCCTCGGTGACTCTGGCTGTGGTAAATCCAGCGTAAGTAGCACGGCAATACGCCACTACATCCTATCTCTTGAGACCACTCTAATACGCCTCCAGTTAACAGTCCGCCTCTGTGAAGGCCGCTTTTCTCCCCACCACGACGTCACAATTGGCGTCGAATTCGGCTCTCGCATCGTCTCGGTCGGCCCGCCTGCCTCCCTCGCCCTAGGCATCAACAACCCCTCCGCGAAGCCTTCCTCCCCCTCAGACACAACTCCTACATCAACAAGCAAGCAACAAGAGCAGAAACACATGAAACTGTCGCTCTGGGACACCGCCGGCCAGGAAACCTACAAATCGATAACGCGATCCTACTTCCGCGGCGCATCCGGAGCCCTCCTCGTCTTCGATATCACCCGCCGTGCGACCTTCTCCTCCGTTACAGCATGGCTGCACGACCTGCGGCAGATAGCAGAGGACGGCATCGTGGTGGTGCTGGTGGGGAATAAGAGCGATCTCGCCGGGTCATCTCTGGTCGCGCCGTCGACGGGTTCGCAGGATCCGTCTGCGAGTGGGAAGAACGAGCGGCAGGTGACGATCGAGGAGGCGGAGGAGTGGTGCCAGGCGAATGAGGTCATGCAGTACGTCGAGACATCCGCGAAGTCCGGCGAGGGAGTCGAGCGGGCGTTTTTGGAGGTCGCAGAGCGCATATACCAGAATATCGAGGCGGGGAAGTACGATCTCAATGATCGAAGATCGGGTGTTAAGGGTCCCGGAGCAGGAGGAGGAAACACTGCGAGGACGGTAAATCTAGGCATGAACGATGCGGCTAGAGGGAAGGCCTCCGGGGGAGGGTGCTGCTGAGAGGATGTGTTTGGTGTAAGATAAGGATGCCTAGGCATAAGGCAGTGTACTATACGGGTGCTCTGAGGGCTTTCATGGAGTGTGGTATCCTCACGGCCTGCATCGAGCCGGCGCCGCATTTGCATACAGGATAGTTTGCTATTTCCATCTCATATTTATGATATCTATCTTCTCAAGGCTCTCCCCCAATAACCAATAACTGAGCTGACCGCCAGGAGAAGAGTCATCCCATCTCTCAGCTCTCAATCTCTCCTTAAAACTCCAATGGAAATCGTTTGCGTCAGCTGGCAGCAGTGCAGAATCGACGACACAGCTACACCGACCGCGCACAGCAAGCTGCTTCAAGTCGGCACAGGGTCCCAAAAAGTCAATAACGTAGGAGCAGGCCGTGGCACCGCTTGCATCAATGGTCAGACTGAGCAGGAGTAGTTACTTCACGTGATCTAAGCCTGGTGGCAGAGAGGTTGAGATGGATGGTTCTATGGGAAGGTTCAGAAGGGAGGTTGTGAGTTAGGTGATTGGAATGCTTGCTTGTAAGGGGTCAATAAGGAGAAAGGAAGGCTGCTTGCGTGGGGATTTTAAGTTTTTTAATCGGCCTCTTGGTGTCGCGTTACTCATGAGAGACGTGCCGCGATGGACTCGAGTGAGCTGAAGCGGGTTTACGCCGTCAAAACCAAGATATTTCTGGAAGACTAACCGTGTTAAAACAAGTTCTCGGGATATGCTCCTGCAAGCGAAAGATGTCGAACAATAGAAAAAGGTAAGGAAACTCACGTGCAAGTGACACTATCAAATTAGGCTTGAATAGCTCAAACTCAAAGCTTACTTCAACCGCCGCCTTCAACTATCCATCTCCTATTACCTAGCATATTTACATCACGATCCATCATCATAATACCGCGACTCTTCAACATGCTGAAACTGGAGGCTTCAGGCATGAGCTGTAGGCCAGTTCTTATGTCTGCCGGTGTGAGTTAAAATATGGGTAATCAAAGTCATCTGGGCATATACCGCATGCGACAATTCCCTAACTTATTATGCAGCCTGGTTCGGAGCGGTCGGCATCTGATCAGCCTGGCTGTGCCTCGTATCTGATCTCCAATAGACACGGAGTCGCCCCTAAGGCTGATTCGAGCTATTCTAGGACCGCAAATAATGGAAGTTCCACAGCGATGCAAATATCCTTGAAAGCAGGTACTTTCCTCTCCTTATCATGAGCGATCCGCGCATTAGAGGCTTTCGAGCCTTGCACAGATACGAAGATTTCGCCTGTCCAGAACACCCTTTGACCATGGTGCGCCTCCATATTCTAGGTAATCGTGGTTTGGGTGAGAGACTTGGGGTCTTAATGCAGTATGTGGTCTCCCTTAGCTTTCATTGGTGCCAACATTCTTCTCGAGATATCGTATTGGCCGTGCCACCCTTATTCCCCGTTCGAATCCCGGAATCACATCAAATATATTGCTGCGGAATCTCTTCTTTCGAAATGACGCAATGGTGATCTTGTATCAAAGAAAGAGATTGCTCGCCAGCTTGCTAGCCCCACGAATTGCTCCGCCACAACAGCATACCCAGATGTTTCACCGATCACCATCCACAGCCCACCTCTCGCATAGAATATAGAAAGGCACACACTCACAATATAAACATCCCCTCAAAACAATCACAGAAATCACACACCCGCCTCTACAATAAACCACAAATTCCACGCCACACCACTCATATCACGACTCCTCAAAATGGCCACTCCCAACGACATCTCCACAAGTAGTATTCCCAACGCCGACGCTAACGACATCGGCACAACCGGCGCCACCGGCGATCCCGATCCCATCACGCGTCCCGAGCCGCACAAAACTATCCTTGGGAAAATCGCCCGTTTCTTCCACAACATCGTTCCAGGCAAAGGCGGCTTGAAAAGCTACCTCGCTAGCCGGGGCTGGAAGTCACGAACGCAGCTGAATCTAGAGGATGAACTAAATGGCGGGCCGCCGCCGGAACGGAGGATGGGCTTCTTTGTTATTTGAGGAAAGGTTGGTGGATGGGTGGGGGTCTGATTTACAGCCTTTAAATTGTTACATTCATACTTAGAACTCGAAGCTACCATCTTTTCCCTGCTCAGACTAGCCACCTCGAGCCGGATTCATGGCCTGCTACTTAGGAAACCAACAGTGTCACGGCGCGCAACTTCATGTTCTCACCATATTCGAATCGGCAAAGTTTTCAGCAAAGCGCTTAGGCAGTCATTACAGTACCAGGTCATAATTCTGTGCACACCCGTTCACCACTGCTTAGGGTACCCCCGTAGCTTTTCAAAAACCTGGCAATGTCAAGTTCTTAAAAAGTGTATATTAAACTGCCTTTTGACTAAGTTACAGCTTACTCTATGGGTTGCTCCCCACAGTGGCGTCGAGTGAGCAAGGTTAGAGCCAAGTAGTGATGACTCCGTGTGCTGGCAGCCAGTAACACGTCTCTATTCTCCCTTGTTTTCTCTCCCTTTCTCCTTCTTACGGAGTTGCACTATCTCCCTTACGAAGTTGTGTTGCTGTCCCTTGCTGTCCCTTGCTGTCAAGGGAGTCTCGTTACTCTATATAGTCCCTCGTTACAACCTCAATACAACTTATGCTTTCCTCACTGATCCTTTGCCCTTCCTACGCCAGCTGCCATGTGCTCAGACTTATGACCCAGAACTGTAGGCCACCTCTTGATCGATTCCTCCACTACGGCCTGGGCGACTCCTCGGGCGTGTCTTTAGCCATCTTTCTCAGTATCCTCAGGCAATCCAGATTCTCCCCTAGGAAACGGCGCATATTTATTGATCAAGTAGGTCATGTTCTCGTAGCACCTATGAATGTGTCAGTCATTCGTGAACTGCGGAGCCCGATTCATGCCGGATGCTTACTGTTCCCGAAAGCTCGAGCCATTATGACAAGTAGACTCGTGAAGAGTCATGTAGCAACTGTAGAGCCGGTTGCGGTCATCAAACTGCTCTGCAGGTTCACTGATGCCCATCCTTGCCAAATAGGTGTTCAAATAGACCTTCGAAGTAACCACTTTGTTGAAAGTGCCGCGCCACATAGCGATCTCCATCTCATTATGCGCGTAGTAAACGCTCGCATCGAAGATGTAGATTTCTCCAGTCTCGAAGTCGGTTCCGATATTGCCATCCCAAAGGTCCCCGTGGATCAAACACGGTTTCACGATCCGCCCGTCTGCCTCCAACGGTCCAAGAATCTTTGGGACTACGTGAGTGATCAGACGATGGACCACTTGCTCCAAGTTCTTCTAAGTGCCACATCACTCCCTATTCAATTGCATGGCCCCGTTGAAAAGCTGTATGTAGAAGTCAACTCAGCTCCCGTTCCATGCCGTTTGTTGAGCAAGATTCCCTTGACAAGTATTGATATGGAAGCCGAATTTCCCAGTGGGAGATTCACTTGCTTGATGAAGTTGAACAAGTTTTGTGCACAGCTGGATAGGGTCCGGGTTTTGGCTCGTCATCTCGATGAAATCGCACAGAAAGAAGTACGTGTCAGGGCTCGAGACGTTGAGCTTTCCCCAATCGTGAGGCTTCGGAACAAAGTCTGGTGCTGCTTTGTATAACTCGGTCATGGAATGGAACTCTCCCTCCAACATGGCTTTACCTTGATCATCTTCTGCACACTACAGCCTAGTGAGCCGTATGTCTTGATCTTGATTCATGGAATGGTACCTTGAGGAAAAAAAACTTCGGTTCGCCGTCTGCGAGAGTTGTTTCAATCTTAGCCGTGACTGTCCAAGTAGACGCCCTGTGTCGATTGCAGGAATGAACCTGCGTTCCTGGGGGAAGCTCTGGCGAGGAGTCAGACAATATCTGGTAACAATATACTAAATCCTTACGATCAATGACGATCTGGTCCAGCGGAAAGTCTCCCTTGATATCTTTGCCCCCGCTTTTTCCCGCAGTCACCTGGGGAACTTTGCCCGGCGACTCGGTGGGCGGAGCCCAGTCCTCGACCCTGTTGGTAATAGTCGCCATTGTTCAAGACGTTCCTAGCGTTCAAAGGCTTCTGTGGAGATTGCTGAGGGGAGAGAGCGCCTCTGTTTGTCTTGTAGGTCATGCAACAGATCTGAGTCACGGTGTTCGCCCCCGCTCGAGCCTGAGGGCGGTATCACCTAGGACACTCGGACAACCAGGAGAGGGGGCATCTGAGCGCATGTATTCTCTTACTTACTGCCTTCCTCCCTGCAACATCTCGTTGTATAGTTGGGGATGGCTCGCGGAAAGTCTCACGCGTTCACCGAACTCTTTTTAACTATCTCCGATTATCACAACCAGCACACTTAGGAAATCAGGCGACAGATACAGAAGAGAGACCTTCTGGACGGTCAGAACGACCGGCCCGAAAGCCGCTTCGGGTACCTAATCCGCTCGCAAGTTTGAATATGCTACTAACTAAGGATACGAACTTGATGACGCTGATCTATGGTATATGCTCTACGAGCTTTAGTTGCCAATAAGTTTGAATATCAACACTCTACATCAAGTTTTATGCCATCTCCGGACTCAGGGCTGGGTTGGTTTACTTTCCTTTTAGGTTCAGCTCTTGCGTCGGGGAGAATCGTTCTGGTAACGTCCAATTCCACACTCTTTCTGAATTTCCACACACTAAGACTGACAAAGAAACCATAATGAACCAAGACTACCGTGCCACGGCTTGTGACCATAGTGTAGCAATGCATGCCGTAAGCGGTGATGCTCTCACAGAATTTCCTATAAAGGAAGCGAGATTCAGGAGTATATCGGGACTTAGTACTACTAGGTACGGTTGGGAATTGCACTCAAAAACAGTAAGCCTCCAAAAATGCACGATACAAAAAGCTGTAGCTTACTGACGAAACTCCAAGCTCACGTCAACCCTCCGCTTCATCAACCATCATCAAGGCTCTGTTTCACGCTATGCTGTGGTGACTATGCATCTCTTCTCAACACGTCCAAATTAGACGGGCATCAGGACCACGCCGAGAGCGCCGTGGAATGATTCTCCCTGAATGTCGTGGAGGGTGAGTGAAGGGGTGGGGAAGTCTGCGGAGACCTGTAATACTAGTCAAAAAGTTATGAAAAAGTCTTTGAAAGGAAGTTACTATCTCCACCATCTTTGAAATGTTCATGCTGTGAGGTCTTGTGTCTAGGTAGACGGATATGCCCTGCTCGAGTGCCGCCGTTTGAGAGCTAGATGCCACTGTAGGGGGTAACCCAGCTGATGAGCAGCTAGTCGGTCAAGAGGTGGCCTGATATCGACTGCATATCTCTTTACATTGTCTTCAGCGCTTCAAAAACCTTAATACATGGATATAACACTGCGTAAGTGCCGCATTTGGAAGCTTGACACCACTGTCAGGAGTAGCCCAGCTAATGAGTCGCTGGGCAGTCACGATGAAGCCTGATATCGACTGTGTATTCCTTTACATCGTTTCTAGCGCTTCAATAACCTATACACGTGGATTTTCTACTGCTTAGGTGTTATTTTGGAAGCTATATACTACTGTTAGGGGTGCCCCGGCTGACGAGTCGCCGGGCAGTCACGATGAAGCCTGATATTGACTGCGTATTCCTTTACATTGTATCTAGCGCTTGAAAAACCTAGACACATGGATTTATCACTGCGTAAGTGATATTTTGGAAGCTTTACACAGCTGTTAGGGGTGCCCTGGCTGATAAGTAGCCGGACAGTTAAGAGGTAGCCTGATATCAACTTTATTTCTTTTTATATTATTTCTAGCGCTTTAAAAACCTAAACACGTGGATCTGTTACTGCGTAGGTGTTACTTTGGAAGCTATATACTACTGTCAGGGGTAGCTCAGCTGATGAGTAGCTCGTTAGTTAAGACATAGCCTGATATCGATTGTGGTTCCCCTTACATCGTGTCTAACACTTCAAAAGCCTAGACACACAGATCTACCACTGCGTGAGTGCTACCTTGGAAGCTTTGCACCGCTGTTAGGGGCGCCTCGGTTGATGAGTAGCCGGACAGTCAAGAGGTAGCCTGATATCAACCGTGTCCGACGCTTTGAAAACCTAGACCCATGGATGAATGACGGAGCATAGGGAATGGGGTTGAAATCTGCATGTTGATTCATTGCAGTGGTCATGTGATTTGGCGGTAGGGGCTTCTTGCTGGATGTGCTTTCGGGTTTGGTTTTGTGGCGGGAACGGCTGAACTTTGTTCATTTTTAGAATTTTAAAAACAGTATGAGGAACCACGTGCAGTGGCAGGAAACTGTGCGGATTCCTTTGACGAAACACTGTAAAAGGCTCCACCCAGATTTATGCCTCCTTTTCGAACCCTCTCTATTCACCGCCCCTTGCAATCATGATTCTGTGATTCTCTTTCCAAGGTTCGTAAAATGTGATACACCCTCACTCTAGGCTTGTATACACTTGCCTGGCACCGCCTGAGGTCACCCTGTAGGCTATCAGAAACAGTGAAACGACAGTTTTCACAAGCCTGACCATTCACCAGGCCATGTCTGACGGCGCTGGAGCCCCCCTAGCTGCGCATATAAAAGACCCTCTGGCACTATGATTCTATAAATTCCAATCACATACACCTCTTCTCCTGCCACCACCACCACCCAATCTCCACCACCAAAATGTCACTCCTCTCAATTCCTATCGAGCTCCATCTAGAGGTCGCTAGCTACTGCAAAAATGAGGATCTAGGCCACCTTATCAGAACTCATTCTTTGCTCAATATGCGCCTACAAAATGAGCTTCACAAACGCGCTCTATCGTGGAGGCCCGAGGGCTTGCTGCATGATAAAGATGACGGATATGGTGGTCTAGCTAGACCCCTTGATGAGAATGAGGGGGCGACCCTGGAATACGCACTCGTGTATAAGCGTCATCACCTCGTGGATTACCTCCTCCGCCACAACATCGCTGGAATTGAAGGGAATGGCAACTGGTCAGCATTACAGTGGGCTACTAAATGGGCCCCTTTTGATGTCATGAACAAGCTGTTCGAGTACGCCATTAATGGACCCACACCCTTGAATACAGACCAGGTAACACGAATCCTCGGAATCTATCTGGACCGCGTACCGCAGAAGCTCGATGAACTCCCCGAGCCCAAGTGCGGACACGGAGATTGGTGTGAATGTGGATGGGCTGTGAGCGAGGAAGAGCTCCAAGTGTTCCGGATTTTGCTGCTTCTAGGCGCAGATCCCATGGGCGCATCGGCCATTGTACTCGATCCTGAGTACAACCCACCTACCGCTGTGCCTTTTACCTTCCGCGCCAGGAATGGTGACATTCTGAGGCTCCTTGCTGAAGCCGGGGCTGACATTCACTGGCAACCACCTCAAACTACTACGCAGATTATGCACAGCACCCATGGTAAGCGCCTGACTACTGTGCTATACACAGCCTGTTTTGATCCCGAGTTCCCATCCAGCGTAGTTCTCGAGCTCTTGAAGCGGGGCGCCGACCCCAATTGCCAGGGGCCTGCTATTCCTCATGCCGAACGAGTCTTACCTCTATTCGAGACAATGATACAAATTACTCACCCAAAGAAGTCAGAGCACCTCCTCGACTACGGGGTCGATATCAATACGAGAGAAGAGGGAGGTGAGTACACGGAATGGGACTCGCATGGTAACTTTCCCATACACCAAGGCATAGAACTCACAAAAGACTACGCCGGGACTTGGGCGCGTGTCATCTCCCGTACACCTGACCTCGAGGTCCGCAATTACGACGGGGAGACAGCATTGCAGGCAGCTATCTCATGCGGTTCGCTTCAGTCATGCGGCTCGCTTCGCTATGCACGCCTCCTCATAGAAGCTGGCGCAGACGTAAACGTCCGAGATCAAGACGGCCGGGGTCTCCTCCGCCTGCCCTTCCACATGTCTGAAGCTGACGGCATGAGCGGCCGAAACTACTTCCTCGCCGAGCGCATGCATTTTCTGGCCAATTACGGACTCGAGACTCAGAATCTAGACCTAATCCCTACGGAGGAGGCATTGGAGTACGCCTCGCATTTATGGGATAAATCCTGCGCGTGCTCCGCTTCTGAATCCGGATTCAAGCTTCTCTATCAATTTGAGCTATATTGGAAGGTCCTAATGAACGTTTTGGATGCACTAGAGAGGGTTCCGGATAGAGGAGGTACAGAAGGACGGTGGTTTCGTGATGAATTAGAGAGTGCATATTCCACGAGGAATGCAGTGGCTGAGATGCGGAAGACTAGAGAAAGAATTGGGGAGCGCTATGCGGAGCTACCGTATAGATCGGAGGACGGAGTGGATTCGACACATTGGCTACCGCAGCAATGGGATGCTGAGCGTCAGAAGGCTTGGTGGATTAGGGATGATTAACATAAGAAAGTACAATACTAAGCCATAAATCTGGGCACACGAGTATAGCAGTGCTTGAGTTCGGCTCTTGCCGGTTCAAAACCATTGTCAGGAGCAGCCCAGACATCAGGTAGCCGGCCAGTTAAAAGGTAGCCTAATATCTAGAATACTGCGTAAGCCTTGGTACTGGGTTGGATTAGCGACAAATTTAGTAACTCGGATCCACTACTGCGAGTGCCACTTTGGAAGTTAGACACCCCTGTTAGACCAATAGATTGGCAATGTGTATACTTTCGGAAGGGCGAAGAAAAGAATTCTATCTCGCAGTTCTTTGGGGAGTGTAGTCAGCAGATCTCGTGAAGCATGCGCATTAAACATAGAGTCGTTGTTGGCCATTGCTCTGGAAGAATCAGAGAAAGAACAAAGATGAATAGTCTTGGTTGGAGGAGGGAGAGAAAGCGAGAGAAATTGACAGGGGGAATGCCCCACATATATGCAGGGTGAATCTCACCCAGCTGTTCAAATCACGTGATTTTGCTTCTTGTGCAAGTTCATTGGGCCGTCATTTGTGACCGAGTTCAAGCAGTCGGCGAGCTGCCTTGTGGTGCCACGTAAGAGCCAATAAGCCTTCGCTTCATAGACAGCTACCTCCAGCCTGGTTTCGGGATAAACTGCAGCGACAGTGTTTCTGTAAGCCTTACAACCCGTGGCAGCGTTTACAGCAGTACCAGGCTAGAGTACGGTGCAGGAGCCAAACCTAGACAACACTATTGGCCCGTACCCGCCTTTGCATCGATCGAAAGCCATGGTTGAAGAAACGCACCATCCATGGGCCGTGACAACAGAGCGTAGGTACTTTAGAGTTTGCTGTGTTACACCACATGCAGCTCGCCAACAGAAAGACGGCCCACTGCATTCCTCGAAAATGGAATCTCCCGCCCTATAAAACCCCGTAGTTCTCCAGCCGTTTCCTCGTTCCTACACCGTCCGTAGCGCTCCCCTCCTTCTTCCTTGCACCATGGCCAACAACGCCACCATGGACGGCCCTACTCCAGAAGCTCCTTGTATCCTCTTGGCAATACCTCAAGAGCTCCGTGACAAAATTCTCTTCTTCGCCCTCCCAGAAGCGTACGCGCTCCCCATCTCCTGGGACCCGCGTGACGGCCGCCAAGTCACACCGGTCGGACTGTACCCAAAAGCGCCCTACCCATTCAACGAGACCGAGGAGCACTCCTACCAACCCATCCCCCTCCTCTCCGTCTCTTACCAGATCCGCTCCGAGTCCCTCTCCGTGCTCTCCCACCAAATTCTCCTCGAAGTCTGCACTTTCGAAGCCCTCTCGGCTCTCCTTCCCCTTATTCCAGACGTCGCGCCCCTCCCAACGTTCCCACGAAACTTCCACCTCAACATCTTCTACGGCTTCAGCCTCTGGATCCCAGAGTACGTGGACCCGTTCAAGACGCCAGGCCCGACCAAGACGCGAGGGTACTGCAAAGCCTGGCTGGCGCAGCTCGAGCGACTCCCCGCCAACACCGACACCGTGACACTAGACTTCTCGCACCCGGTCGCCGGGAACGACCAGCGGGAACGCCTTCTAGACTACGACAAGGAACCGCTGGTGCTCGTGCAGCGCGGGTCGGCGAAGCTGTGGCGGAAGACGTGCGGTAAGGTGACGGTGAATGTGATTGGGTGGGGATTGGCTAGAAGGCAGGACTCGACGACTGTGCTGGAACGATCTGTCTATTGCCCTGGTCGGAAAAAAGGAAAGAAGGAGAACAGGAGCTCCGGTGGTTGTACCCAAAACTTTTGGAGCGTACTTTCTGACCTCGAGGTTGAGGAGGAGTATGATGAAGATGAGGATGAGGACTATGAAGAGTCTGACGAGGAGTCTGACTCTGAGCCATACGAGGAGGATTTGGATTCTGGAGGGGAGAGCGACTACACTTCTGACATTGAGGAAGAGGAGTCTGTAGAAGAGGGGTCGAATAGCTTGGCGTCTTATATCACAAGAGGACGAATCTGTCGACGAGCAGTCTAGGACTTGCAAGTCCGAGTCTGAAGATGTGGGAGAAGTGGAAGAGGACATCACTGTCAGGCCAGCTCCTCAAGCAGAGTCTGGATCGACCTCGACCTTTTGGAGTGTTCTTTCTGACCTCGAGCCTGCCTGAGGAGTACAATGCCTCGTCATAGAAATCCGTACACTGGTTTACCGCTGTGTGAGGAGCTTCATAGTGTTTTCAGCATTCCGAATGATGAAAAAGTTCGGCATTTTGGAGAACAAGTAGACTCGCGAGGTTACTCCAGACAGCGTCAGCTAGATGTACGCAAATCGGAAACGTAGCCGCTCCGCTATCACCGGTTTTCATTAGTAAGGAGTGCCACCAATAGCGGCAGGGAAGTGTACGGATATTTATGGCAAGGCATTGTAAGTAAGGGGTGTGTGCGATGATGAAGATTTGCGAGTGGAGTTTTGGAGGGTTATAACGGGTGTTATGCTTCTTTCGTAGTGAATGTCTAGTGCCGCATTAGGCTGTTGACAGCAAAGTCTCTTTCTTCGTCTCCTACTACTTCCTCTACACTTTCGTATATTTCTTCCCTTTTACAAAATAGTGGTACCTAGACAACTTTACAAGACTTCTGAGCGACGCCGCCTGTGAGCCACGACATAGCCAGAAATCAACCGTACCTAGAATACAGTACTTGGTCATAGGTTTAGGCACACGGATATGTCACTGCTGTGGCTCCAATCTTGCTCGCTCGAAACCACTGTCAGGAATACCCTAGCCCACAAATAATACCTCCATCAAAAGGTAGTCTAATTTCCACTGCGCTAGACTTTACATCGTACTTGGAGTTTTAAAAGCCTATCAAGATATCCTAAGCAGTCGCAAGGAGTGCCCAAACTTCTGTCTTGGTCGTACAAAGGTATAGTTCCTCATTCGCTCCCACGAACTATCTTGCGAAAGAGCACTCTGCGAGGTGAGACATCCGACCCTTCCAAAGGCCACTCGTAAAACCCGCTTCGAGGCAGGTCCCACGTCGATTTAAGGACTTCTTTCGAATACGGCATTCCCAGATCTCGTTTCACGTCATGCTCCTTCCATATCCGCTGCAGGTCCTTCTTGCTCTCAGACTCCACCTTCACGCCATCAATAACCATCGTTCGCTTAGAAGAAGCTGTTGCAACGCGTTCCGTAGCGGGTTTCGCTTCCTGGAATTTGAAGAGGAACAGCTTGGAGAGGATTTCGGGTAGGTCTACCAGCTCCCTGTTGAGAGCTACAGACTCCCAGTCCCCCACCTTGATTGTAAAGGTTCGAAGAGCGCAGCCGCGCTTGTGTGTTTGAAGGAAGCGGTATAAGCGGGCGCACCATGTTGGCTCCAAGGACGGCGAGTGGAGGTCACGAACGTTAGTGTAGATTTCAAGGTGTTGGAGTTTTGGGAGTTGATAGAGATCTAGCAAGCCGTGGGGTGGCTTTTGATTGCAGAACTGGTGTTAGAATCGCCTTCGATAAGATATCTATTAGCTGATGAGCGGCTTACCTATGCGGTATGGAGATCTATATCCAACGTCAATGTCTCTAGCTCTGCAAGCGTATTTACTAACCCTAATAGCTGACTCGTCGAAAGCGATCGGGTCTCGTCCTCTCCGACTGAGGATTCTAGACGATGGAATCTAAAGGAGCGAAGAGTTGCTGCATGACGGTAGATCTCCTGCGCCACGTCGCCAAAGTAGACATTCTCGATGTCTAAAACTTCCAGAGCTTCGAGTTGATCAATAAACCTGCTCAAGTGTGTGGCGTATGGATGGTTATGCGCTGAGTGAGGCAACTGAGTTCCACCCTTCCAAACAAATTTGCGCAGCGCGGGCGTTCGGCCGCTCAAGGCATCTAAGAAATGCAAGTAATCCTGACCGTTCCAGCAGTCTTCGAGAGTTAGATGTTTCAAATGTGACCAATCTGCGGCATTTGCCCATATTTCCGGCGCTTCGGTGTCATTTGAAGCGCCCCGGTACCACGACCTATAGTCGGCCATTCGATATCCGACAAGAACAAGTCGGACGAGAGGAGGCAACGTCTCGCCTGGTTGCAAGCGATATGGACCCACAGATTTGGGTACTGGACGCAAGCCCGTATCTCCGCTTTCTCTGAACTCGAAGGCTCGGAGGTTAGGAGACGATTTGAGAATGTCGATGATGTTTTGGGGGTGGGCGTGCCCACAATCCCAGAAGGAAGCCTTCAAGGAGTGGAGGCAAGGCGAATCGAGGAGAGCGTCGACGCTATCACCTCCATGTCCATTGAAAGAGTTGATAATTAGGTGGCAATGAGGCCAGCGGGTGTTGAGTTCTTGTACAATCGGCATTGGTATAAGCCATCGGATGTTCCATCTGTTTACATCAAACATTAGCATCTACTCTTCGGTGCCGGGATTATATGGGCTCTCAACGTAAAAGAGACGAGCTTCTTCACGGTTTGTAAGAGCTTAATGATGAGGCCCTCTAGAAAAGGCGGCTTTATGAATTCCCAGGAACCAACGAGAACATTCTGGACGTGTCTAGCCCGGTCACCGTCATTAGCAAGAAGCTCTTCTAGGAAACGTCTCGCCCTAGTCAGAGATTCGTCGCCGTAGTCAAGCTTGACAGAACGGTAGATCAGTGGTAGGGCTGTATCGCGGTACTGATGATTACATAAGCTCGCCGTACGCACAGCGGCAGGATCTGTAATGAGCAGCTATTCAAAGAGAATATTAGTAGAAGTACATTTATGCTAAGGGCTTGATCCGTACATGTTCGAAAATCAAAGAGACGAGCTCTGGTGGAAGGACGGGGGACGAGTTCAGAGGCATATCGAAGAACAAGCCCGTTTGAGGTATGAAATGAACTAAGCAATGGTCAGAGTTGCAGAGGCATGTTGCCGTCAAAAAGAAACGAACGATAAATGAGAGAGCTCGAGTCTAGATAATACATGGATGAAAGGAGCGGCCAAGGGCGTGAGCGGCGAGGACGGCGGGGCGGAGCGAAGCGACGTTAACTACCAAGTATGCATCTGATTGGTGGTATTATTGTATCCTATCCCTTGTTTTTACCAAATATACCAGACGTTGAGAAAGCTCCATAGCTTCCAAGATATGTATAAATCTACCCATTATGCCCTCAAACGTAACATAGTAAAACGTGTTCTAAAACTCCCTTGCCGCAACCACCCTTACAGATCATGAGCCATAGTATGCACACACTCCGCGTATAGGAACACATTCTCTCTGTAGCTTAGAAGAAATACGCTTGCATTACAGAATTACGAATACTTCCAGCCAGCAAGGTATCTGCGTCGTACTTCGGGGCTTTCCAGCTCAGCCAATTTCTCGTGAAGCTTTTTCACTGCCTCAACCTGCATCGCAATCTGTTCGGACCAATCAATGCCTGGAATGAAGGTCGCTATAGCGTACCATCGATAACTGTCCGGGTTCGAGATTGCCTTGGTCAAGCCTTCTAACCCCATTTTCGTCAGATCCCTACATCCATTCCAGCAGTATGAGAGTCCACCAGGACCGTTTGGGGCGTCGTAGTCGGAGACTTCACAGATCAGCTTAAGGCTCGAAAAAGACATCAAAGAAGCTCGGCGGGTATGACCGTATGGTATACTCACATTTTCCACCACCCTTAGTGTGAAAGAGTTCATGCATGATGACACCAGCTAGCGATCTGCCAAATATGATATCAATCCTATCATAATTGGCGGAGTTGATCTTGCTCATTACGTCCGCCTCGTACTGGGCCCTCGGAAGAGTTTGATCCAAGTCGTCGACCATGAATCGCCTCAGCTTAGAAGGAGTGTCCTGATACTCGATAAGATTGTTCTCTGACTCGGCCAACATATCGGGACAAAGAATGATGTCGTTAGTAGAGACTAGCGTGTATGCCAGCTTTTTGCTATCCTTGCAGTTTTGCCAGTCATCCCAGACCTTTCCGTTTGGCAGCTCGATTGGTTGCGCTCGAACACGATCCCATGGATCCGTCACGCCGAAAGGGCCTTTGACTTGTTCGAGATGCGTATCGCTACAGAATAGAGTTATAGTATCCCCTGGCCTAAACATCTCGATTATCATCTGGTAATGACCTTGAGCAATTCTCAGTTAGGAAAAGTGTGAATGAGGACCCAGGGTGGTACTGACTCTGGACCCATTCCGCCTCTTGTCCCATATTCGAAGCTGATTCACCCCTGAACATTTTTAGTACCCACGCATCTTGCGGCTTCTTGAAACTGGTGTGTGCGTTTTCGGTGAGCTTCCAAAGCTCTAGTATCGCAGTGGCAATATGGGATCTTTGATCAGCTGTACAGCTCACCTCATCAATCGCAATGTAAGAATGAGCAAGTGGTAGGAAATTGAGGCATATAAGAATATTGAGGAGAATGGTCCAGTTTCGGAAGGCCATTGCACATACACAGAAACCGGTATGTACTTTACGATAGTCGACAGAGATTGGAGGTCTTGAATATAGACAGCCTCGGTAGCTCCGTTCACTTCTGAGGGAATTCAGGCACACTTGTAGTTGCAACTAGACCACGTTGCCCTTTCATGATTAATTGTGAAAGTTACTATTCATAGAAAGAATGCTCTTGGATCCCTCTGGATTCTACTATGGTAGTCGTAGAATCCTGGAAGAGTATACGCGAATCGGCTTTGCTCGTTATCCTACGAAACCGCCTCGCTGGACGCATGATCTCTTCAACCAGTGTCAATGATCTATTATTAGCCATTCAAAGGATTATTCCTCACATACAAGCCCTGGAATAATGCACTCCTTATTTGGAGTTCACGCCAGATTGTTGAAGTCTCCAAAGCTTCCTTGCAAGGTTCAACCACTAATCTTTGAACCAGTGGCAACATGATAATGTCGGGCTCTCCCAACGGCTTCTTAGGCTCACGTCTCATGAGTTGAAACATGGCAGTGCTCGTACGGCGAAGAACAAAGATGGCGCGCATCGATGAAATTACCGCACCACTTCCAGAATCCGAGTAGACAAGGAACGTTATTACCAGGACTTAAAACCTTATAGACCAAGCGGCAATTAGAACGATGCTTTAGTAGGATAGAATTCTACGAAATCTCAATCGTGACTTATCTGGCAGGCTCACTCGCCGTTCGCCAGGACGTGGCTGGAGACCGGGAAGCGGCGTAGGGCAACGACGCCGCATTGACGACGCCGTAGGAATACCGCGGCCTTGAAGAAGCTTGCGAGACATGTATGCAATAAGGATCGGGGCCAACCGCGAAGGATTAAAACGACGCCGCAAAACAGATAATACAATATCCCAATGTGCACCCAAGCAATTTCCTTTCCCGTTCAGGAACCTAAGCGGCTCATGCTCCAGCCTGAGCTGTGGCTGTGCTGGGTGAGCGCATCCTGAGCCGAGACTGAGCGCATCTGAGCCGAGATTGAGCAGCTCATTAGAACCCGGTTTTGGGCCCTGGATTCGACAGGGAGGGTTGAGACTGGGGTCCTTACCCTACCTTAGAAGGCCCATTTCCGGGCCCGTAGGCATGCCAGGTCCCAGTTTCAGGGCCCTAATTCTCGAGTAAACTTACCCTTAATAGAAAAAAGCCTAAGGCTGATCTGCGCCACTTTATCTGCCACAATACTTGTATTCTCTACCTACTTATATAAAGCTTCGCCGCTTGCTTAGCCTAAAGGATTAGCCTAGACGGGCTTAGGTACTAAAGTAGTATGTGCCCACTGCCTCACCACAATAATATATACTTCCTAGCGCCCCGGTCCCAGCGCTCGCTTGCACGCCCTAAAAACCCTTACAAACCTATTACTAGCTCCCTATGGCTATATTTGTTATTTACACTGCCTAAAGAGGATAATGGCTGAGACATGCGTTAAAGAAGAGCTCGAAGGAGCAAGTGCGGGGTTCGAGACCTGCCCTACTATCTAACACCCCTCCTGGAAGCTTATTGTCAATTGGTGTGCGCAATCCGAGTTAAGGAACTCCCGGAAATTGCTTTTTTTCTGTTTAGAGATGCACGGTGCATTCTCCGTCCATTGTGAGAGTGGACTGTCCCATTAGCTCTCAACCCCTCTAGCCAGTTAAGTCAGCTTCTGTCGTCCTAAGAGTCTCACATAGCGGATCGCGACATCTCTATTTATTCCACCAGTGGTATTACTAACTGCCTTGCCCTTTTACTTGTATTGGCGAAAGTCGTTACCGAAGATGGGCAGGCAGGAAAAGGACAGCAGAGGAAGAGGCTTAGAATTGCATAGTTTTAAAAGTTTCAACTTTACTAGTAAGAGTCCGGTGACTTATTGAGAAGAGTTAAACCTCGTAATTCTTGAACTCTCCTAGCCAGTAGCCTACATGTTAACACAGCCTCCGGTGTGTCTTCCCAGTGCAAGTATCTTCCAATATTTAAGTCCCTTTGATCCACTATAGGATATCTAGCGCTTCTCGTCTCTGCGGTCTCTACTAGTGATTGAGTTAGATTAGAGTGGAGTGGATTGAAGCTCATATCCACTCTACTCCAGCTCAAACCTCATGGAGCTCCAGAAAAGATTAGCGCTAACCAAAGGAAGTAAGATATATTGCCTAAAAAAAAGTTAGCGCTGTCAAAATCCATGAATTAAGGAACGGAACTGCCTATCAACTTAATGTAGCAAGATCGTGATTTAGGGCCTATATATCATCTGTAGGCTCATCGCCATCCTCGACACCCTGCCACTGCCACGTCAAATTGTATGTCCTCCGCATTCTCCGCTGCCCGTGAGGCTACCAACTGTTCCGCGCGAGCGTTGGTAAGTGTGAGGATCATAGGATAGGTGCGCCAAGATCTTTGGCCAGATCGCGATCGTAGTAGATATCGCCGTTAACGGCCTCTGGGTAACTGCAGCGTCTCGGCGGCAGCGTCGTCTGCCATAGTAATGCTAGAAAGCAGCGATGCGGGTAGCTTCAAAAATCAATGAGGAGCGATGAGAATAAGAATATACAGGACGGATGAGAACTCAGGGGGATTTGGTCGAAAAAGCTGGTGACACGGCTAACAATTTAAGGACTAGAATAGATCTCTACAACTCTGCATCCGATTCGACGCGCCACGTTCCAGCCGCATGCCCTCAGCCTCAACACCACGCCCTTGGCCATATAGCGCATCTAATTTTGGAGCTCCACGGCCCATCGCGGATCCACTCGAATAGCGTCAGAATGTACGCTCCATCCACTCCAACCCAGCTCCACTCCAGTCCAACTCAATCACTGGTCTCTACTGGGCGTATACTCGACATACTCCCCCTTCATTCCTAGGAATAGCGTCCCAGCCCAATACGCAGTTGTCATTACCGCCCTTGCTATGAAATATAGACTTTGTAATTGCAAGCGCTTCGCCCAAACTGGCGGTCGACCACCAAAAGGTTGACACATCCATGGCCATGTTACTGGTATGTAGCCATGGTACATATGGAAGTCGTGGGCCTGGAAGATAGTCTGCAGTTGAATCCAGAGCATCAGACTCAGGAGCCCGTTCCTCCAGGAGGGCACAACAGCCAGGATCGCGAATAAGGCTTTCAACCACAACGGTGTCGAACGCAGCTGTGGAAAGATATCTCTATCGAGGATGGCGCTACAGATGTTTCGCCAAAGAGCATGATCGGCCACCAGATCAACCGTGAGCGGAACTTGAGCATCTTTTTTGAGCCGATTCCATGCTACGCGCTGGCGGGGCGCAAATTTCACGCTCATGCCCGTGGAACCAAGTTTGTCGTAGCTGCCGGATAGGCCTTGGGCGACGTAGACGTGCAGAAAACCTGATAAGCAACTCACGCGTTCGCAGGCGGCGGCACGGTTTTTGGAAGGGTGCCAATGCAAACGCATGCGCCAGCCGCTTGAGGGTGGGATGGCGATGCGAATTGCATTTGGAGAAAGTGGCGATGAGGAAGTGAAGGTGAATGTAGCTGCGTCTGGAAAGGGGAGGTTGAATATTGTGACATTGGTTGTGTTGGTCCGATGCATGGTGACTGATGTGTAGGTTGCTGGACGCGGAGGTGAGATGAGGTTAAGATCAGGTAGTGAGCTTGGCGAAACTCACAGAGATGGTGCCTGAGCCAGCGCCGACGTCTAAGAGCGTCAAATGGGAGTTGGATTCTTTCATAGACTGCAACTTGGGCAGCAAATGGGCAGCGCTGTTTTCGGCAGTCCGCAACTCGTGGAGGATCGCTTGAGCGGGCGGATGGCCTGGCTTCTCGCTTGGAGTCTGGTCTTGCTCCATTTCTTATGTTGGCTTATATTAAATGCAGATAAAGGCGAGGACGTGAATAGCAGTGATGATACTTGTCACGGCACAATAGGAAGCTTACGAGGAACGTGTATATTATGGTGGTTATACGAGGTACCTACAAAGAGGGAGAAGGGAGATGCGGAGGCAGGGCCGCGAAGTGTAGGTGGCGAGCGGCCGGGCCGACGTGCCTTCCGTGGTCATGTGGTAGCACGTGACGGAGGGCTCGTAGGTGCGAGGCCGACGGCGCGTTGCAGCCATGACAATACTGGTGAAGAGAAGACACAGGGAATGCGGTGATGAGGGTGGAAAGAAGAGATTACGCTTTTATCGAAAAGGTGCCGGGCCTCCCCAGCACCAATCCCGTCGCCAGGGAACCCGACGCCCGCTTGCCCCAGCCCCGACAACGCGACACGGGACAGATTTGAGGCCCCTCGTTAATACTTGACAGTTTCTAGTGACGTATATCTGAGACTGCGCCACAGCCGGTGAGTAAGGGTGAGCAAGGGTAAGCAGACCTGAGGAGAGCTGAGCTGAAGCTGAGCCGGGCCTGAGCCGAACTCAGCCACTGCGGCATACGGTCACGTGAGCAGATGCGTTAGGCAGGGTGCAGATTAGGGTGTTGAAACAGGAGTTTCAGGAGGCGGATATGCACTTAAATAAAGCATAGGCTAGCATACGCTGCCAATCCTAAGATCCTGCTTCGAAAAAGACGACTATGCTTGTTTAAGAGTTTTTCAACAGAATCCTGAAAGAACGGAGATATAAAGGATAGTCTCAGGATGCGTACTAGGTTGGAATCAATGGTAGATTTATGTCTCTCTTCAACATCCATTTCAAGATGTGGACGTCCATATTCGTTCTCGGATTATTTCTTCGTTCTAGCGAAGCTCGCTTTCTGCGAATCGGTGGCGATGCACCAGTTTTCAAGAGTTTGGTGATTCGTGCACCTCAAATGGGCGTATCTTTCAACGGGCTTCCAAGCGGAAGTGGTACCGGCTTAGTTTCCACACCTACCTCATCATCTACTACTTCTTCCTCGGTTTACTCAGATGACGTATCCTCGGACTCAATGTTACCTGGTTATTCGACAGCCAGTGCTATCTCATTCTCCTCGACAGTAAGCATGTTGAGTGATTCATCCAGAACGGACATATACACTTCGAACTTGCAAAGCCTCTCTTCCCCAACATCTCAAAGCGAGTTTCAACCACAGTCGTTTTCTTCGTCGTCGTTTTCTTCGTCGTCGTTTTCAAGACAATTCGCTACCACCGATTCCACAACAGCGCCCACAGCTCCACTACCATCACCAACTCTTACACCTTCCACAAGCCAGTTGCATTTCGACAGTCCCATAGTCGTCACCACCGTAATCAACAGCCAGACAAATGTCCTAATAGTCCCATCTGGCACAGATCAGGGGCCCCCCATCACCGTCACCGAGACCGCAACTCTAGACCCCGAGACCCCGGAAGCTACATCAAGCGCCGCAGCCGTGGCCAGCGCTATATCAAGCAGCCATGATATCCTCAACCAATATTTCTCCAACGTGATGGACCATGGGCAAGGCCAAGCCGCCGACGACTCATTCGAGAGCACCGCTACGATCCTAGGTGTGCTTTACGCTAAACTTTCGAAATCCTCAAAATCCGGAGGTGGTGGTGGCGGCGGCGGCGGTTGCAAAAAGACTCTTTTCAGCCTTGTTGGATGCGCTTTAAGCACTGTTAAAAAAGCGAGTTCGGCTGTCAAGGCTGGCGTGAAGGCCGGTCTGGATGTGGCGACAAACCAGGAGAAGATAACCCGGATTATCGAGGACGAGGCGGTCAGAGCCGGCCTGGATGTTGGTAGTAAAGGTATTGATGCTATTGCTGCCGCTGTGGCGGAAGCAGCACAAAGCCTGAAGGACGGACCGGAAGATGAGCCCACGCCATCAGAGAGCCCGCAGTCGACGTCTGAGCCTACAGAAAGCCGTGACAGCTCGATATCATCGACAACGACGCCTTCTTCCACATCTTCGTCGTTCGCATCGTCTTCTTCAAGCTCGTCCAGCTCGTCCGGTTCTTCTTCTTCCTCCTCTTCTTCCAGTTCATTCCACGATTTCTGCGACGTTCTAGATACGAGTATGCCACCTTGTCCTACCTTTACTGGCATCAACAAAAACACCAACAATGAGCCAAGCGTGCTATTCGAACTCACCAGCCTGACGTGGATGACTGGCGGACCGACACCAATGTCAACCGTATCCTTGGACCTATCAGCTCCATCAGCGTCCTCAATGATATCCACCTTTTCAGTAGCATCATCGCCGACATATTCGGCTTCAAGCTCATACGTCTCTTCAGCTACGCCTGAGTCGCCTAGTTCTTCCAGATCCAGTAACGATGTTCAAGGCTCGGGTACTTTATCATCAGCATCGTTTCCACAGTCTTCTTCATCATCCTCCTTTGCCTCCTCCTCTGCCTTCTCCCAGCCCAACACACCCTCGACAAGCACACCCGCCCTCCCCTCCAGCACATTGGCAGTGCAGAACTCACCCACATCAATTCTCAATCCCATCACCTCGCCCCCGTCTACCTTCAACACTGTGACCATAGCGCCTTCAGCAGCATCGTCCAGCTTGTCAATGCATTGCGAGACCTAGTAAGCACTCTTCTCTTTTCAAGTACACCCCTTTCCCATGGACTGCTTCTTCTGTCTCTTCCAGTGCAACATCTTCTGAACATCACCTCTTTCTGAGTTCTCCTCAGATACATTCCGTCTCTGGTCGTATACTCCCTTCTTTTCGAGCATACTCTGTTCCTTCTCACATCCCATCATACCAGTCCCAGTTCGCTAACGCGCTCATCAGCATCGTGGACCAAAACCAGTGCATCTGCACAGCCGCGGACGGATCCGTTTTCGTAGACGATCGAGACAAGTGCTAGGCAAAGTGGAAATACTCGTATCTTTATCCCTTAGCTATCCACGGCCAACGATAGAATCAAATCACACGCCTCTTGACTGTCCATAGGCTTAATATCCGCTCGTGTGACCTTGCCCGCTGGCTAGCTACAACACCAGGCCATACGCCTGGGCACACGGATTCATCACTGCTCGGCTCCAATCTTGCTCACTTGACACCACTGCGAGCGGTGCCCCGGCTCGCAGGTAGTCGGTCAGCTAAAAGGCAGCCATATGTCTACTGCATCGACCTTGACACCCGATTTCGAATCTTAAAAGCTTCTCGAGGCACCCCAAGCAGTGGCAAACCCGTGTATGTACACAAACTTATGACAGGTCTCTGTAAACAAGCATTTCCCAAGCACTTGAGAGCCGTCGAGCCGATATGCCGTGATAGTGACGTCCCTATATCCACAAAGTAATCAACCACATCACAAACCAAGCATCCGAACATACCTCACCGAAAAGATATCATCAATAGAACACAAACACACCTACAGCCAACTATATGCAGCCCTCCCCCCTCCGTTTACCAAACAAAATTACGTTTAACAAGTTCGTGCGTATACACTTCTCCATCACAACACTGTCTCCTTCACGCACGCAAAAAGGACCGTTCCAAATGCTCGCTTTCCATCGCTTCGCTAGCTCGCTTCTCACAAAAGAAAGAGACGCAAAGAACGACATGATACGAAAGCCATCCGTGCAAGAACTGTCCTTCACGAGCTATGGAAATAAGAAGAAAAAAAGAAGGGCAAGGTATGCTACAACAAATTTCTCCGCAAAACAACAACCCGCCAAAAACACGTCATTAAAAATCCCCCCCCCCTTCCCACAGCCCCTCTCTCATTTTTCATTGACCCGAGGTCAGATAATCCGCCGCCTGTACCGCTTGTGTCAGTGACTGCTTCTCATAAAAATAAGACGGCGGTTCAGCCCGCGAGGAATTTTGCGTACCATATTGATGTCATAGTCAAACTTCTCAAGCGCCCCTAGTGCTTGCTCTCTGGGATACCCCATACCCGTCAGCTTCTTCAAGATAGGATCGTCGTGTTCAGTACCTGCGCTGAGCGCCCGCCCAAGCTGCGGCATCTGAGGCTGCTTGGACTGCGCCCCAGAACTCGAAGCGTCCTCCGCGCCGACACCAAACGTGTCAAACACGGACTTGCCCGGTTGCTCCCCTTGCCCGAGCGCCTTCTCGTTCGGTGGCGCGTCGAGGCTCGAAAAGATGGCGTCCCAGTCCTGGCTTTGCTTGGCCTGGGGTTGCTGAGGCGCTTGTTGGGATTGGGATAGAGATTGCGATCCAGCTTGCCCAAAGCTCTGCGAGAGGTGCTCGAAGTCGCTGAAGCTGTTCTCGCCGCTGTGGCCCGGCTTACCAGTGGGCGTTTGTTGCGATTGCATCGTGTTAGACTTGGACGCCGCAGGGGAGTCGAAGACGGGATTGAACTCGTCCAGGCCGTCGCGGTGGTGCGAGCCGAGCATGAAGTCATCGTCCGTCTTGTCGTCCGCCTCTTTCGCTTCGGACAGGTCGTCGAAGCCGGAATCAAAGTCATCGTTGAAAGAGGGCTTCGAGATCTGGGGAGGGTGGGCGATGGGTGACGGGCCCTTGTTGTCACCACCACTTGGGTAAGAGGTGGCAGAGTGGTAAGCATCGGATGGGACGGTTGAGACTGGTGTGTCAGCTGGGGGTGGCGATGCAGAGAACGCAGTTGTTGGTGCAGATGAGGTCGCCTTAGAGGTAGAACCGCCACCGAAAAGCGCGCCTCCTTGCCCACCGGCTGAAGGATTACTAAAGCTCTTCTCCGGAGACTGCGAAGGCTGTGGTGGAGAGGAAATAGGGTCGGTACGGGAAGGAAGAAGACCACCAAACTCAGGCGGGAATTGGTTCGAATCTCTTGTCCCGCTTCTCGACGGAGCCATAGTCTGGTCGTACGTTGGGGGAGACTTCTGGGCGCCAGGGGTAGGTAGGGTCGCTGTGGAGTCTTGAGTGATAGCTGACGGCCTAGTCGACCCGAAAAAGTCGTTGGCTGCATCAGCCCCAGTCGCGCTTGTGCTTGGTCTGGACTGAGTAGATCCTTGATTTTGGTTTTGGCGATTTTGCTGGGGTGACGCAGACGTAAAGTTATCCGCAAACCCTGTCTCGCTATTGCTATCGCTCTCATCATCATGGCCAATGTCTTCGATGGGTGGGAATTCTTGATTGAACTTGTTCGCAGAATCCACAGATCCGTTGATCGATGAACCAGTGTGCTGCTTCTCTTGAAACTGACGTGATCCTCCTCCAAAGCCGGCGAACGCGGCATCAAAAGCGTCTTTTGCAGCGGCAGGGCCCTTAGGTTGTTCCTTATTCGGGGCGAATGGATCGGAACGGCTTTGCTGCAGGTTGCTATTCTTGCTTCGGTCACTAAACGAGCTCTCGCCTGTTGGCTCTGCTTGAAGAGGAGAGTTCGTGTCGCCGGGGAAAGCCCCAGGGATATCTCTCTGCACTGAGGGCTGCCCAAAGCTTTGGTATGTGTCCTTGCGTTCTTCCGGCTTTCCACCCGACCTGGCACCCTCACTCGTGGCGCTTGCAGCAGGGGAGGCGGTGAAGTTGTGGTCTTGGAACAGAGATTGCCCGACTGATCCATAGGTGTTCGTCTCCGTCTTAGATGTGTCTGTCCTCTCAAGGCCCTTCTCTTGCACAGGGGTTGCCGAAGGGGACCCGCTTGCGATAGTTGGTGTTTCGTTGCCAGCCGGACCACCATATCTGCTCGCAGGAGCTGAAACCTTGACCGAGGAACTAAACGAATCAGACCTCGGCACTCCGTCACGGAGAGGCAAAAAACTAGACGCAAATTGGCGAGACTCTGGCGGTGCAGGTGGCTCGCCAGCCCGTGGCGATTCCTGGTAGGCGGAAAGTGGTGGCGAAGTGGAGGGCGTTGGTACATCGGGGCCTTCTGAGGAACGCACAGACTGCCCAGAAGGCGCAGAGAACGTCGGAACGTTGCTTTGGCTATCCTGACGGAAAGACGTTTGTGGCGGAGCAGCAATCGAGGGAGAGGCAGCAAAGGAGGGACCGAAGACATTGTCGAAGTCTTTGCTGGGTTTCGATTGTGTGCGAGTGAAGCCAGATGGAGACATTGCGTTTTCAGTAGGCTGGGGAGGCTTCCTGAAGAACGGATTGGTGTTCTGGCTCGCTACAGATGCAGCTGGGCTGACAACGTTGGATCGTTGCTCCTGGGGCGCGGGTTGAGGACTTCGGTAAGCTTCCTGTGCAGCCTTCGTCAGGTCGTTCATCTCAGACTTGACCTTATCCCGCTCGCCCTCATTGGTAGACAATTGCTTCTTGTTGATCGACACCATTCCCTTCTGCTGCCGCGCATCGGTTCGCATCTTCTCAAGCTGAGGTCGAAGCTGGCTGATTTCACCATTGACTTGCCGGATTCTCTCCTTGAGATTAGCGTTTTCACGCTGATCAGCGTCTAAAGCAGTTGCGACCTGGCGGTGCTGGTTCTGCAAGTCCTGGTAGGTTCCCTCGATCATAGCATAATCCTGCTGCAATTTTCGTGTTTCGTTGCGAGAGGCAGTCAGACGTTCTTCCAATGCTTTGACGGCCTTGACTTCCTGTTCATACTGGCTCCTGAATTGCGAAAGGCGGATTTCCAGGTCACGTTTCTGAGTGCTTGCGCTGTTGATGTCGTTCTCGGTCGTGGTCTTCTTGCTTTGAACTTCCTGCATTTGAGTCCTCAGGGTTCCGATTTGGTTCGACATGTTCGCGAGCTCTGTGGTCTCTTGCGTCAACTTCTTACTAATTTCTGGGTCATTGTCGCCAAGCAAATCATCCATTGCTGATGGTTGGTGCGATTGATTGCCTCGAGGTTGGGCCAAGTTCGAGCTCCCCGATGCACCTGTCGAGTGGGTCGCGAGGGACTGCCCAAACGAGGAAGACGGAATGAATGGCTTGAACGTCGACGCAGGATTCCGGGGCGAAGGCTGGAAAGTTTGAGGTGATGATGGAGAAGTCGGCTTGCTGCCAAACGGATCCGCCTCGAATGGCTTGTTAAAAGTATTAGAACCGCCAGTTGATTGCTGGGTTTGGATCGGAGGCGGAGATGTGAACGCATCAAGGCCAAAGAGGTCCTCGGCAGCGGACTTTGGCAGATTAGAAGAGTGAGCAGCATTATCAAAAGCGGGCGCCGTCGGTTGACCCGGAGGTCGAATTTGGTTGCGCATACTAGGAGGTACCAAGTTAGCGGGCAAAGCTGAGGGCAAGCTGATTCCGGGCTTCCTTTGTTGTCGGATGAGGTACATGGCCACTGCAAACTCGTCCCTATTCAGCTGCCCCTCGGAGTTGATGTCTGCAAGATCCCAAATAGCGGCTAGGATGTCCTCTGGCAGTCCGGAATCGCTGAAGAACTGCACTGCCTGCTCTCCAGTTATGAACCCTCGTCCAACAGTATCGACCTTGTTGAACAAATTGTCATAGGATGCCTTTTCTTGAATAGATATTAACCAATCCCCACCCGTGGAATGTACAGATTGAGGCGGAGTACCGTAGGGAGCTCCGGTCATCGGGCTTTGATTACGTTGCTGCCGTGCTCCACTGAATTGGCGTGGAATGCCTGCTAGAGATTCATCAGGTCGCGGTCGGCCTGGCGGTGGGGGAGGAATCGTTGGACCTCTTCGAGAGGCAGCTTCGTAAAGGCCAGCCGGAAGATTCGTCGGCAGTGCCTTGAGAGCACCTGTTTTATACGACGCCAGCAAATGCATGGCGATGATGAATTCAGTTACCCCAAGCGCGCCGCGTTGCTCCGTGTCCGCCAGGTTCCATATACGGCCTAGAATCTCGTTTGGTAGTTTAGCCTTCTCGAAGATGTTTTTGGCCGTCTCGCCTGTGGTCCCGTAATTAGTATGGGCAATGGGAAACCAAATGTGTGTATCATATACCTGGAAGGATTCCGCCTTGGGCGCCCGACTGCTCGAATAACGCGGCATATTCGGCAGCCTTCACTGGTGGAAGGGGAGGTACACGGATAGGGCCTCCGCTCATCTGAGGTTGGATGCCAGCTGGAGGCGCAGGGAAAGCTGCTGGGGGATTCGGTAGCGTAGGGAGGGTCAAGCCATCGAACTTGGGTAGAGGTCCAGCTGTTTTTTATTAGGCAAGGTCAATTTTCAGAGGGCCATACTCACGTCTGAAAGCGAGCTCTGGTGTTGGGTCCCTCCCAGCCTGGTAATGGCCGATCAAGCGAAGGACCATGCAGAAGCCCGAGGAAGTCAATAGACCTCGATTCTCAGTGTCTGCTATCTGCCATATCTCCCCCAGGATGGCCGGCGCAAGCTTCGTGCGCTCGAAGAACTTGACGGCGACCTCGCCGGTGACAACACCCAGCTTCTCGGTATCAGCTTGGGCAAACAGCTGCTTGAAGACTCGGGTCTCTTCCGGGGTGAGGTTGAGGATCGGATGGTCTGGAAGCAGGCGCATAGCGGTTAGCGGGAGCGTCATGGAGCGATGCAGCAGCGGAATACGCACTCAGGTCTGATCCGGGGGTGTCGGACATGATTGTGGTGGGCAGGCTGCGGTACTCGCCCGAGACGTCGAAGCATGCAATGGGGCTGGAGCTTGGCCAATGCTGTGTAATGGACGTGGAGGAGCTGGCGGGCGGCGGACGGCGGCAAGCTAGGAGACGGCTGCCAGCACTCTGATATCGGCCGCGGTTTGGAGAATCGGATAGAGGAGGATGAGCAGCGCAGCGGCTGTCGTCAAAATGAGGGAGGTCGGGACAGCTGGAGGTGGAGAGAGGAGTGTGCTTCATCACGCAGCAAATGACACTAGGCGCTGGGCCAATCACCGCCGGCCACCTCTTTTCTCAGCGCACGTGATGGGACTGCGTCGGATGGGCGATGCATTGCGTTTCACAGCTCCAATCGTAGCCGCAGCGGCATCTGTCATGCCCATCACGCCGTCGAATGCGGAGACGCCATGATTGCCATCCCCCGTGGGGTGCAGCGACCACATCTGGATCCTTGTTGACGCAGTGCGCCGTTCGGATGCAATAGGAACCTTTCGCATTTGTAGTCCTAGGAGTATCCATGAACCCTCCCTTCGACATGGGAGGCCGGGACGACGCTGGCGAGTATCAAGAGCTGCAGAAGTAATTGCACGTGAAGACGTGGCAGTAAAGTTACTCAGCAGCCAGAGATGAGTGCTCTATAAGGTCTGGTATAATACATGATTGGGTTCGTTTCGTGCCTAGAAAACCAAAATGTACCTTGGTAAGAGGAGTCTGGGGAAGACCAGCCAGTAGCAGTACAAGAAGAACCTCCCGATCCCGCCCCAGACGCCTTTTCCAGCCCCCATGCAGTGGAGAGTCGAACCAAACTCTGCCTTCATACTGTACATTCATCACCGCCTCCGGTGCTGATCGATATCATCTCTCTGTTCCTGAGCCATAGCCAGTCCTGGCGTCCCATCCTCTGACTTCTTGCCCCACGCCCGCCCCAGTAGCCAATCTGTGACACTGATCACTCTCGTAGTCTTGTCCCAGCTTCCACCCTCTTCCGCATGCTCAATAGTATGGCTCGATATCCTGCCTTCCTCGTCAAACTCGAATATAAAGAGCCCGCAAAACTCCTCGTCTTTTCGCGCAGCGCCACCTAGAAACTCTGTAATCTTGTCAACCTGCTCACTAGCTCCGATCCCACGATACAATCCCCCGGTTTGCGCGCCCTTACTTTTTCCACATGTCTTCCAGCGCACAATTAGCTTCTCGTGGCGCATATCTGCTTCTGTGAATGTGCCGCCATTTTGGACCATCCGCTCAGAGAGGATTATGAGCTTGACATTTCCTATTATAGGAACTCTGCCCCATGCCACTGGCGCTGTCCATAGCGCAGTTGTGTATGGAATCTTCCCCCTCACAGTGGGTAGGTGTGGATGGGTGGACGGAAATAGATGGAGTGATATCTGCGGGGAGAGTATTTCTTGCGGAAGCGGAGAGGCGAGGAGAGTGGGAAGGCGATCGTGTAGAACTCGTATAGCTTTATAAATCGGTTAGCATAAGTCCGTCAAAAGCTATGCGGCAAATGTTTTACTTTTCCCAAGCTTCAACGTCCGCTCGTCTGGAGGGGTATGATCATTGCCACCAAGATCTGGGGGGCCGAAGCGAGGGGAATTGCTCGTGAACCATGTCTTCGACTCGGAAGTATCTTTGATGTTGGCGAGAGTCCTCTGGGGCTGTCTCAGTGGTGTGAGTGCCCAGTTCCTCACGCTGATTCGGTGCGCGCGTGTTCTGGTTGATGATGAGAGCCTCCGCATCAGCCCGGCGGTCATCTGTAAGCCTTCTCAATCATGAATATGCAGAGAGTGTAAGTGACTATGTTGGTAGAAGCTGTAGATGACGTTTCTGAGGATTGTGCATGCAGCTTGTCGGTTTGTTGGTTTCGAAAAACAAACGCCGCGACTCTTGGCATCAAAGGCCCGCGCCGTCTGAGGTGGCCTGGAAGACTGGCCGATTGTTCAAGCCACTGGAACCATGCCTGAACCCAAATTGTGAAAGTTCATTGAGGCGCTTCAGACAGCGGCACAAAAGCATACACATTCATCAAGCACGGCCGCGGCTTCAATCCATGGATGACGTTGTCCGCCAAGGCATTTATTAAAATACATCATCAACTATAGAACGTCTCCTAGACTACGTCTTCAGGGATAACCCATAACACGTCTTTCTAGGAAGTCAGACACGAACCGTCCTGACGCTCCTGGAAACTGTTTATTTGCAAAAATCGAAAACACAGACTACAATCCTAAGTCTGAGACCGAAGACACTCCACGAGCAATGCAGACCGACAGCATTCCTTCAAACGGAAAGCGCATTATGTTCACTGGAGGGTCAGGTAAAGCTGGGAGACACGTCATCCCGGAACTGATCAAACGAGGCTATGAAATCCTCAACCTGGATCTTGTTCCCTTCGAAGATCCTAAAGTCTTCACTCTGAAGACAGATCTTACAGACAGTGGTCAAGTTTTCAATGCTCTCACTACGCATTTTAACTTCGCTGGCTACGAGGGCCCAACTCCTCCATGCCCGCCTGATGCTGTCATTCACTTTGCAGCTTATGCCCGGAATATGCTAGTCCCGGACAATGAATGGTAAATTTCAGGATATATCAACTGAAAGACTCCGCTAATGCAACGCCCCAGCTTCAAGGGAAATGTAGTTTCTACTTACAACGTAATCGAAGCTGCATGCAAGCTAGGCGTTAAAAAGATCATCATCGCTAGCAGTGAGACCACTTACGAAGTATGCTTTGGTCAGGGTGACCTCGAATACCAGTCTTTCCCCCTGGACGAAGACTACATTGACGTCAACCCAATGGACACATACGCCATCTCCAAGCTCTGCGGTGAACGAACCGCGAGAGGATTTGCAAGACGATTCGATGTCGACATCTACGCTCTCCGAATCGGGAACGTCGTCGAGCCACACGAGTACGCACGGGACTTCCCGAAGTACGTCAATGACCCCGCGTGCAGGAAGAGGAATGCTTGGTCGTACATCGATGCTAGAGATCTGGGGCAAATTTGCGATCTTTGTGTACAGAAAGATGGGCTAGGATTCCAGGTGTTCAACGCGACGAACGATACTATTACCACCAAGATCCCGACAAAGGCACTGCTGGCACAGTTTTGTCCAAATACGCCCATCATGCGAGAAATGGAGGAGTGGGAAGCGCCATTGAGCAATCGGAAGATCAGAGAGATTCTTGGGTTCAAGGAGGAACACAACTGGAGAAAATACTACAATCCTGGATGACGTTCTGATTACAGAGAGCTTGAGCGGCCTAGCTTCTAATCGCGATTCGAGGGCAGTCACGATAGAAATTTTGGTAGAAGACGCGATTGGCCGGAAAAAGGGCTTCGGGATGGTTATGGTGAGATTCGACTTGAGTAGTGGGCATCGATGATATTGGCAAAAATATGGGGAAGAGGGCAGGAGTCTTCGTGTCCGAGAATTTGATGGGTAAAGGTTGTACTGTTTAAAGCTCTCAAAATTTAAAGGTCCAGAGGAAAATGTGAATACGGTGCGTAGGCGGCACACTCAAAGTTAGAAGTGTTGATCCTCACTTGTTGGGCTTAAGATACTGGAACACGCCTGAAAGATTCATGAATGTGTGACTACTACCCTGCACACTCTGCAAAGCGGATGTTTTGACATAGTTCGTTCACATGTGTGCCATTGTTTTGTGTCTATTGCGAACCTAAAGAGCGGCAATCGCTGAAGGGAGTTGGTTGCCAAAACTGATAGTGCAAGGAGCAACATGATTCATATGCTTTTGTCCAGTGAGAGACTCGATAGCTGCCCAAAAGACTACTTGAGGCATTGGGCTACTCGCACGATCAATTGTGAAAATTGCGTCGATGGACTCGATGCAAGAAGGACCCAGGATAAAATGACACCATGCACACGGACCACACGGACCACAAAAAAGTCGTCTCTAGCTTTCGCGGCGCGTGGACAGCAAAGTACAATCCATCTCCACCGTAATCCCGGCCATTGGGACGCCCGAGCAGTCCTTCTTTATCTCCAATTCCCACTACTGTTATTTCTCAACCTTCGCAATCCTCCAGTGTTCCACGGTAATCCTCGGCGGTCCCAAAAGTCACCATGAGCCCTTCCCCGAAAGACGTTGCCTCCAAGGCCGCTGAAACTGTCGCCAAAAACTCCTCAGCGAAGGAGTACAAGAAGGAATCGACTCCGGCTCGAGTCTTAGGAGCGGGTACGACCCAGTAAAAGCTTTCTGCTGGATCCCGCTAACATGTTCAGGATGCGCTGGTATTGCGGAGTTGATGGTCTTTCATCCGGTACTTTCACGTTGAGGACTCTCACGTCGCCCATCTTCTGACAACTGGGCTTTCAGGTGGACACAACGGCAAAGCGTCTCATGAGCAACTACGGCAAGGTATTTGCATATGAAAAGCTCTCTGCTCAAGTCCAAGACTGACCCTTTATCTTTCCTAGGTCACCTCCGCGGCGCAACTCAACACAATCATATTCAAGGACAAGGCTAGCGCATCAGTTCCAAGCCGATTCTTGTCGCTATTTCCCGGTCTCGGCTACGCAGCTGCTTATAAGGTTCGATGCCCTGAAATGCACACAGGAAAGGACCGGCATTGACTAGCCCTAGGTGCTACAACGGGTGTACAAATACGGAGGCCAGCCTTTCGTTCGGGATTATCTAGCGAAGAACCACGGCAATGAATTCGATGCTGCGTTTGGGAAGGGTAATGGAAAGGCTATAATGCACGCCACAGCCGGAAGGTACGTTGCATTATACCGGCACATTGAATGCAGCATTAACAGGACACCAGTCTAATTGGTATCGGAGAGATTGTTCTCCTGCCCCTCGACGTTCTGAAGATCAAGCGCCAGACCAACCCAGAGGCATTCAGGGGCCGAGGACTCATCGCGATCATCAAAGACGAGGGATTCGGTCTCTACCGAGGCTGGGGATGGACTGCTGCTCGCAATGCCCCGGGCTCATTCGCTGTAAGTTAATACCAAAGATCTTATCGGAGAGTCTGTCTAATATTGCTATAGCTGTTCGGAGGTTCGGCCGCTGCTAAGCAGTACTACTACAAATTGACGGACTACAACGCCGCATCGTGGAGCCAGAATTTCGTCGCCTCCATCGCTGGTGCCAGTGCGTCACTCCTTGTGTCTGCGCCCCTCGATGTCATCAAAACTCGAATTCAGAACAGGAACTTCGAGAACCCCGAGAGTGGATTCAGGATCGTATCCAATATGATGAAGAACGAAGGATTCTCTAGCTTTTTCAAGGGTCTGACGCCGAAGCTTCTCATGACCGGACCGAAGCTAGTGTTCTCTTTCTGGCTCGCCCAGACCCTCATTCCCGCCTTCAACAAGGTGATGTAGATGGGCTTATTTGGATGTGTATGGAGTTGACGGTACAAAAGGATCGGTTGGTTTGTTGGAGCACGGGATGCTGGATTAACGCATCTCGTCAGCGCCGGGTTATTGTTCTGCTTATGGCGCCTCTTAATGCGATGTATGATAGTGTCGAGTCGCCTGATTGAACGGCGACTTGAAGATAGGCACAGGTACAAACAAACTCTTCTCGAATAGCAGCGCAGCCTAGCGAGGGCGTGAATGACTTGTGTCTCGTGACTTGTGTAGGGTTTAAGGCAGATTCACGCATTCATTAAAGAAAATAAGGGTGTCCGTGACGCGTATCTTCTTGAGCCTATGACTTAGGACTCCCGTGCTCTACATTGTCAACTGCAGATGATACGTGTGTTAAAGTCACTGCAGTCTAAGTCCTGTGAGCATTCATCTGTACGTATCCAACGAGTCGGCTACGTAAGTACCGAGCCTTCGAGACAATCTTCGCTGCCCGAGTGAATCTGACTGGCGTATCACCTGCCTCTTTCCCAACTCGGCCGATCGTTACCGCAATACCAAGGCTTGGTACCGTAATTAAGCGACGCCACTAAATAGGCGTATTATCGATCGCTCACGACGTCTTCGCCCAGCGACAACGTCCACCTGAACAGCACCATCCTCACCGCACCCACCGCCCACCACCTTGCTCAAATACCTCCCCCCAGGACGTACTGACACTCCACTTCTACCAGCTCTCCTAGACATACCACCGCCATCATGAATCCCGAGTAGTACGTACCCTTCGATCCTCGTCCGCCTTCTGCCTCCCCAGTGGGAGCTAAGTGAACTTACGAGATAAGTATTCGTACTAACGCCTCCTTCTGTAGAGTTACCCCGAAAGCAATCTCGGCAGCCAAAATCGATGACCTACGAGTCTCGACGCAAATCCCATGCTGACTGCCTCCCGCTCCCAGATATGACTACCTCTTCAAGCTCCTCCTCATCGGCGACTCCGGTGTAGGAAAGTCCTGCCTGCTCCTTCGGTTCGCCGACGACACCTACACGGAGAGCTACATCTCCACCATCGGCGTTGACTTCGTACGTTGCATCCCGGACGAGCATACGGACCAGTCAGCCTAAGATGCGGCTAACACGAGAATAGAAAATCCGCACTATCGAACTCGACGGCAAGACTGTCAAGCTACAAATCGTTAGTCACCTCCAAACATATCTGCCTAGCTGTGTGTACTGACTTGCGGCCGTACAGTGGGATACCGCCGGGCAAGAGCGCTTCCGCACCATCACGTCATCCTACTACCGCGGTGCCCATGGAATCTGCGTGGTGTACGATGTCACCGATATGGACTCGTTCAACAACGTGAAGCAGTGGCTCCAGGAGATCGACCGCTACGCAACTGAGGGCGTTAACAAGCTGTTAGTGGGCAACAAGTCCGATATGGCTGACAAGAAGGTCGTGGAGTACACAGTGGCAAAGGTACGCGGAAGGATACACCAAGAGTATAGGCGAAGAAGAGAGGCTAATATATGGTTTATAGGAGTTCGCCGACAGCCTCGGAATCCCCTTCCTCGAGACCTCCGCAAAGAGCGCCACGAACGTCGAACAAGCTTTCCTCACCATGGCCCGACAGATCAAGGAGCGCATGGGCACCAACACCGTCAACAACAAGCCTACGGTCCCCATCGGCCAGGGCCAGGGCGTCCAGAGCGGGTCGGCGGGCGGCTGCTGTTAGACGGAGATTGTCGTGGATGATATACACATTCGGGCGCGGGTGTTTGCTTGGGCGGGGTATATTAATGCTGATGGGTTCTCACGATTGCACCGTCTGTCAAATTCCCTCGAATTGTTCTATGCATGGCTAGATGGTGGTTGTCCCTTTTTTGAGCTTGGATTTTCCGCGGGTTTGTCTTGCAGCCTCTGTCTGAGCTGGATTGGGGATCGAGGGTGAACATTCTGGTGAGGGGAGAGGAGGGGAGGTATGGTGGAAGTTGAAGTGTTGAAGAAATTTGCTCACGACAGACTACAAGGACACGCCGAGCTTCTTTATCCTGACTTTTGTTCTAAGGCTACGGATAATGGCGTGGAACGAGCACAACTACTTCTTTTTCCTTTCCTATCTTCCGGTATCTTTGTACTCTGGGGTTTCTTCCTGGTTTGTTAGTCATTGCAATCGTATTAAGCTACATATGCCCCCTTGAGCAAACAAATCATGCTCTTGCCAGCTGCATCCCGTGAAATGTTTTGACACAAGAACTGCGCGAATCCACATCTCAGCTATCACCTCAAATTCAAATTCGACATCACAACCACACAACCAGTCAATCACCAAATCTCGATATCCCAGCAACGCTTCTCATATTATACACGCAGTCGAGCCCTCTATCTCTATGATACACAATGCCCAATCCCTGCGTCTCCTCATGCTTGCCCCCCTCCTCCATGCACTGCACGCATCTAAAACGGGTTGTCCTCTGGCGGAATCTCCCGGACCCAGTAGCCCCCCAGCCCCGGAATCTTCTGCAGGATATCCTTGCGCACCTTGGGCACCTCGCCGAAGAAGAAGAGCGCGAAGAAGCCGGCGACGCCGCCGAAGGCGCCGAGGGTGAAGCCGCTGTTACACAACCACCATTGTTAGCTTCTTATCTTCTCGAGAGTGTGATCCGCGCGCGAGTGAGGAGAAGGGGTTCGTAGGAAGATTAGAGGTTGGATGGGTGGACGTACAACTGCGCCATCCGACCGACCGTCAAGCCGTGGAAGTTCCAGGCGGTCTTGTATCTGCAGCGCACGCGGCATGGTCAGCTCGTGCTTCTCTTCGTGTTTGAGTGGTGCGTCCATTGGGGGAGACGCACTTTGGCCCGAATGGTGAGCGGTAGGTTTGGTAGTTCGAGCGGACGGACCACGGCTGCAGGCCGCCGCTGCCGGTGAACTGCGACGGGGGGAGGTGTGACTGGAAGGAGGTCAATTGGGTGAGAGGTGGAAGGGGGAGGGTGGAGGGAGGGTACCATTGTCGTTGGTGGGTTCGGGGCGTGGGTGGTGGATGAGGGAGCTGGGCAGGTGGTGATGTGAGGTTGGTTGGACTTGGAGATCGGAGAGGCTCGGTTGCGGTTAGCGAAGGGTTTGCTGTGATGACCACGGGCTCAGTACTTGAACTCCCATTGATATGATAGTCAAGTATGAGTATGAGGCACCTCCGATGGCATCAAACAGGTGCAGAATTCTTAGCAACTTTGCTTGTTCGATTTCAAGGGTGTGGTACAAGACCTCCGTGCTGGTATCTCACGAATCGCCTTGGAGTCCTTCACATATTTGATAACCACGCAACGTCACAAGGAAGACTTCCTGATATGCGGGTTTTAGATACTCCCTCCTCAATCAAGCTCATTCCAATGCTGCTCTAAAACAATGCAGATTCATCACGATATCAGTCCATTTTAGGCTACTAGACGCTTCCCTCATTTATTCCACGCGTAGGGTCACCTAAAGCCAACCAATGTTCTGTTCACGCGGTCAATTTCATAAGAACTTGTACCAATTGACCCCAAAGTGGCCTTCCGTGTACCCTGAGAGGTACTGAGAAGCGTGATGGTGAAGTACAGCCTCTAGCTTAAATCCTAAGGCTACTGACACGGAGATTGGGCCCAAGATGAGTGCGAATTGACAACGTCGAGGCATGCTTTGATTCACGATGCAACGTTCTTTTCATCCCGAAGCGCTTCCTTCTCGTTACCCCCGAGGTGCCTTGAAACATTTTACAAGCCCTCCAACGCTTCACCGCAGCACAGCAATCCCGATCTGTAACCCTAAGAAACAAGCTCGCCATCTCCTTCTAGTTCTAATGCTCAGCACAAACAATAAAAGATATCGGCCGTCACCTCGGCCGTCACCTCCCCCTCCCCTCTCCACCTTCATCTTCCAACACTCCCACCCACCACCAGCCGCCAATGCGACCTCTCTACACCGCTAAAGACTAATAACCATCAGCATTGCCCTCCGCTTTTACCCCCACGACAACCATATCGATGCTTCCATCGCCGTTGCTTAAGCCCCCATGGTATGTGGCTGATTGCCTGTTCATCCAACAAACACCATGAAGGAGCTGTTCGCCCTCGTTTGCACACCACCTCCCATCAGGCGGTGTTGAACTCGCAAGCACTTCCACTTCCTATTGAATCATAATCTGCCGTGTGTTAAAGAGATAACATAAAGACCTGCCTACGTTAGAAAGGTAGATGTAAGGAGAGGTTTTATAGGTATTGCGGAGCAATAAGGAACTAGGTGCAGGGAGCACGTTGATATCACGTTTAAGATTGTAGAGTAGGAGGTAGAGGAGAAGGAACGTGACTTTAAGTAAGAGAGACGTGATATAAACTCTAGTAAACGTGACTTAGGGATAGGAAACGTGCAACCCACATGCACCTAATTTCTCCCTTGTTTGTTCTAGTATAAAACCATGCACCTCCCGGTCTCTAACTCTCGACTAAGGAAGGGGAAAGCTTGGGCAGCAATAACCGCGTGAAGGGGTCCACATGGTTCGTTGGCTTGGTGCGGTCAAACTCCCAATCATTAGAGCACTATGGCCGTTTGGCGTGGTATCTCTTGCTGCAAAACAACGGCAGGAAAAGAACAGCATGTGGAGGACGGAGGGAGGATCAAGCTCGCCAAACTGTGGAATCATGGTGTGGGTTTGCTCCAAAAACCCGCACACCAACGACGATGTGGTAGTCGAAACACCGACGACGACGACGAATGGAGTGGCTGGCGGCAAGAGAGGTAGTAGAGTAGTGCTGCTCACCACTATCAAGTCCCATGACGAGTGATTGATAGCAACCTGACGAACTGTTCCTAAACAACACCAAAACGTTATTATCATGTCCATCGATCAATCTTGTCCAAGACCCCCATCACCATCACCACCTTCCTCCACAGCATCCAACGCGTAGCGCCTCCTCAATGGTTTTACTCCTCCGCCCTCCCACTCTCATCATACCAAAGTTGCAGATGAGTTGACCCACACTCACTCCCCATCAGGACGGTAGCAATACCGTTTTTGAACGCACCATCATAACGCTCAATCCTCTTGGTTGATCCCACTCTCCTCCAACCTCCATGACCATTCTTTAGACCAGAGGAGCGCGGATTTATACCCCTCACCAGTCGAGATTTCGGAAGCGGGTGAATGATTGTTCCGATGGGAGGGTGTTTGGAACGTGATTGAGGGTGGGTATTAGGAACGTGATTCAATGTCTGTATCCCAGTGCTTTTGCAAAACTCATGGCATAATTAGCCAGACATCAGAAGTAATCTCACAGTTACAGTCACCTGATCGCTCCAACATCAATAAGAGGAGGAACACTAAACATTTCTACAAAAACAGAGAGGCACCTTTCGGTTTCAGGGATTCTCACCCAACAAGACAAGACAACAGACAAGAGCAGACAAATCGAGAGTTTAATCACACCAAAGGCTAAAGAGTTAGGATTACAAGACCAACAACCCGAAACCATCGGCCACCACAACCCACTTCAAACTTTCAAAGAAATCCCCCAGCCTCCCTTCCCATGTGCATCCCCCCAATTTTGAGTGGAAAATTCTGTACAAGTAGGTGTTTGTCACACAAGAGGCAGGCCTTTTTCCCCTCCCCCGATTTCCTTGATCGCTTCGAATTGTGATGGCTCAGTCCGGGACGTGGCATAGATTTTAGGGTGCGTGCTTTATCCGTCTACGACTTCTCGAGGTCCGCAAGGATCTTCTCACCCTTGGCCCGCGCTGACGCGAAGTCACCGACCATGTAGAAAGCACCTGCGTGGTGAATTAGTGATGTGGAGGCGTGAACAGAAGTTCAGTGCAACATACCTTCTGGCAGGTCATCACCCTCGCCGTTCATGATAGCCTTGAACGACGAAATGGTGTCCTTCAAGTCGACCAGCTTACCCTCGATGCCCGTGAAGACCTGAGCGACAGTGAAAGGCTGGCTCAAGAATCTCTGCAACTTTCGGGCACGCTCGACGGTCAACTTATCCGCTTCCGACAACTCGTCCATACCCAAAATGGCGATGATGTCCTGGAGCGACTTGTACTCCTGGAGCATCTGCTGGACCTTGCTGGCGGTGTCGTAGTGATCGTCGCCAACCACACGGGGATCCAACATACGAGACTTGGAATCTAGAGGATCGACGGCGGGGTAGATACCCAATTCGGAGATACCACGGGACAACACGGTGGTGGCGTCCAAATGGGCGAATGTGGTGGCCGGGGCAGGATCAGTCAAATCGTCAGCGGGCACGTAGACGGCCTGCACGGAAGTGATAGATCCCTTGTGTGTGGTGGTGATACGTTCCTGCATGGCACCCATGTCGACGGCGAGAGTGGGTTGGTAACCGACGGCAGATGGGATACGACCGAGCAGGGCAGACACCTCGGAACCGGCCTGGGTGAAACGGAAGATGTTGTCGATAAAGAGAAGCACTAAATTATATTAGCCAAGACTTTCTCGATTTCGGCTTTCTTGCGACGTACCATCCTGGCCCTCCTCGTCACGGAAGTACTCGGCAACAGTCAAACCAGTAAGAGCAACACGAGCGCGAGCTCCGGGGGGCTCGTTCATCTGACCGAACACCAGGGCGACCTTGGACTCGCCATCAAGCTGAATGACGGAAGTCTCTTGCATTTCATGGTACAGATCGTTACCCTCACGGGTTCGCTCTCCGACACCAGTGAACACGGAGAAACCACCGTGAGCCTTTGCGATGTTGTTCTGCGATGTTATTAGTCCTCGCACATCCGCAATGCGACTCCAAACTTACAATCAACTCCTGAATGAACACAGTCTTTCCGACACCGGCACCTCCGAAAAGACCAATCTTTCCACCACGAGCGTAGGGAGCCAGCAGATCGACGACCTTGATACCAGTGACGAGAACCTCGGCGGAGGTTGCTTGCTCAACGAATGTTGGGGGATCGGCGTGGATGGGGAGCTTCTTGGTGTGCTTGATCGGGCCTCGCTCGTCGATTGGGTCGCCAGTGACGTTCATGATGCGACCAAGCGTACCGGGGCCGACGGGAATCATGATAGGGTTGCCAGTATCGGTGGCGGTAGCGCCACGGACGAGACCTTCGGTACCTGGAGGATGGGCGCAATTAGTATCGTAGAATAGCCACGGACTCATCGGAAAGCTTACCGTCCATAGCAATACACCGGACGACATTCTCACCCAAATGTTGCTATCAACCGTTTAGCGATGCTGTACCGTGTTGTTGGTCCATCCATTGGCTTACCGCGACCTCGAGGATGAGCTTCTGTCCACCATTGTCCGTCGACAACGCATTAAGGATAGGCGGTAGAGTGTCGGTGTCGAATTTCACTGCAGCAATGGATTGTCAGCTCTCTCTTCGATCTCTGATGGCCAACGGCTGGGCAAGAGCTTCATTGCCGGGCCAGGTTGGTTTGAAAATTCTGTTCACGTACCGTCGACGACGGCACCGATGACCTGATGGATCTTGCCATCCTTGACGGCATCAGTGCTGGCGAACCTCGCACTCAGGGCAGGCGCAAAGCTGCGGGTGATGGGCGAGAAGCGCTGGGCCACAGCCTGGCGGCGGAAGGAGGCTCGTAGCGACCTCTGGAAGCCGCTGCGAAAGGGCGAAGTTAGCTCTGGAAGACACTCAATTGAGGCCGCAGAGGATGCAGCTTACCTCTTAAGCATTGTGGGAGATGTCGGAAGGCGTGTGGGTGGGAGTGGAGATGGGTGGATGTGTTGATGAAGAGCTGTCGAGGAGATTCGGGAAGAAGGCAGTTGCGGCAAAGACGGGCGACAACGGCCGGGCACCACGCTAGGCCAAGCTTGGACGAGACCATCAGAGCGACAACTCTCAAGCTCGTCAAAGCTTTTGAGAAGATTTAAATTGAATGTTGTAGAACAATAGCACCTGTTTGCAGCATAGATAATGCTGCTTGAAGTGGCTCGGTGAGGCTCCCGGGTTGTCAAAACGTTCTACCTAAGCAGCATCCAGATTTGCAAAGATGTCTGAAAGCACCCCAAGCAGCTGCAGAATGATGTGCATAGACCAATGCATCATCCCTTGAGTAACACGGGCACAGTTAGAGTCGAGTCGCATCTCAACATGCATCCTGACTGGTTGCATTTTCATTTTCATGATCGTGTGTTGTTGTTTGTCACTTTCTACACCTGTTTACCAATGCATGGGGAGCCCCAACTCATTTATACAATTTTGAAGAGGATCCGATTATGACAGTTTGAACTACTGCTATACTCGCCATCAAAGAGGCGTAACGAGATGATACAAGAGTCTGATGGCCCTCGTAGTTTCGGCCAGTTTTGATGTCAGCTCTCAAATTTGCATCATTCACTTAAATGTAAAGAATTTCATCGCGTGAATAGCAAAAAGGCTTCATTCATAAGTCTAAGGAGTCGAAAAGAAGGTAACTATTATGGTGTTCCCAGTGCAGTCCCTCAAATTATCCACATCACATCTCGAAAAGACCAAAGAACATTAACAACGGCGTCCAGCTCACAAAGTGGACTCCAAGGCAAGGACCTGCAGCAGTTAGCATACTCCTCTTGCAGGAGTCATGAATAGAGAGACTTACAATTGCTGTCCTCGTCGGAATGTAAACCTGCAAGAAATTCTTCCTCCCGTTCCACCCAAAAGGCGTCGTGAAGAATCGCGTGCTCTCATCAATATTCCCATGTCCACCAAATGCCTTGCTGTCTGAGCTAAGCACGATGCGATACGTGCCCTCCTGCTCTACGCCAACGCGGTAGTCTGTGAAGCTGGTGGATGGGTGGAAGTTGAAGATCCAGAGCAGGCCCGCCCGCTCGAACACAATGACCTTGTCGCTTTCGTTCTTCAAGCTCACGTACGCTTGGTCCGAGTGCAACCAGCCGTACTTCTCCTCCGTCCACTGCATCTTGCTATCAAACTCGTTGAGGAATCTGTAGCGTAGCAACTGGTCGTCTACGAGGTTGAATTGTCGGCGTGCGTAGTGGAAGCTGTTGTTGTTGCCTGCTCTTGGGAAGTCCAGCCATTCTGGATGGCCGAACTCGTTGCCTTCAAAGTTCAGATAGCCTTCGCCTCCAAGACCGTGCGTGATGAGGCGAATCATCTTGTGAAGTGAAAGGCCACGATCGATTACAGGTGTGAGTTCCGACAGAACTGACATGTTGGTATACATCTGGGCGTCACAAAGCCACATGAGTAAAGATTTGTCACCGACGAGCCTGGACATTGTAAGCACTTGTCAAACTAGAGGATAAGAAAACTTACGCTTGATCGTGACTCTCAGCATACGCAATTGTCTTTTCGCCGTGTCTACGGTTCGTCAAGGTGAAGGCGAGATTTCCCATGTCCCAGTCAATATCTTGCTTCTCTTTGAGCCATTTGATATACAGGTCTGGTATCGCCATGGCCAGTCTATAGTCAAATCCAACACCACCGAGTGATAGCGGATTGCATAGCCCTGGCATTCCAGAAACGTCTTCGGCGATGGTGATGACGCTAGGATACAGCGTGTGGAGCAATTCGTTGGCCAGCATTAGATAGACGACGCCCTCTTCATCGACTCCAGGGCCGAAGTACTCATGGTAGCCACCCGAGAAACCACTGTAACATGTTAGCAATACCCACTGATAAGAACTGGAATTCACTTACGTTCCAATGCCGTGATGGAGATAGATCATGCTCGTCACGCCATCAAATCTGAACCCATCGAAATTGTATTCATCCATCCAGAACCTCAAGTTGCTGAGAAGAAACCTTAACACTTCATGACTGCCGTAGTTGAATAGCCGGCTATCCCAAAGTTCATGTCTTCCTTTCGCACCCTCATGGAAGTACAGATGATCGCTGTTGTCGAACATGTTCAAACCATCCAAGACGTTTTTGGAGGCATGGCTGTGGACTACGTCCAGCAAGACGGTGATCCCCATGCCGTGCGCAGTGTCAACAAGCTCCTTCAGATCATCTGGTAGTCCGTATCGGCTGCTTGCCGCGAAGAAGCTGTTGATCTGATATCCAAAGCTGGCATAGTAGGCATGCTCCATGATCGCCATCAACTGAATTGTGTTGTATCCCAAGTGCTTGATGCGGGGGAGGATATTTTTTGTGAATTCCTTGTATGTTGCAACTTTTGGTTCCGGAGAGGAAATGCCAACATGGGCTTCGTAGATTCGGGCGCTGAGCGGCTTTGGAGGCCTGGGGTGCTTGAAGACATATGCCTGCTCCTTTGGTGGATTCCAAAATCTCGCATCGTACACAGGCGATACACTCAAGTCTTGTGTGACCCGTTTGATCCAAGCTGGAATTCGTTCTTGCCGAGCATGATCGTTAGGCACCACTAATGAGATCTGGACTTTTGGTTAGGTTATCGCAGATGATACGATAAGGCCGAGCAGGCTTACCTTGAGCTTTGAATCATGAGGAATGGTAGCCTGGCCATCTTTCCCAGGTATCGTGACCTCCCAGACGCCGAAGTTGTCTTTTGCCATCGGTGTGGCATCTCGATTCCAATTGTCTGGTGATATCATGATCAGCCCATGTCCTCAAGGTCTGAAGGGATGGCTCCTACTGAAATCTCCGATCAAGTACGCCCTTAGAGCATTAGGTGCCCATTCCCGGTAGACCACGTCTCCGTTATCTCGAACGTTGAACCCAAACTTCTCGAACCCCTTTCGGATGTATTAGATTTGGCGCGCGGAGAGGCTAAACGACGGAACCGTACCTTCGAGAACTTCTCCAGGCCCCCTTCGGTCTCGTCAATTGTCTTGATCCACTGTTGTGCTTTGCTGTATCTGCTGCGAAGAGAGTCCTTGAAAGGTCCCAGCCAAGGGTCGAGTTGCACCAAGCCTATCAATGTTAGACAGTGGATCTGAAGAGAGGGCGGAGCGCATACCAGTGCCGTCGTTCGGCGTTTCTCTAGGCGCACCTGCCGTGATGGAGTTGTTTGCCATGGTGAGAAGGTATTAGTGAGGTGAGGAGGCGGCGCAGTCGAGCAGCTTATGAGTTTTCGCAGGCAGCTGCAGGTCTCAGTCGGTGTCGGCAGTCAGACTATGATCGGAGAGGCGCATTGATGGGAGGCTGCGGTTTGCGGGGTTCGACGTGCACAGAATGGAGCTATGGAGGAGTAAGGACTGGCAGTCTCGGTGTCTCCCAACCACAAGCCAGGGTCCTGCTCAATGACGTTGGGTCTAACGCTGGGAGGGGCAACGCGCAGAAGAGATAAAAGCCCCGGCTCAGGATCACCTCACCGTTGGGCAGCGAGTTGTTTGATTACTACGTATTGTGGTATTGTATCTGACGGGTGACGGCGCCTCCAGGGCTCGCGTGTTGAGTGTCGGAATGTTTATGATCTCACCTGCCCGCCTGCTGTAGCTATTCTGAATAAGTGGTAGTTCGTTCTAGTGTGAAGCTAGCCAGATGCGTGAAGCCGTGCTTTAATACAGCCGGGTGAGATTCGAGGTTTGTGGAGTGCAGTGAACTTCTAGAGTAGGAATAACGCGCAGATAGATAGATATTGCGAAGCAGAGATCAATATATAGGAAGCTCTGACACCACCCCGTATATTCTCCCCTTCCCCGGCTCGGTCCCGCTTATCGGTGGCGGCAGCCTGGCAACAGCGCTAACCCCGCGTCGAGCTCCATCGCGGACCAAGGGCCCTCGACAACAGCTCCATCGCCACGCCTCACGACCCGCCTGCGCGTGCCCGAATGAATAACACCTCGCACAGTTGCTAATTGCACGGGGTAGGCCCTTCAGCTCGCCAATATGGCGAGACCCACGCTGTCGCTCTCCATCACCTTGAACCCTCACTCCCGAATCTCATACGTCGCCCTCGCCACCGTCACCTCGCGCCGAACCTTACACTCGACCACAAGACGACTCGACCGCTTCGAACGATCGGATTTCTCGGGACAAGGCTTTACAGGAGAATATGAGCCAGGCCAGCCAACGGGCGGACCGCTGGGAGATGCCAGCATAGCGGGGGTGCCGAGGGTGACGCCCAAGGCCCTGAAAGACCATTTGGACCAGTTCGTAGTTGGGCAGGAGAGGGCTAAGAAAGTCCTGAGTGTTGCCGTATACAATCACTACCAGCGGGTTCAGGAGGTGCAGCGGCGCGAAGAGGAACAAGCTAGGTTGGAAGCCGAGCACGCGAGGAGGAACCGGCACCCAGTCGAGGGTGAGCATTCACCTCATGCAATGGTATTGAGCTTATTCTAACGCAGATGAATATCCAGGACAGCAACAAGTAGCGCCGTTGAAACCTATATTCGCTTCTCATCCGGATCCACCAAAGCCGGAACCCGTCGAGCCTGTCGAGCCTCCTCCAAAGCAGGAACCCGTTCCCGAGCCTCCTATAATTGATACTAGTCCACTCACAATCGAGAAATCGAATGTCTTATTACTTGGTCCCTCGGGTGTGGGCAAGACGCTCATGATCAAGACCCTAGCTCGCGTGCTCGACGTCCCAGTTAGCATCTCCGACTGCACGCCTTTCACATCCGCTGGGTACATTGGCGAGGACGTCGAAGTATGCGTACAACGGCTCATTTCCGCCGCAAACTTCGACATAGCCGCCGCGGAGCGTGGCATCATCGTTCTCGACGAGGTCGACAAGATCGCCGCAGCAAAAGTACACCATGGCAAGGATGTTGGTGGTGAAGGCGTCCAACAAGCTCTGTTGAAGATAATCGAGGGAACAACGCTTCAAATAAAAGTGAATCAGGAGCGGAGTTCGAGCCATAGCAGCAGAGCTGGACAGAATGGAAGAGATGCTGCGCCTCCAGCGGCCAAAGGCGAGATTATCAACATCAAGACCGACAACATCCTCTTCATTTGCGCTGGGGCCTTTGGAGGTCTGCACAAAATGGTGCTGGACCGAGTCGCCAAGGGTGGGCTTGGATTCGGCGCCGAAGTGCGGCGCGCGCCTACGAAAGAGGATGCCCACAATACCATGTTGACTGGCGAAGATGAGATGTTCAAGAAACATCTCCCGTTCTTTGTTCGAGAGAATACGACACCACAAGGAGCTAGGAAATCGGACAGCTCGAAGAGAATCTACAACACCCTTGATCTTGTAGTACCTTCTGATCTACAGAAATTCGGCATGATCCCCGAACTTATTGGTCGACTCCCTGTCTCATGTGCTCTGTCTGCGCTAGATGAGGAATCGCTAGTGAGAGTACTCACCGAGCCGCGGAATAGCCTGCTAGGCCAGTTCGAGCAGCTGTTCAAGCTGAGTGGCATAGAGCTGGGCTTTACTTCTGGCGCTTTGAGGGAGGTTGCGAAATCAGCTACCAGTATGGGAACTGGAGCTAGAGCTCTGAGAACCGTTCTAGAGCGATTGCTACATGATTGCATGTATGAGACGCCAGGTATGATTCCTTTTCTTCTGCGACTACCATTGGAGTTCTAACACGTTGGTGTTCAGGTTCTTCAACAAAGCACATCCTCATAACCCAACCCGTCGCCCAACTCAAACAACCACCACTCTACTTCCGCCGCGAAGAGAAGCGAAAGTACCACCGCCTCTTCGAGGAAGAAGAGCAGGCGTGGCAGGATGAGCTAGACCGGAAGAACGGCGTCGCCACCAGTCAGTTCCCAAGCTTCGAGGACTACAGGACGAAGAGCCTGGCTGCTGGTATCTCATGAAAGGCAGTCAGCGGCTTCGCGCGCACAGATGACGAATGATGAGAATGAGAGACGATCAAGGTGTATGTACATATGCGATTGCGCTTGGATTTGGCCGCGTGGAGGTGGCGTTGGCTGCTGCCTACAATACATACTTCGACAGGGTTGAGTACGGGGGTTTGGCTTGAAGTTGGAGTTGAGGCCAGGTGGTCGTTCTGCATTGGGGTGGGGATGCGAGGGCATGACTGGAGTAGCGTAGGTATGGAGGTCGTCTGACGAATTTCTCACTAGGGATTTCCGAGGGGCCGAAGGATGGACGGTGGCTTGTGAGAGCCCTTTAGCAGTTGAAGATGAAGTGCCTAGGTAGTGAAGCACTGGATAATTCAATGAAGCGTGTAATTATAGAGGTTTTGAGGGTTTGTGAATGGGACGTGTCTACTGCGGCTTATGACGCTACCTAGCCTCAGTGTCATCAGGGTGTTCGAGGTGTTCGCAACCCTAAAGGGCTTCGGTGGGGTCTCAGCACCGGCAGGATTGACATGTATAATGTCTCGTCATAGAAATCCGTACACTCGTTCACCGCTGCGCGAGGAGCCTCATAGTAATTTCAGAATTCAGAATTTGAGAGAAGTTCGGCGTTTTGGATGACTAGTAAATTTGCGAGGCTACCTCCGATAGTGCCATCATGGTGTGCGCATATTGGAAGTGTATCCGCTGCCCCAGTTTCTGTTAGGACGTGGGAGCCCCACAAACAGGAGCAAAAAGATGTACGGATATCTATGACAAGGCATTGTCCTTACAAATATTTTGAATGCTCTGGATGAGAGGGAGGGGCGTGACGTGTTACCGCGGCTTATGGTGCTTGGCCGGGTCATTAGGGTGTTTCACAGCACTCGGGGAACTTCGATGGGGTATCAGAACTGTCAGAACTGGCACCGAAACCCGCAGGACTGATTGATCCGGACTTGAAATTTTGTTTCGGCACTAATATTTTGCATGCGTCTCAAGCATCGTTACCTACAACTCATGCATTTTTCTTTTGACGATATTACCAAGTTGTACCTGCATGTACCCGCCGGAACGATACTCGGAGCCGCAAACCCACACTGCTTGCTGCCTGCATATCATACAAACCGGTGATCTTGTCGCCACCGCGCGGGGACAATCCTGGTAGGGCTGGAGGGCTGGACATTAAGCGCTCCGGGAACACCTCGTGTGTGTGTGGGAGAGATAGCGGGCGTGGATGTGAGAGGTAGATAGGTGATTGATGGGATGGACGGATGGATAAACCTTTTCACGAGTGTGTTGCAGAGGAACTGAACAGCGGCAGATAGAACAGGCAGGGCTTGTGGCACTTAATGTGCAGGTGGCGTATTCTAACGGCTGCAGGAGCGTAGTGAATTCCTTTGTAGGATTTTACCACGAACCAGAAGGAGGTGTGTGGAATACTTTCTCCGTCTCTCCAGCTTGCGTACACGCCACTTTGCATTTGGAAGCCGTTACGACTTGCCTGTGGCGTCTAGTCCGGCGTGCTTTTCTAACACCCGTTGGCCTCTCGGTCCCAACTCCGCAGCTCTACTAGCGGGAATGGTGGGTTGAGTGCTGTCATCTTTCAAGGTTTCCAAGATTTAGGTTCGGGACGTAGAATACGCAATACGGGGTTCCTGGCTCCGTACATTACGAGGATGAAGGTTTCTCGTCATGCATTGAACTACTTCAAACTTGTGGAATATCTCTCTTCCATGTCTCTCTCGGACTTTACATCGAATCGAGTCTCTCGAAATGAGCTGAGAAAAATCAAACGCTGGCGAGAGAGCGTGTCTTCTGGCAAGAAACTGCCAATACTTCGGAGCACGCAGATTGCCGTTTGGAGTAACTCAGTGCAGTGCAGTGCAGGGAGCGGGAGGCCTGGCAGGAGTAGTGATTACGATGCAGCAAAAGGACCCGCTCCCCACCCCTCCTCGTGCATACACTCTGATACACATACAAGAGGCGGCTAGGTATGTCATGGCACCAGCTATTTTGGGCGCGACGAGGCCTCCTGCTATCCAGATAAACAGGTAAGGGAATGCAGCTAGATGGCAGTAGTCGTCAATGGCCTGCGAGACATCGAGGTGCCGTGATAAGGCCGCCTGTATTGTTCCAAGGAAGCAACCTGAACGACACTGAACGATGCAGATGCTAGACACTGCTATTCTGAGGTCGCAAGCAGATGACAGCTGACGGTATTGGGCGGAGGGGAGTCGTCGATGTACGCGTACCAGACAATGGGAATGACGGCGCCCACACCATGGAACTTCGCCTATAGGGGATCGGCGGAGGGTCGTAAACGGGCTACCGGGTAATAACGAGTGATTAGGGCCTCCTTGCGACACCTCCGCATACACGGGCTCGCGGTGTCTTTGCCCTCCACGACGACCTTCTCCACACTCTCTGCCAACTCTTGAGCCCTTACTCCTCTCACTCTTCCGCGCGCTCCCTACTCCTCACCCTCGGTTTTCGTGCGCTGTTGCTTTTGGACCCTCCCGAGCGCCACCATCGTCTCGAGCGGTGAGCCCAGTTGGAACTTCTCCCGTAAACGTTGCCTCGGCGTGCTCCTTCGTTCTCGAGGCTAACCACGATTTTTTCCAGTACAATTATCGCATTGCAGCTGGCCTGACGCTTGCGAAACCCAATCTTACCTCCCAATACACCTCCCATCTTCGGTCATCTATGGCGCCTTCCACCTGAAAATCCCAAGCGAGCTGCGTCTTTGCCAATTTGACTCCCGAGACCGGAGCTTCCTCCGACGAGTGAAGACTTCTTCACTGCGGCTCGTTTCTTTGCAAGAAAAACCTCGCGATACTGGCACCGTACATGGACGGTGAAGACTTCCTCAATGGTGGAATGACTATGGGCGGGGACGTGATTGGGGATCCGTCCGGAGAGATGAGCTGGGAGCAAGGCGGGCACATTACTCTTTTCGATGAGACGTCGCCACGTTTTTTTAATGACTCCTTTGCGTCGCCTGCGCCACCTGAGACCCCAATGTTGGGCGGGGCTGCGAAGGCGCCTCAGCTGTATAGTGAGAGCGACTTCTTGGGATACGGCCGGCGACTGCAACCAGGCTCCATGGACGGAGGATCCTCGACATCACCAGAGAGCTCAGTTCCTGACTCGTCTTCAGACTCCTCCCGCAGTCGCAAGAGGAAGCCATCGACCGTGATGACGGGAGAGACGATGGATTTGGGGTGGGCCATGCATGAGGGCAGCTTGTCCCCGGAGATGCACAAGATGAAGCAAGAGACGGACCAGGCCGTGGACGCCATGGGGACGCAGATGGCCTCGCAATTCCCAGACTTCAGCGGCCCGAATAGCCCGCAGGAGCAGACGATAACGCCGTCGAAGCTGCAGCAGAACTTTGGGATGAGGAACCAGGTGCCGACGGTAAGCTCTTCGGCCTCGAGCGTTTGTTTTGGTCTTGGCGTTGACTGATATCTTTCCCCCACGTAGGCCAGTCCCAGCAAAGCTGCCTTCTTCCTTGGATCTGAGTCGCGCGACGGTTCCCCGTCCTCTGCCAACGCAATGTCGAGCGACAATTCTCCGCATATGTTCAATGGATACCAGTCCCCGTCTCCCATGACCCGCAAGCGCATGACGGCGCCCGCCATTTGGGACACCAACTCGCAATGGGCGCAGGGCCAACACCCTGCATATGCGGGTGCGGCATCGTCGCCGTTTAGAGCAACAGTCTCGCCCGCAGCCTTGCAGAACGGGCAGATGCCAGGCCTCGGGACGCAAGCCGCTCTGTACATCGGATCAGAGACCGGAAAGTCGAGAGTCGAGACCCAGATCAAAATCACGCTCTCCGTCGACCCGCTACCGGCAGGTATCTCAGCTATACATCTCCCGACGTACGCCATCTCAAAAGCAAAGTTGCTTGCCAATGACAAAGACATTGAAAAGTATGCTAACAAGCCGGAGACCCTTGAGCTGACAACTCTACTGGTCTGTGCTAGTGCAATGCAGAAGGGAGGCCCGCTGGCAATTCAACAAGCGTTCAGGCGAGCCGCAGGATTGGAGCTGATACCGCAGCGACGAGCATCCAGTGACTCTGCCTCTGGCAGCGATATCAATGACGACCCCGGCCACCCGTTGAACGGTGGCCCCGTTGGCATTTGCGAAGGCTGCATTGCCCGAGAGAAGAAGCGCGCAGGACGAAAGCGCGCAAAGAAGTCGGAGGACGAAGCGCTTTGGGAGCGATACGGTGACCAGCGAGTGGTGCTCTTCAACAACAAGGAGTATAAGGAATGGGATACTGCCGCGGGCAAGGACAATGCTCCCGTCTCTCCTTTGCCAATGTCCCCGGATGCACGACACGTCACCGTTCCCATGCGCATCGCTTGCTACTGCCGTCATCATGGTGAGAAGCTTGGTTTCCAGGTCATCTTCACCATCAAGACCTCGCAAGGCCAGCTCATCGCACAGGCCATAACCCAGCCAATCATCATTACTGATGATCACAAGACTGCGACAGCTCCTGGCGCTCTGCCCCCGACTGTACACTACGGTGACCCTAGCTTTGGTCCAGGAGATCCCTACGACAACGAGCGAACCATGATGCGACCAGAGTATCCTCGACCGTATCACTCGGCTACGGACCTAGCTGCCATGGCTCAGCAGTTCTCGCCCTATTCACCTCAGCAAGGCATGGGGAAAGTCTCCGGCTATCAATCTCACGCTATGCATTCCCGCAATGCCTCCAGGCAAGCGTCGCCTTCAGCCCAAACTGGTCCAAACAAGAAGCGTAAACCCAGCGCTTCCGCACACCACAAGATCCCGTCGGGGCTAAGCATGACTCGGTTGGATGAGATGGCCTCCCGTCCCATGCCTGGCGCTCCGCTTTCGGCCGGGTTCAATGGCCTCCCTACTCCCCTTTCACTTAACACGCCCCCCTTCATGCAGTCACCAGAAGCTCCAATGATCCCATCGTCGATGTCAGTGCAGAATATGAACACTGCTGCGAGATCAAATCCGATGGGAGCTTCGATCCCGGCCCCTCTAAATTTCGAGCCTCACAACCCGCATATGAACTTCGATCCGTCGATTCCGGACCCTGGTGCATATTTCTCCACTCCGAACTCTGCCTACGCCAGTAGATCTGGGAGCCCCACAGAACGGACCATCGCCAATACGCAAACTGGGTACGATCGTGGAATGCCCCAGGTAATGACTCCAATGCCGACGCTGCACCAATTCCACCCGTCTCAAGAGCGGCCATTCCAGACGTTCCCAAACGCTCTGTCCAGCCCAACGAATACCACCGCTCAGCAGGTGCCGCCAGCCATCAATAAGATCATTCCTGAGCGAGGGTCAATTAATGGCGGCTACGAGGTCACTTTGCTTGGTAGCAGCTTCCATCGCGGCATGGAGGCTATGTTTGGCGACCAGTTGGCGACTACAACCACCTATTGGGGCAACAGCACGCTGGTGTGTTTGGTGCCTCGTGGCACACAAGTTGGAGATGTTATTGTTTCCCTTGTTTCGAGGGCGCCAGACGGAACGCCGCAACGCCTCCCCCAATCTTGCGGTAGATTCACATACGTTGATGATGAGTTGGCTAGGCTAACGGAGTTAACGATGCAAGTATTGGCTCAGCAATCGAACGGAACCGGTTCCGAGAAAGAAATAATGAGGAGCATATTAGCAGCTGCCCAAAACCAGAGTAGTCAAGGGGGTTACTCGAGTAATGTTTACCAATCCGGACGCCAGCACCGACAAGCTGCTCCGACAGACAAGGCGGCTACGGAAGAGTCATTTTTGGAGATTCTGAATGTTTTGGATATGCACGACGGCATCTACCTCCCCCAGTATAACCTGCAGCTCGAGAATGGGTCCACCATGCTGTCCTTGGCAGCGGGTCTCGGCTTCACTCGTCTTGTTGCCGGATTGCTTGCTCGAGGTGCTGATCCCGACATCCGAGACAAGGGCGGATACACATCTTTGATGGTTGCTTCGATGCGTGGCCATACCCAGATCATACGACGCCTGATTCTCCGAGGTGCAGACCCGACCGTTCGAAGCCTTCGTGGTTACGTGGCTGAAGACCTGACACCGAGTGCGGAGGTATCTGATATGCTACGCCGAACTCCATACCATTCAAGGACTCGGAGTGCTGGAGCCTTGTCGATGCGTAGTCGGGCCAGCAGCGTTGCATCCACGAGATCGCTCTGGGAAGGACCTTCTCAGGCTTCCGCGAGTACATATTCATCTGTGGTAGACGCAGACGCGGGTGAGAGCAGCACCGGTGACGAGAACAATGACACCGAGGAGCCCATGGTATCTAACGCCTGGGTTCGCTCGCGCCGCAACAGTTCTGCGGTCCACATCCAACACCCTCGCTCTGTGGTATTAGAGCCGGAGCAACAGCCTATTTCGGCTGCCGCAGTCGTGAATTGGGGCAATCAACTGGCAGCTCAGATCCAGCAGTTCCAGCAGAACGTTCGCACATTCCAGCTTCCTGTGAACCTTCAGGACTATCAAGACTCTCCCGTCGTTCGTCGCATCAGCTCCCTCGTTCCTCACAGGATGCAGGTCCCGCTCCGCACCGAGTCTGACTCCAGCAACGCTACTGTCGTTGAAGAGCCTAGCTGGCGCAACTACCTCCCGTTCCAGTCTGCTCCATCGCCGCCTCCGCCATCTTACGACCACCTGTACCCAGGACACGGGGAGAGCAGTAACATTGTCAAGAAGCTTAACAACGTCGCCGAAAAGCTACTTGACCAAAAGGCTGCTACGATGGAATCGACCGTTGAAGCATCGTCGAGCGTTACACCAGTCGTCAAGGGCAAGTTAGACGTCCGGATTGGCCGCAAGCCGCTGTCGAAGGAGAAGCAAGAGGCGTTGCGTGAAGCACATGCGCAGCAGCTGATGAGGATCACCACGGACAGGAACCTATGGTTCTTCTGGGTAAGTTCACGTCAATTATCTGACTACCATCACTATCAATCATACTAACCCTCGTCACTAGTTCCCTCTCCTCATCGTGATCGTCTGCATGATGCTTTACAACCTCCTGCCCAGCCTCTTCTCGGGCATCTCCTCGGTCGCAACCTCGATCGGCTCACGCATCATCCACCGCGTCGTCGAGATTGCCTAGCCCTTCTTTCTTTCCTGGCGTTACCCCCTGTACGATACGAATACCCCCTACCATACCCTGGACACGCTTACGCGAAGGCTAGAGAGCCGGACTTCTTTCCTCGCGGTTTTTAGAACCGTAGTTCAGGCTTTATTTCCCTTTTTCCTTGTAGTTGAGGGGGGTGAAAAAAGTGGGTTGATGTGTGGATCGTGTTTTGAGTGGGTTTGAGTTGCTGAAGATGGGGTTGTTTCTGGTGAGGTTTCTTGTGTCGTGTGGTGGTTGGACTACTGGGTAAGTAAGTAGTTCATAATAATTCTGCTAAGACTACCATTTCGTGCCTGGGGTTATAAGTGATTTCTTTCACGGTTTTTCTCAGCCGTATTGGCCCGTTGAGTATTCAGACGTGCACGGTTCAGAGCGCCTGGTGACGTTTACTGACAAGTGTGCCGCCGCTGTTTGAAGCGCCTCGATGCATTTTTCGAGGCCGGAGCTATGGTGATTGGAGCATGCAGCGAGCGCGCTGGGCCACTGCCAACCTCAGACGGTGGCAGGGGGGAGTACACGCTCTGACAACTTGCGTAACTGCTCGAAACATACGCAGGGGATGTAATAACAACATATCATATTCTAAGCTTCGCGGTGATTACACGGGTTTCGGACAGCGGGTGGGAGGGGGGTTTTAGATGCTGGGACTGCTGTGTGTGTATACCGCTTTGCCGCTGGCTTGGGGTGGTTTGACGGGCGTATGGGAAGTTGGATGAGGGGGGAGGGTTAGCGGTTTGGATTGCTGGTGGAGGGGCTGGGGGACCTTAGATGGTGGTGGTTTGGAGGGTGCGGTTTTCTACGTCTCCTCGTATCTGCCAGCCGAGGATGCGTTTGTTGGTGTGTGCTCGATGATGGGCTTTTATGCATTCTTGTCCGCTATACTCTATCCGCCTACAGCAGATCTAGATCTCGCAAATATCACAATGGGCGTGGCCGGCACGGCAATTTATCGTTGTACATGCTTCCCGCCTCCGCATACATATCCATGATACCATGGTTTAATATGGTAGCGCGGTCTGCCGCAGCCAATACAATAAAACCACACATTCGCCTTTCATGCACCGGGTTCTTTCAAATCCTGCTAGAACTTTCCGCAGGAGTAGATGTTTCGGAAAACTTTTTCAATGGGGGTATTGACGACCGAGAGAGATGCTGCCGATGCATAACAATGTTAACGTAAAGAGGTCTCTAGCGGACTTTGGAAGCCTGCGGAGATGCACCGGCGTGTGGGAGAGCTGTGGAAGATTTGCGTGAAGAGTAGAGGCCGGCACTGCGGCGGATAAGAGCCTTTGGGGTGTAGCAGAGGCCAGACCAGGAGTGATTCCCGTGCTAAAGAAACATTGCAGTCTGAAGGTGCGGTAGAAGGAAGTTGGGGAGTGCAAGAAGTTGGGGAACATAAAGTGGTAGTCTACTCTGATATCGTCTGAGGTGGCTTAGAGAGAGCTATCCGGCTTGCCAAAACTATCACTTCTCGAGAGAGGTGTTCAACGAGAACAGACAGGGTGAGCTAACGAGTGCGTCTATATCGTCATGTTCCAAGGTGCTGAAGGAGCCGAGGGAGAGGCGGCATTGGGGCCAGCGTATGTTGAGCTCCTGCACGATTGGACTGGGGATTAGCCACGTGGGGTTCCAGCTTCGCGGCGATAATTAGCGTCGGTCGTTGAAGATGGTAGTGTGATGATTTCTTACTCGAAATCGACGAGATCGTTGGCAGCTTGTAAGAGAGCACTGATGAGGGAGTCTGGGAACGACACTCTTCGGGGATGTCGAGAATTGGCCGCTATGTTCTGAACGCGTTTGGCTCGTTCGCCTCCGTTAGCAAGGAGAGATTCCAGAAAGTCTCTCGCTTGCGTTCGATCTCGATATGCATATTTGAATCTGACAGAACGGTCGAGCAGAGGCAAAGCTGGTCGCGATAGAGGCGACAGCACGTACTCGCTGTCCGAAGAGTAGCGGGGTCAAGAATATATAACTTTAGGAGTCAGCAATATATCATCCCACAGAGTACGCTCCACTAACTTGCTCGAATATCAAAATGACAAGCTCGGCCGGAAGTAGAGTCGACTTGATAGGCATTCTTCAGGCGGCTTTCTTAGGCGAAATAGGAGGTGTAGTAGATTGGGTTTGAAACGAGGAAACTGCGAATTAACAAGGTTTTTACGAGTTGAGGCACTTGATATAAGGCAGAGAACAATTGAGATCTGAAGGCACTAAGCCAGGAGAACAAGATGCGAGCAGCTGGCGACGGCGCGAGGTGGAGGATACGAAGAACGAGTCCGCCTTAAGGTCGATCGGGTAGAGATTTTCTGTGCAATGATGGTTGATGCAGTTGATCCGTATGTAGCTAGTTTGATTTAGGAGGAGTATAGCCCCTTTGCGCATCCTGTGGTTAGTGTATCTCGTAAATGCTGCGTAGCAAAGGCTTTTTAACCCTGTAGAAGCTATTACGGCCAATAAAATCCCTCGCATCAATTTCCAGTACCGTCATTTGCCCTTGCCGCCACCTGCACTCTAACCACAGGATGCGCAGAGGGCCTGTAGTTGAGATGCATCAGAACCTGAAGCATGTGTGCGTATTTATCAGCACGCTAGACTGTCCCCCTTCCACAACGACAGCTGCATTGACATCGCTTCTCGTAGCCGCGACTAAATATGTTCTCGGTCCATGAACTTGTTGGAATGCTCTTCTTCGATCGTGATTAAGTTTCGTAATTAGCTACAGTTAGCCAGCGTTGCTTATTCTATTCTAAGAAGCGCCAATCAAGGTGTTTGCGTAATTGTGTGAAGTGTTTGAAGAGAGGTCAAGGTCCTTCGACTAAACGTATGGCGGTTGGAAATACTGCTACTTCCGCTAAATATGAGGCTCTGAAATTTCCACGGGATAGGTTGATATAGGCAAAGTAGAGCGAGATGGGCAGGTCCTAGCAAGGGAAAGTCGAGAGAGCAAAAGATGATTGCCTATGTGTATGCAGGACCCAGCAGTGTATGAGCTCCCTCAGCTACCTCAACTGGCTATCAAACCCGTAACCAGTGCCACGAGAACCATAGCCACGAGCCTACTCCACCGCAATCAATCTGCCTTTTTCAAACACCAACCATCCCCCTACTTCTTCTTCTTCTTCGTCTTATCCACCACCTCAACCCACCCCCTCAATACCCCCCTCCTCTCCAGCGCCTTAAACACTGCATCCTTCTGCGGCCCCTGCGCCAGAATCTCCATGACCGGGTTCTTCGGACTACTGCCCATCAGCTTATCCACGCTCGTGCTGCTCGCACACGCCTTCCGCAACTCGTCCGCCAAAGCCTGCGGCTGGATGAAGAATGGCTCGATGCCGTGCACTTTCGTCACCGTCTTGCTGCCCGTGCGCGTCTCGAGGACGATCTGGATCTTAGGCGGCGCACCCGCCTTCGGCTTGACGTTGTCGTTAGAGGGGGGAGACTCGCGCGCGATGACGTGGAAGGGCGCAGAGGCCGCGATGAAGCGCTCCGTCAGTACGTCGCGCGGGATGGCGCCGGCGGCGAGGGCTTGGGAGTCTAGCGCTGAGTTCGTGAAGAGGGTGTTTGCGATGAGGGGGTTGAGGGTTATGAGGCGCTTGTTCTTTGGAGAGACGAGGTTCTCAGATTCGATATAGGCACTAAGGATGGATTTGAGCTCGGATGCGGGATAGTAACCCCTAGGGTCGGAGTTCGAGGGTGTGAAAATAGGGGCGAGCTTGTCTTTTGCGTGGAGGAGGGATTGGATCTTGAGTTTCTGGCCTATGGAAGGGTCGGAGGAGTCAGTTGGAGCGGATGGTGCTTTGCCGTTGGAAGCTAGGGCCGAGGCGGGAGGATCCTTCTTGGGTAGTCGATACGGCTTGAAGGATGTGAAGGCGTCATCTGCAAAGTCAATATCGAGGATGACGACTTGGTTTCCATCTCGGTCTTTAGCCTTGAGCATCTTTGCTTTGTCGAGGGACTTGATGAACTTCTTGATGTTCTTCCAGCTCGTCTTCTTGATTTGAAGTGATGCTGCTCGGGCGTGGGTATACGCTGGTAGGAAAGGCTGGACTAGAGCCGACATGACGATGGATTGGGAGAGGGGGAACTCGAGGCCATAGCTGGGTTGGTTCTTGTTGGTTTTCATGTGGTGTGTGACGCCGTAGAGGAATGCGTCTCGGAATGCGTCGTCGATTTCTATACATCCTGTCAGTCATAACGATACGAGGCTTGTTGAGATAGAATATAGGGAGCCCTTTACCTTTTTGACTCAACTCCCTATCCTCCAACACATCCACGAACCCCTCATTCGCCGGCACATCCTCCCCTTCCACCTCTTGCTCTTGCTCCGCCTTCAACCGCTCAGCCTGCAGCTCAACACCCCCCTCCCCATCACCATCCTCCAGATCCAACTCTTGGGCCTGTTCCGCCAACTCGTCATCTCCCCCACCCACATCCCATCCATCGAGGTGCTCCGGGGCCTGCCCACCCGGCCGCCCTCCAGAGCTCCACCCCCATATCTCATCCCCGGCCCAGTGAAACGTCTGCACCGCATGCCCCTTCGCACCCTGCACCTTTCGCAACGCACTGACATCAATCTCACACCTCCCCACCACCATCGGCACAGTCGGGCTCTCCAAGCTCGCAATCGCCACAACCGCGCCCTGCTTCGCCTTCGCGGGGAACGGCGGCCCACGCTGTAATCCCGGCGTCATGAGGTCGGCGCCGCTCTGCAGCTTCCCGACCACGGCGTGGGGGGTATAGAGGAGGGGGAGGATGCCGGGGTTGTGCCATAGCGTGTAGACTGCATCACACAATCAGAATCAGTGAATGGGTAAGTCGAGTTGCGCGGAGGGACGAACCGGTAGGGTAGAGCGTCTCCTCGACCTTGACCCAGAGGATGCGCTGCTCCTCACCGTCGTGGGCGCCTACATACACGGTGCCGGATATCTGCCTGAGCTCCGGGCCCGCGGTCGTCGTGAACCTCGCGGACTGCGCGTTCTCGGGGAGGAGAGACCGCCTCAGAGTTGTGAGTGCAGCTACTGACGCTGTCTTGTCCTCGGGGTTGGCATCGGCGTCATTGTCTATGGGGAGGACGATGCCGAAGTCTGCTATAATGCTGTCGGCGGTGCGGCGGCGGTCGGAGGATTTGAGCGGGGAGAGAGGTTTGATCTGGGGATTTTTAGCAGAGGTTAGGAATGCTCGGTGGACGTTATACGTTTGGCTTCTTCTTGAACATTTTGAAGGTTTCGATGTGGTGGTGTTTGAATTTGTTTGTCTGGCAAATACGAGGTTCAAGCTCAGAGCTCGAAATGACTGTTTTCGAGGTGACGTTGGAGGGGCAAGGTGGGCTATTTTGATTGGCTTGGCTACAATAAGTAGGCACCGCCTTTCAAAGTAACACACCAAAGGATTCTGTAGGTAATATCACGATTACCAGGACATATTCACTCTAGGCTTGTGTGCACTAGTTCAGCACCGCTTAAGGTCCTCTGGTACGTCACCAAAATTGGTAAAGGCTATCGGGTGTTGGAGTTGTCTCATTTATCTCTAGTGTATCAAATCAATAGCGTGCTCCCTCCAATTCACGCCTTTGCAAACGTAACATGTTGAGTGCCACGCTTCGGATTCGATTCAGCATGGAAAGGTGTCACAGCCACGCCACTCAACCCAAATGTCACACATAAGTATCACTCCACCAAACACACAAACAGATTGGAATATCAGTTGATTCCATTGATCATAAATACCTAACTACCCAAGCCTCTCAACCGACCTACTGGCCAATAATCAGCCACTCCACCAAATCCAACCTCAACAAAGTGATCAGATCGCTTCTCAGAGTATCCAGCCAAAGGTAAGCCCGCAGGTCAGTCAAGTCAAGAGGAATTCTAGCCATACCATCCATCCAAACCCATTCCGCCAAAGTAGTAATCAAGAGAAAAAGCAAAGAATCCTGCCACAGCAGCGAAAGCCGCATCCAGTCAGAGTCACACCACAATGGTCGTAGTAGTGTACTCCATTCGCAAGGACCTCCCAGTTTTTCAAGATCGTTGGCAAGAAGAGTAAAAAGAAAAGCACAAGGAGCCGCCGACCTTGTATGTTCAAAGAGTACTAAGGAAAAAGAGAGCAAAGGAAAAAAAGGAAAAGTATTGAAGACCCTCAAGTAAGAAGCAGACCTATCCATGGTGAGGCCGCTCCAGAACAGCTTCAAGCTGTGTGATGAGGATTTTCCATATGCAATGCTCGCAGTGACCGCAAGCCAAGGTATGAAAAAGCAAGTAGCAAAGACAGTCGCAAAAGAAGCCATAGGGGTGCAGATAGTCCGGTGCCGGAATGGGGAAGGGTTAAAAAGCCAGGTAATGCAGGTGATGATGTCTGTCGTTTGCCGGGGAATGGTTTTGTACAAGCAGTCAATGAAGCAATGTAGAAGAAAATATGCTGACCAGTCCGATTGACTGAGCCAGTCCGGTACGCCCCCCATGCCTCGTTAGTATACAGGAGGATGCAGTGATGGTCGCCAGGGAATCGCCGCTTTTCCGGTAGAAAATGGAAAGCTTGCTGGATCTAGTGGTGACAGCGGCCGTAAAAGTCGTAAAGGTGCTGCGCTCTCGTTTGATTCCCAAGGGTTGAAGATGATGCAAGATCCAAACAGGAAAGAAAGGAAGGTCTCCTGACATCATGATGGTTTTTGTGGGAACAGGTTTTTTGGACGAGGTTGCGATTTTGGATCCAAGGAGAGAAGGAGCCGTGAATCATAGAGAAGTTCGTTACGTCGTGACGAGTTGGATACGAACTCAGAAGAAGCTCTGCTGACTGGAAGAAGATCCCTGTCCGCTGCCGTAGTAGCCCTGATGTACAGTATTTTGGAGATGGCTAGGCAGAGGAGGATTGGACAGACGATGCGGCTGCGGGGAAACGATGTTGGCTCCATAGGCGTGGCTGGCGGTAGCGTACATCGGGGGAGGGCTGTTGTACGAAGACATAGCGCGGTACTGGCCAGTGAAAGCGGCAGGCGGGGACTGGCTGGCAGCGACGGAGTGCGGAGAAACATGACCAGAAGAGTGGCCCGAGGAGAGGCTTCCGAGGGCAATCTCGCGCTCTTGAACCTTGCTCTGGATGCGACGACCATATGGAGTCTGGCGGATCATGACTAGGTATGGGCGGATAGCTTCGACGAGCTGGATGGTCTGGTCCGTAGGAGCGTACTCGAGAGCAGTCTGCACGACGTAGTTGGCGAAGTTGTCGCGAAGAAGCTTCTCAAGCTCGTCAGGGTGGAGCAGCTCATCGATCATCATGCGCTTGGTGTTCATGTCAGCGACGCGGATACACTTCTCGATGACGTTGGAGCTGAACTTCTGCTTGGACAAGGCAGCGACCTGACCGCGGAAGCCCATGCAGAGAGGTTGCGTGAAGTCAGCCTCGTTCAGGTCAAGGATGTACTGAACAACGTAGTTGCCGAAAGGATCCTGGACCAGAGTGATGCTGTTGGCAGTGATCTGGCGAACGAGCTTGACCTTCTGCAGCCCGGAAGCGTGGTCGATACAGCGCTGAAGAACGCAGCAGCCGTGACGGTGGGTGCCCACGATGATGCAATGCTCTCCAACCGCGTCGAAGATGAACTGAGCATCCGCGGCACTGAGGTGGTTCAAGCACTTCTGAATGACATGGTTGCCGTTCAGATCCTGGATGAGGTGGACAACGCGGCCGCTCAGGTGCTCAATGATCACATTGATCTGGTAGAGTTAGCGAAAGTAAGTCAGAAAAGAAGTGGGAGGGACAAACCTGTTCGGGAGTGGTGATGTACTCAATCATCTTCTGCAGAGCGCGAGTTCCATGCTGGTTCAGAGCGATCTGAACAATGGAGGGAGCCGCGTTCTTGACCAGAACAGTGCGCTGCTCATCGTTCGTGTACTCCAACAGCTTCTGGCACAGGTAGTTGCCGAAGGGATCTGCGAGGTGATTAGTGAAAGGAACGCAAGAAGCAGAAAATGGAGGAACTTACCAGTCATCAGCTCAATCACAAACGGATTGGTCTCGCGGAAGATAATCTCCAGGTGCTCCGGGTTCTTGCCCTCGAGCTGCTTCTGCAGGAAGCGGCAGCCATGCTGGTCCTTGCAAAGCTGGTGGATCTCCTGGCCAGACATAGTCTTGAGATCAAGGTGGGCGAAGCGGTTTTGATCTAGATAAGCAATTAGTATAGATGTTCTTCAGGAGTCAACAAAAATAAATCTCGCAAGTGTACCCTCACCGTTCTGCATGCGACGGCTCTGAATGACGCGAGCCTGAGAATCCTGGAAGCGACCTTGAGGACCGTAGTGGTGCTGGTAAGACTGAGGACCAGGACCATACTGGCTGTAGGGACCCTGCTGGTACATGCCAGACTGGTAGTTTATCTGCGGAGCACCAAGCTGCATGCCCTGGAAGCCCATGTTGAGCATGCCCATGCCGCTAGCCATACCGTTGGTGCCATTGTTGTAGTTGCCGTAGCCACCAAAGGTGGAGGGAGTGTTGTACTGCGATACCGGAGAGGTGATGCCATTCAGGGCACTCATGGCGGACAAGCTCGGGGAAGAAGTGATCGGAGCGTTGAAGGGAGCAGCGCTAGCGTGCAAGTTCGAACGAGCCTGCTGACGGTACGGGGACTGCAGAGTCAACTCTTGCTCCTGGGCGCGACCGTTGCCGTAGTCCTGGCTCTGGCGGTGGTTGGGAAGGCGACCAAGGCTGGCGTTGTGATTGTGAAGGTGCTGCTCAGCGTGGGTGTTGAAAGCAGCGGGGCCGTTGGAGACGCCGTTGGTGCCGTTGCCGTTCTTCAGGGTCGGAACGTCATTGGCCGAGTACGAGGACTGGAGCTTCGGAACGCCGTTGGTCGAGGCGCCGTTGGTCGAGGCCGACTGGAAGTTGGAGCGCTTGGACTCAGTGCTGTACGGGCTGAAATTGACCTCCATGGAGTGGCGGTTGCCAGACTTCTTCGGAGTGGTCTGAGCAGCCTCGCCAAAAGCGCCGTTGCCAAGCTCGTACTCCTCTGGTTGAGTGGTCCTGCTGAAGGTGTTGACTGGCAAGCTGAGCTGCGCATGGTGACGATGAACCGAAGAAGCAGGCGGGTTCCAGCCATTGTCGTGAGCATCCGAGGAAGACTGCTGCGAAGTTGCAAGATCCAGAGCGTACTTGCCAGACTCGCCGCGGAGAATCGGGAACTTGGTCCGGTCGGTATCCATCTGCTGGAGGAATGTGCTCTCTGGTGAGGTCACAGAGCGACCGCCGTTGCGATCGTGGCGGTCCTCGTCACGGAACAGGAAGTTGGCCGTGTCGACGTGTCCGAGGACATTGCTCAGGCCAGGCAGGTCGGCCTGCATGTTTCCCTGAAGACGCTGTTCCTGCGAAGTAACAGGCATGGAGAGACGATTGGTGCTATCGCGGACGTTAGAGATGGCCGTGCAGTTGTTTGACGCGCCAAACGCGAAGGAATGCAGTGACGTGAGTAAGGAATGCGAAGTAAAGATGGTGTAGGTGGAAGGAAGAAGGTGGGGGTTACACAACATTAAGTAGTCGAGCTGCAGTGAGATCCGATAACAGATAAGAGGTGAAGGTGCAAGTGAGGAGTGAGCTTGAAGGCAGCGGGTGGAAGGCAGGCAAGTCGGAGGTTACAAAGCCGAAGAACTTCCAGGCGGCACATGATGAAGGTAGACAGTGAAGTGGAAACAGCGGTGAGGACAGACGCGCTTTGAAATGGCAAAAGGAAATGGGGACATACGATCGAGGGGGCGGGCTCATCATGCCTAGGTAGCGGTTGTTGTCGTAGCGATCGTCGTTCTCCTCGTCCGAGTTGCGTCGCGAGCCGGGCATGGACTTCGAGGGGAGCAGGGAACTAGTCGAAGTCGCGGTAGTCTGGGCAGAACCAGCACGGCTCTGGCGGTTGGCCATTCCGGAGGGAGAAGTGAAGCCGTTCAGGGCTCCGTTGAGGGTCGAGTTGAGAGAGAAGCGGTTGCTACCCGGGCGAGAGAACTGGGTAGGAAAGCCGTGGTCGTGGAACTCGGGGGGAGTAGTGGGTTCGGACTGGTGGCCTTGGCCAGAGAAGCTGGAACGACCCATCTCGCGGCTGACCTCGTCGGTGTCGGCCTTGAGTCGATTTTCGAAGAGAGCCATTTCAGCTTCGAATCGGCGACGTTGTTCGCGTAGGTATTCGAACTCGAGTTTCTTCTTTTCAAGCTAGGGGAGGTGTTAGCATCTGCTGAGACTGTGAAGACGTGGAAAGAAGTTGAAGTGGTGGAGGGACAGGACTCGCGCAAGCCGAAAGACGACTAGCGGGGTGGGAAAGACGGTGGGGAGGAGATCTTCAAGCAAGCCCGGCAGATCTTCGCGGGGAAGGCTGCTGACAAGCTGAAGAAGCTCGAGAAGGAGATGTAGGAGTCGAAGAGAGGCGGTTGGGTGAATATCAGACCGCGCGTGCGGGATCTGGTGGTGGAGGAGGAGATCTCGGGGTACTTACAACCTGTAGCTTATGATAAGTCTGACAGACAGAAAAATGTTAGCTGAGTTCTATGGATTTCCGCAGCAAGCAAGGCACAGCACGACGATCGACGATGGTGTGAGGAAGGTGGAAAGAGGTGGGCAGGTGCGAGTTCATATAGCTGGCCGCACACAGACGAGAAAACGCCCGGGCCGCCTGCCTGTCAATGGCGAACAATAGACGAGAGGGTGAAGTGACTAGCGTCCTATTGTTCTCCTCGCACACAGGCACTCAATAGCAGTCGCGGTGAAGTGTAGGAAACGCATCCTCTCGGCTTACCGCGGTGGTGAACTCGGCGGGCTCGGCGGCCTGGCGGCGCTGCTGGCCAATTGGCGACAACGGGGTGCTCTGCAGCGTGGGCACGGTATTCGTGGTGAAGCGACGGTGGAGGGTAGCCCGGGCGTCGTTCACCTGCTGGGCATTGTGGCCTTGCAACTGGCTGCCGACGCCGCGGAGGGGACTTGTGATGGGCGGGAACGACGAGTCGTCACGCGGGGACTGGGGGTTGCGGAAGCGCAAGTCGTCCTGGCGGTCTCCCAGGCCGGTGGAGAAGGCCATGGTGGGCTTTATAGGTGCTGGCTGGTAGAGCAAGAACAGTCAGCGCTGGATTCGTGGTTGCGTCTCGAGTCAACCGCGGATTGGGGCATGGGGTTGGCGGCGGTGTGGGGACACGAACCGCTATTCTGGCAGTCGCGCAGCACTCGATGGGGATGCTGGGGCCTCGAGGGAACAGGCACTCACAGAGGACGGCGGAGAGAGGGCAGCGGCCCGTTTGAAGCTTCTGGGCAAGCAGCAGTGGTGTCTGAGGTGCTGGGTGGGTACGAGACGAGGTGGGAAACGCTGCTGGCTCCGTGGTCTCCAGGCGCCCCGTGCAGACGCGAATCGCTGGCCTCTTTATGGCCAGCACCTGGGCACGGCGTAGAAGTACAAGAGAAAAGAGCGAAGTTGGCGGGCGTCTTGGGGCGTTTGCGCACACTACAAATACAATGTGGTCGGGGGACAGTCACGTCCAGCGAGGGAAGGACCCTGATGCTAGGAGGTAGACGAACCGGCAAGCCATAGACATCGGCGGAGGAGCCTTAGCCCCGCCTCCTGCGACTTGTGCAGCAATAATAGCAGCCTCACCCACAGCAGCACGGCTTCACGTCCACTTAACCTGAGTGCGCCTCGAGCCGTCCGCCTTCCAATATTCAAGTCCCATGGACACGCCCGCTTCGAGCCCTCCAGATCTTGGAACCCTCGCTGCCGAACAGCCTCCGCCGCAGCCTGGCAGCCAACCTTCTGGGCCCTCCGCCGTCCCATGGCTAGAGGGGGAAAGCCGGGCTCAGTGCGTGCAGATGCGGCCACTCACAGCGCCCAATTCAACGTCATCCTCTGCACTCGCAGTGATGCCAGCAGCGGCCCCAATGGCACGGCGCAGATCTCTGCGCGCCTGGCCAGCGAGGCAGCATCAACGACGAGGGCCACCACCATCGCGCCCCGGCTCCGACGGGAGGCGGACGGGCAAAGAGAGGGGCAGCATATGCAGAGGGAAGTCGAGGGTCCACTGGGCGTGCGCACGTATGCAGACGCCCGTGTCAAGTCCTCTCCGCCCCTCGAGTTCAGCAGCTGTGCGGCCATCGACACGCACAACTCACGAGCCAGTCACAAAATCCGGAAAGCAGCAGTCAAGCGAGTCGAGTGTGCTCCGTGCCGAAGCTGGCAGCAAGCGCCCACGGTGTAACCCCATCCCGCTCTCACGCCTCTCTCCCCGGCCGCGCATCTGAGACCCCATGGCATCGCCAGCTTGCGCCTGCAGTTCCAGTTTCGTTGAGCCCGCACCGCTAAACGCGTCCGCCCCGACCCCGGAGTGGGGAAGTGCAGCCCTCCCTCTGTAGCCGCGCAAACGTGATGCCTCACCGCTCCTCAAACCAGAACGCCATGCCGTTCCGCGCGGAGCACGCTGTCTGCCCTGGACTAGCCCGCTTCTAGCCCTAGTTCTAGCCCAGCACGTGCCCAGGCCCACCGGCCGACGTGCCGTATCGATAGCCATGGTGTTTCAGAAGCGGCTGCTGAGGTGGGCCAATAAGAGGGCGTGCGAGGCGCTGGGGTGGTGACGAGTTGCGGAGGGAAGTCTTGCTCCACCACTGACTTATGTTCTCATGATATACGTAGATATGGTGGAGCAACTGATATCTAGATCATCTATTTCTATACAGCTTTCTGTCGTAAAATATCGCAGCCTCGGTCCCCATCCTCACACGCCTGCGCCCCGCCGTCTTAATCCACCAGCGGCGGAGAATCCCAGCACCCAGAGCCCACGGTTCTCAGTCGCCGACAGCGCTGGTTCGCTTTCGGAATTGACTCTGAGCCGGACGCGAACCAGCGGCCGGCTCCCTTGCCGGCCGATGTCGCCATTCCATCCCTGGCCGAGTCACGGGAAATGCCCTACGCACGTGCTACGATACTCACTTACAGCCTGCTTCATCACTTCATGATTTACTCTTTCTTCGCTCATCAGTGATTAACACTCGCCCCGATGCAACCCCAGAGACTTTGCCGTGGTCAACGACAGGGAAATACCATGCAAGTAACGATGTTATCATCACGAATCACCAACCCTGATGATCTAGGCAGAGACGCCGCCACGCAACGTACAGAAGACAACTCATTCATCAGGGTATCCATGGCCAAGCCGCCTCTCCTTCACGACCACGATCGAGTCTTTCAGATCGACGCCGGAATGGCTCCCTACCATTGACACGGTGGAGTCGCTATGACCCTGCGACTCCTTCTCGACTCTATCATCCTCACCGATTCCCGCTTGTTCCCCTTCCAGAGCGGAGATCGACGCGAGAGGCTCATGAACATTAGGGCCATCACCAACTTGCTCTACCTGATCACTAGGAGGTGGCAGCGGCTCATTCTCCTTGTCATCGTCGGACGCAACGTCTTCGTGAGTGACGCGGGCCGGAGCAACTCTCCGAGCTGCTAAAAGCAGACCGTCATCGTTGCTCACCTTGTGAATGGCACTCAGACGAGTTCGGATGCCCAACCTTCCCTTCGGTTTCGCCTTGACAAAGCGCTGGCGCTTCTGAACTTGGGCCTCTTCCACTTCCGGGCGGTACTCTTGGGCTAGTGGATGTTTGCGCTTCTGCTTCCGAGCCTTTGGTTCCTCAGCTCCTGCGTCCACCTCTTCGGCCAACGGCGACCGCTTACGCTTCGAATTAGCCACTTGCTCCGCCACGTGCGTGACCTCTCGATAGCACTCCAACCCCCTCACCGCATGGTCATGATACCAGCAGCTCCCCAACTCCGCCACCTTCGTCGGCAGATTCCCAAACCGCGGTATTCCCGTCGCCTGCCGATCCTTTCCCAGCTCCAGGTAGCACTGCTGAACACGTCGCAAGAAGCTGTTCGGATAGTCATCCGAGTTCTCGATGCGGCAGCAGTCCACATTCCCACTCCCGCAAACCTCCACAAACAGCTTCCGCAGCAGAGAATTCGGCTTCGCGAGGCGCCACACTGCGTTGACGAGCGCCTGCCCCGGCGGGGCGTGCGGCTTGAGCTTGCGGAGCAGCTCGTCCATGATGTGGTCCATGAAGCGGGATGCGCCGATGCGCTCGCCGAGGAGGTATGCCTCGACGAGGTCTTCGGCGGTGTTCCATTCGAATTTCGTGCCGTCCGCTTCCCTGATGCGGTTCTCGCGGACGAAGAAGTGGAAGACGGTGTAGGCGGGGACGTCTTCGTCGCCGAGTATGTCGAGCTCCTCGTCATTCTTTTCGGGGTCCCGGAGGTGCTTGGCAAAGGAACGGGAGTGCTTGATCAGCGCGTCTCTGTTGAAATCGAAGGTCGCAGCGGGGATGAAGACCGGAAGTTGTCCGCGACCTGGGTGGATGAAGTGCTCGACATGACCGAGCCGTAGCTGGAAATAGGGAGTTTTGGGAGCCGTAGGACGGATGGAAGTGCTTCGTATCATCTTGCTAGTTAATTTCCTGCTAGGAATGCTTTTTTTAAGAGTGGGATTTTGTTAGAAGAAATTGGTGGTGCGTATGGTGGTGGCACTCGCAGGTGTGTATGGTATTGCACAGGTTCTAGTAGATGCGCCGACTTTGTAGGCAGCCCTTCGCCTTGAAAGCAGCATGCTCAGTGAATCTCGACCGCCTATTTGAATAGCGCCGGGTGATGTAAAGGGCATCAGGGTGAATGTAGGGCCTTGAGGATATAAGGACCAGTAGCAGACATTGTGGCCATCCGAGCAACCACAAGATATAACACGATATAAAGATGTATAGGCCCCCTTTCCTGCTCGAGTACTACGAGAAGAGCCATGGAAGGGTGCAAGCATTTCCTGATCGCAAAATGCTTGAAGGAAAGATTAGAGGGAAGGAAGAGAAGGAAAAGAAGCCAAAGATAAAGAGCCTATTCTGAGAGTTTGACGATCTTCCCTAATTTGCGACGCTCCTTCTCGTACCAGTATATCCATAAAACCCTATATTCCTCTGCTGTGCTCTTACTTGCATTGTAGTTTCTTGTCGTCGACGACGGCAAAGTCTTTGGGCTTGCATCGGTGCTGGTATTAATTACGTGGAGATACTAATTCGGCATTAGAGCGTGTAGTTCTACTCCTGCACAAATTTGAAAGAGACTCTAACCCACCGCGTGCTTTCGTTTCAATTTCCAATATTGACCGCGAAGGGCCTCTTGATAATCACTTGTGGTGGAGCGAAAGGTCACGTGGGTAAGAAGCTAACTACCACGCTAACCAGCGAGGGTTCACGCTATCAGGGGCCATCTACTGACGGATGTTTCCCATCGCTATCTTTCCAAAACCTCATCTCCGTCCATCCACCATCATGCACCACGTTGACTTGGCAATGGAGTCAAAACAAAACGCTCTTACGTACAGCAGGAGCATTCTCCATGATGTTTCGTACTGGGTATTCTACTATTCTATGTACCGCGGCCTGATGTTCTGCACATCATTTAGACACCTTTACCCTCTTCCCTATCAAAAGCCTATACTACGCAAGAAACCGTCTATTCCGATTGATTCCTTTAATATAGCTCGGCACATGGAATCGATCGCATGTTCTGCATGAATAAAATGTCCTTGGACAAGGCGAATCATCGGATCTGACTCGTTCACGCCTTGCTCCGACACTAATCTAGATTGAACGATGCTAACCATCGCCAAGTGTTTCAATGCTTCCATCGAAGGTAATATGCCGAAACTACTCGCAATAGTCACCGGAAAATTATATTCAACCCCACTGTATGCATACAAATCTTCCGGAAGGTCCCACTGCAATCTTTTTCGCTGGGCGGGGACTACAATAATAAAGTGATGCTAGAAGGCGTCCATCCAAGGCACTATCTTTGTTTCTTTCTTTCAAACCCATTCATTCCTTTCAGACATGCCGGGCATGTCAATCTTCTCGCTTCTTTCGCTTATGCTGCTTGCGGGACGGTCCGTAGCTGTCGGTGTCGTTGGAACCCCCGAAGGATTTGCTGCGAGCACTACTGGTGGTGGCTCTGCTACTCCTCAATATCCTGCTGATATCGCTGAGTTGAAGACTTGGCTTACTGATTCAACGACCCGAGTTATTGTCCTCAACAAAGAGTACGCATCATCTATCTCAACTACCACCGTACTGGTCTAATCTTAAATTTCTAGGTACAACTTCATCGGTAGTGAGGGTTCCGTGACCGAGACAGGATGCAGACCTGCTTCGAACAAGTGCCCGGGTGATGGTGGACAGGATGCCATCAATCACGCTGACTGGTACTGCAACCTCCCCAAAATTGCTGTACATGGAGCTAACCTAACATGCTTCTTAGGTGTACCAACGGTAACGCTGGAACCGGAGCAACTTCTATCAGCGTCACTTACGACAAAGCCGGCGTCAGCCCCATCGACGTCGCCCCAAACAAGTCCATCATTGGAATCGGAAGCTCTGGAGTCATTCGCGGCAAGGGTCTGCGCATCGCCAATGGATCAAAGAACGTCATCATCCAGAACATCCGTATCACCGAGCTGAACCCTCAATACATCTGGGGAGGGGATGCAGTCACCATCGCAGGCGCAGATCTAGTTTGGATAGATCACGTCAAGATCTCTCTCATCGGTCGCCAATTCGTCGTCTTGGGCACCACCGCCTCCAACAGCGTATCCATCACCAACAACGAGTTCGATGGCTCAACGTCCTGGTCGGCAACCTGCGATAACCACCATTACTGGGCCTTATATTTCACCGGTTCCAGCGACCTAGTCACCCTCAAGGGCAACTACATCCACCACACCAGCGGCCGCTCGCCAAAGGTCGGCGGCAACTCCCTCATTCACGCAGTTAACAACTACTGGTATGCGAACAGCGGCCACGCCTTCGATGTCGCCAGCGGTGGCTACGTGGTTGCGGAAGGAAACGTCTTCCAGAACGTCGTGACACCGCTTCTTTCTGGCTCTGCTGGCAGTGTGTTCTCCTCCCCGGACACCACGACCAACAAAGCTTGCTCGACTTACCTGGGTCATGTGTGCCAGCTCAATGCGTTTGGAAGCAGCGGCACGCTTACTGGCTCTGTTACGAGCTTCTTCTCGAATTTCAATGGCAAGACGGTTGCGTCTGCTGCTGCTAACTCTGGCGTTGCTTCTAGTGTGAAGGGTAATGCGGGTGTTGGGAAGGTCTGAGTGGTCTCTCGCACGACATCTGTTTGGGAGCTTGGGGAATGAGGTTTACTCCTTTTGCTTCTCTAGTATATACTTTGTCTTCTAAGTTTGGGAGCTTGTGCTTTTTGCTAGCTATCCTATGTATATATATTGTTCAAAAAATGGATGAGGATTCTGAGTTCACGCCGAGTCAATTAACTTCCGAATGTACCTTTGAATACATGTGAATACGATAGCCTCACGTGTGAACCATCGTATCATAGTTTTTACCATACAAAGGTAGCCTCCAGGGTAGTAAGGGGTCCTTGTAATGAACCGTGCACGCTCACATCAGCAATATCTAAACTTCCACCCTCTTCGCTCTCAAGACTAACATACGTTCTTTCTCTATCAAATGGGCAATGCCTACTCCTAGGCTCCTCGTCCAGGCTACCTCAACATGCCCCAAGTTCCTCCAATCCTCCAGACCCTTTCCTAAAAAACTCGTCCGAATCCCTGCCCCGCAAACCAGGCCCCTCTCCACCCCCTCCCCCGCTCCGCCACCACCCCAAACCCCCGACGACTCCCAAGACTTCTTCAACTACACCTACGGCCGCTTCCTCTGGCGCGAGCCCCAGCAACTGCGCGCGCGCCACCGCGCCTTCAACGCCGCCGCGCTGCAAGCCGTCGCAGCGCAGGCCGCCGGCGCGCAGTCATGCGTCTCGATGCGCAAAGTCTGGGAGACGGACTACTTCAAGCTGTTCCGCCTGGTGCTGGACGACGGGCGCGAGGTGGAGGCCCGGGTGCCGCACCCGAACGCGGGCGCGGCGCGGTACACGACCGCGTCCGAGGTGGCGACGATGGCGTTTGCGCGCGACGTGCTGGGGGTGCCGGCGCCGCGGGTGCTGGCGTGGAGTAGTGCGCCGGAGGAGGAGAATGCGGTCGGGGCGGAGTATGTGGTTACAGAGAAGGTGGAGGGTAGGTGCGGTTTTTTTTTCGTTTTGCTGAGATTGATGTTTTTGGGAGAGGCTGATGATGGTGGGAGATAGGGACGAAGTTGGTGTATCTTTGGGGGGAGATGAGTCTGTATGAGAAGGAGAGGATTATTGATGAGCTTGTTGAGATTGAAAAGAGATTTTTGAAGGTGGAGTTTAGCAAGTGAGTATCGCGGTTATTGGTGTTTGTTTGGGGGAAACTTATATTCTGCGTCTAGGTCTGGTGCTATATACTACGCAAATGAGGGCCTACCCGGCTGCGAAGAAGTGGAGATCACCGGTGACTTTTCTGAAGATGTCAGGGAGAGCCTCAGTAGATTTGCAATCGGTCCAACAACCGAGAGAGAGTTCTGGAAGAATGGAAAATCGGACATGGATCTCAATCGCGGTCCCTGTTCGTCTTCCAATCCGGCCCTTCCGTGTGTTCTACTTACCACTTTACAGGGCGCACAGCACAAGACTACTTCGAGTCAATCGCTCACAACGAAATCGCCTGGCTTCGCCGATTCGCCACTCCGGACTCCCTCGACATGACCAATCGATGGAGCGTAAGCTACAACCAACGGATCCCAGAAGCCCACATAGAAATGCTCCGCAAGTACCTCAGCGTTATACCCCTAGTTACGCCAAAAGACCCGGATCTCATATCATTCCGCCTCTGGAACTCGGAACTGCACGATCAGAACGTGCTCGTTCATGAAGGCAAAATCACCTGTATCTTTGATTGGCAGGCTATCTCTGTCCGACCGCTCTTCCATTCCGCTAGCGTGCCTCACTGTATACGCTATGCCGGAGACCTGATGCTGGAGCTGCCGGATAACTTCAACGAGTTGGACGACGAAGAGAAGGCAGAGATGCGTGACACAGTATCTCGATCTATATCATCGCGTCTCTACAGCCAAAAGACGGAAGCGCAGAACCCCTTGCTTCATAAAACGCTCACGCATCCTCATTGCGACAGAATTGGGGAACTGATAGCCTGCGCGGAGGGCACTTGGGATGGCGATCTCGTCAGACTTCGCGAGATCTTGAAGAGATTGGAACGGTAAGCGCTTTCTACACCCACCTTTTCACATTCTTCTGGGTCGATGTGTAATTGAAGTGCTCGATTAGAGACTGGGAAACCCTGGGCATTGACGCGCCATGCCCCTACCACTTCTCCGCCGCCGAGCTCGAGAAACACCGCGAGTCGGCTGAGGGCTTTAACCAAAGCCAGGACCTATGGCAGCAGTTTTCTGACAAAAATATGCTACGTCGAGACGGATGGGTTTTCCACGAAACGTTCGAACTGTTAGTTGAAATGTTTGCAGGGCTCCGGGACGATGGGCTTAGGGACTGTAAGAATGACCCTGAGTGCACTGAGGAACAGTGGAATGACTTGGAAGAAGCGACGCGGTGGGTTTTGGAGCACAAAAGGAAAGGAGGAGGTGGGGAGGCCGTCAGTTCCGGTTGAGTGGCCACAATGTTGAGCTCTGGCGCAAGACATAGCCAGCGCCAACCTCGGGAGGACTCCAACAAGTTTCCCAAGCGTGTAATCGCGACACTCCACTCACTCCACTTAGAACCTGTAAAAATAGTCAGATACTAGATATCCTAAGATGCGCACTGCATAATCCCACATCAAAAACAGGGGCCTAAAAATACTTGAACGGCAAAGGAAAGGAGACATGAATATGTCCGGTGCCAAGAATCGAACTTAGGTCTCAACGCCCACGAACGGAAGTTCGCGGTCCAGTTGCGTTCTTACCATTACACTAAACTACACCGGATGAAAAACAGCACTAAATGGATACATCTATGTACTATGTGAATGTCAGCGCTTCAGTATGCGTGCATTCTTGTATCGTGATGTTGAGGATTTGAACGAGAAATCTTTCCCAGGAACAGGAATATCTGATGGCTATGCGGACGCCGTCACTCACAAATACTAGGCTCTAAAAGGCTGCAAGAAAGTAGAAAGATATACTAGGGTTTGAGCAGAATATCACCATGCGCTCTCATCTACTTCTCTAACATCTAAGCCCAATGCCAGGTCCTATAATCACAACGAAACCACCTTCCCAAGCATGCACACCTATCCAAGCCTATCGCCCACCCAAGCATAAGAGCAAAGACCCTCTTTCACCCATCTAATCAACAGCTAAGTCACACACACCTCTAATCAAGCAAACTCGCCTGCGCCTTCCCTCCCCCTAGATACGCGCCCAACCTCGCCCTAAACCCCCTCGCAAACTCGACCGCAATCTGCTGCTGATACCACTGATGCCTCGCGTTGTGATCCTTAACCAGGTTATGCGCCAGCTCATGACAATACGTCAGGTACCACGCATCCCACGCCCTGTTCTTCCCCGCCTCAGTTCCCCACTCCGCACAATGCAGTTCCATAAACCACGCCAAATTGAAGAAGAGCGAACCCGAGAGGTTGAAAGCGACCGTGTTCGACTTGCTGTCAAAGAAAATGTTGATAGCCGACGGATCGACGCCGAAGATTTTGGTGAGAGCGAGGATGAGGGGCAAGAAGGCGGAAAGCGGCGCCTCGATATCCCTCGGTGTCTCGGTCTCGAATTTCCCAAAGTACACATCTACGCTGACGCCGTCGATGGGGACAGAGTACGCTTTCGCGATGTTCTCCGCCTGCTCGTCATTGCAGTAGCCGCCTTTGTCCAGCTCGGTCGCGTCGGCGTGGTGCTTGGAGTCGATTACGTCGCGGCCGGCGGGGCGGCACTCGCTGATGGCGTTTTGGATGTTCTTCTTGGTGGCTTGGAGGTCCTTTGAGATCTGGGGAGGGTTGGTGGAGGAGGGCCGCTTGTCTTGTTCGAAGCCGAGGGTTTTGGCGAACTTGTTGAAAAGGTTCTTGTGGGCTGGTTGGTTTCTGTTTAGAGGAGCCGGGGTTTGAGGTTGTTCGGGGCTGCCGAAGGCACCGGGCATGTTTGGCGCCAGATCTGGGGATTCTGGCTCATTGCGAGATAGCTCGTTGCGAGACGACTCCTTTTGAGATGGTTCCTTGACGTGACCGTTGGCGGGCTGTTCCGGAATTGGGTTCCTCTTTAGCTCCTCTGCCCTTCGAGCGTTCTCTTCGCCTTGGCGTTTTAGTTCCTGTTGCTGCGCTATGCGCGCCTCGTACTCCTGCTTGCGAAGGATCCTCTCTACATTGATTCCTTTCTGTTGAAGTCGTCGAAGAGGCTCGGTCAGGATCTGCTCCAGTGCGATTACATCGTTTTGCTTCGGACGCTTAATCAAAAGCGGGATAAGCTGACTGCTAACGTCATAGTGGTCGTACTTCTGAACGATGGAGAGTATGCGCTGATGCCTGCCAACACGGCGGATGAAAGCAGTACGTCGCTGGGAATAGGCAACGTTGTGGTCTAGGAGCGAGACGCGTATTGCAATGTCCCTTTGAACCATATGAGTCAGTATCAAGGCAGAACAAATGTTGGTAATCAGAACTCACGAGACAAGCTCCACCCTTAGATTCGAGGTGAGCCACTTCGCGTCATGCCGTACCACATGAGAAGATGCATCCCTCTCGTATTCGTGGAGGAAGAGCCTACTTCGCTCGAAGATGGCTTCTTGCAGCTTCAAGGCAGACTTTTGGTCGCGTAGAGGATTTCCGATTCGCGGTTCCTCTTTCACTTGGTCCGAGATTTTCTTGGCACCAAACTTCTCATAGAAAGTTTCCAAAACCTCCTCTTGTGGCGCTGCGATGAGATAGTCCCGGAATTTTGAATACCAATGTACTTCGTCTATTATTGTAACCTCGCTGCCGCCGACTAATAGCCATTCACGCAGACCCGCAACGTCGTCATCGTCATAAGTATCATCATCGGTATACTCTTTCTTCGATTCGGTCTTGATATCCTTGTAGCCAAGTAGGATCTTGGATTTCCGGAGTGTATCTGCTAATGATTTGTCTTTCCAAAGCTGGGGAGCCTGCTCCGCAAGCTTCCTCAACAAGCCAAGGTACTTTTCATGTCCCATAGTACTAAGAAACTTGGGCGGATTCTCAGCCAGAAGCCTCGCGAGCTCGGAGATGGAAGGTTCATGCTTGGCGCCGGCTTTCAGAAGAAAAGTCGTTGCTTCCGGTCCGTACTGAACGTACTCGATCAGGTCGCGATACTCCTGATCCATGCCGAGGAACACCGAGTCTGGGGACACGTAGTGATGTATCCGCATCTCCGATACTCCGGCTTGTTTCTCTTTAAACCCATCGAATCCTCCGGTAGCATGGTACTTCCTGAAGATAGGAACGAGCTTGGCGCTACTCAAGCTTGTCAACAGGGGTTTGGTGAAATCCAGATCCCCTAATCTGCTAGCCATGTATGAAAATTTGACCTCGGCCTCCATCTTGCTCTTGACAGGCTGCGACAACAGCTTCTGCACGACATCCTTGATCGGAGGGTCCCGCTGTAGCCCAAATTTGTCCGTATGTGTGAAAAGATCGGCCCGGATGATTGCATAACCAAAACAACGGGCAGTCTCATTGCTGTAGCACTGAAACGGCGCCACGAGAGTTGGGAAGTCGACTTGCTCAGTTGGGAGGAAAGGAATCTTGAGGGTGGATATCTTTGCCTTGTCCTTCTCATATCCATTTACAAAGTAGTTTTGCAAGAAGTATATCAAAGAAAGATCGTAAAGATGGCGATTGTTGGCTTGGCCCGCCCCTTCCATGATTTTGATTATGGTGAAAGCGGATGGATATTCCATTAGCCCAAGGGCGAGAAGGAACTTCTTTTCGCGAGGCTGGGATTGGAGCTCTTGAGGTAGTTTGATTTGTGTTAAGCCAAGGGCACCGATAGAAGGAGCGGGAGCATACAGATCTCTGGCCTTGTAGAGCTGATCTGGCTTCGATGCAGAACCAATCCCAGGGAGAAAAGGCGTCTCTCGTAGGCGCTCCAAGTCTTTCGGTGGAATTTCTTGTAGCACGGAGGCGAAATAGCGAATGAGCTCCATATGGCTCCAGCTAACCTTAGAATCTTGGCCGCCTTGGGGCGCCTTCATTCGCTCGAACACAACGGATAGCTCGATCGTCTTACGTACTCCAAGAGCCAGCAGAAACTTATCCTTTACTCCTGGAAATGGCTTGACTGTTGGGAGGTTGTCAAAAAGTTTGACCGTTGTGAAATAGGCCTCCTCTGGACGCCTCATTCCCATTTTGGTTGGCAAAACTGGGTGGGGGGCGAGAATGTTTCGCACGGCCTCCTTCGAACTTGCATCTATCTGATCCCAGCCCTTGGAAATCAGTGTAAGAGTCTGAGTAGCCAGGCTTTCGGATGCTAGAAAATTGGTGAGATTGTTCCCGCTAGTCATGAATCGCAACCAGCCCACGATAGACAGTTCTTGCCACCCAAACATCTGCAGTTGCTTGACAGGGATCGAGTTCGTGAATTTGAACGGCATTGTCCACGATGGAATTGGCAAAGTTGGATTGATTCGCGAGGAGTTGACGTAGCTCTCAACAGTGGAAAGTTGAAGGATTGTGCCAGACCCAGCATCGGCGCTGTTATCCTGTAAAGCAGCAACTGTGACAGCAAAGAGATTACGCACACTGGGTGGATCCAGTTCTCCAGAGTCGAGTTTGCTACTGCACCATTTGAGGAACTCCATGAGCTCTATGTCGGTCAACGCACGTGCTTCAAGGCCCTTTCTGATATCCTCCATCGTCAAATCGGAGATGAAGCCGCGATTGTGGAGGCTAAGCATAAACGCCATGGCTCCTGTTGCTAATTCTTGTGGAACCATTGGAACTTCACCTAAGAAACTCAAAGTCTCAGCAGGCATTCGAACGGATTTGCTCGGCAAAACACCTTTCGAGGATAGTATATCGATAGAACGCTCCTTGCTGCAAGACCAGAAGGCATCTTCAATCGTTTGTCCGACCAGTCCTGACGGAGCTGAAAGACTGGAACTATACTGCTGCAGCACGTAGGCTGCCTTCGGAATCAAAGAAGATACCCTAGTACCGTCGTTTGCTGTCTTAGCTTTAATCTCGGATATATCCAACACGTAGGAAATCCGGGAGGCCAATCCGGCGACCCTCAAGAGCTCATAATTCCAGTTACTTATGTAACGAGCATTGAGATCGATGCTTTCCCGCTCCACGGTGGGAATCAAGGAAGGCGCAGAAATATGTGCCAAAATCCCGGTGGTTTGAGCGGTTGGAAATCCAATAAATATTCGGCCAGCATTCGTGGGAAGAATGTCACCGAAGATTTTTGCCGAGAGGTCGGATGTAGTTCCGGACACCGTTGAAAGCGATTCCAGTTTCTCTTGGAAAGGAGAGGTCAGTAGCGCAACTCTTGTCTTCTTTGGTGGCGGCTTCTTGGTAGCTCGTTCAATCTCGGCAGAGAATCCACGGGTCACATGCGTGTCGGCCTCTAGGGTACAGACTTGCAAGAAAATTACTGCACGAGAGTCACCGGAGATATCCTCTCCAAAAGTGACAGGCTTTTCGACGGGAATAAGAGGTCTTGCAGCCCTAGATGTCGTATTTGTAGTCCCCGAAAGTTTTGAGAAGAAACTCTTCAGCGAAGAGCCCGCATTTTTTATTTCCGCGGGTACCGCATCAACGACGCGCCTAGCAGGAATCTGTGCAGTAGCTATAACATTGCTCCATACAGCATCTATCTGTGAGCTCTGTCGAGATACCCGTGATACTGTCATGAGGCCGCCTTCGGTTTTGGGATTCAAGCCAGCGGGAATTTGGATGTCCGTAGGTGGAGACGTTTTCTTTCCAAAAGAAGCAATCTTATGGCCATCTAGGTGTAACTCTATCGAACTAAGTCCAACAAAGGTAAGGCTAGTGGAGAGAAACTGGCAAAGCGAGGGGAGGTTGGGCGCCTTGGAGGGATTGTAGGAGGGCGACGAAGGGTTGGCTTGACGATATTCCAGAGAAAAGGTCGTGTCGGATGACGATTGTTCAGGACTGAGAGCCGCGACCTTCGTCGAAAGCGTATTTCCTTTCCAGTAGAAAGCCATCATTTTGTTACCAGACACAACGAAAGGTTCATCGCAGTCGGCAAACACACTGTAAAATCCAACCCCGAATGCACCAATTTTTGTTTCATCTGGGTTGCCGTCCGCGATGCTCTTTAGTCGACTCCAGTCCGCGTTCGAGAATGGTTGTCCATTATTCGAAACGGTCAGTCGCCTAAGCGTGTGATGCTGAATCACGTGCTTCAGCAGTACCGACTTATCGGAGGATTGCGGCGCGGGGACATTTAGTGATGGATCTGTTTCGTATTTTATGACCACAGTGCTTGCTCCAGCGTCGGACGCATTTTGTATCAGCTCTCTCAGCGTCGTGTGTTCGGAAGAGTAGCGCGCCAAGACTTTGTCTATGAGCGCTCTTGTATTCACGGTAACTTCACTATCTTGGCCGTCGTTCATAGCTTGGTTGCGCAGTCGCGCAAAATCCATAGTGGCCATAATTACGGGCAGCTAAGAGTAGCACGTTGAAAACCCAGACAGAAAGAGCCGATCAAGCACTGGATAGGGCCTTGCGGTGGTGCTCAAGCACGACGTTTGACGTTGTCCGAAGTGGCCCAGCCGGCCAACGACCTGCTAATAACGATAAACAAAAGTTCCGTACGGGGGGTGGCAACAGGCGTAATCTCGAGGAAGCTGGCGGGTGGTGGTGATAATCTAGATGGTGGGGGAGTTACTTGGCTCTGAATATCTATTCAAAGACCCCGCCGGAGCGTCCTCAAGCCAGTGAAATCTTCGGTCAGAGAGTGAAGCCGTAGTTAAGCTGTGTCTCGAACATTCGCTTTAAGCTGACGTATCTGGCAGCCTAGGTGGCAAGTCGAGCTGAGGATGCGCATGAACCAACAGTAGGAGAAAATGCGTGCACGCTTAGAAAGACACCAAGCAATGCTATGACAAGGAAAACGAGGAAAGAGAGAGCTGTGGTGTGGGGATGAGCAGGTCTGGAGCTGTGATGCCCAATGTTATTGAGAGCAGGAGGTCGCCAGGGATCGCTGACGCGGTTAGAATAGAACCAGCGCCAGTCCGAAAGTAGCCTAGTAGCGCCAAGCCCAGGCTTCACCGACGGGAACTTCAACACCAGAATTAGCGACGGCATTCGATATCCCAAGAGCTAGTACTGCTCCGAGCTCGCATAATGATCATGTCCAAATCGAACGTCCTTGACACATAGCCTTCTCCTCTCCTTAGGAAGCTTCCCGATGTGGAGATGGTGATGGATCCTCTTTCCCCCATCGCGCCGGCGAGAATCCGCACCCTTCTCTTACCGGTGGGAAGAATCAAACGGTCTCGCTTCCTGAAGTTCGTGGATCGCTTGCAGCCAGAATGTATGGTCCGACTCGGGGATATCAGCCCTGATGCTCACCCTGATAGAAGTACGGTGCCCCCCCGAGAACGATGTCAAACAAGTTACTGATCGTGACCCCTGTAGATATGTTCTCTCCGCTGGCTTTCCCTAGCGGCGTACTGTTTTATGAACTTTCAACATCATTACCTACGCCTTCTCATCTTGCATTGTCGCCTTTCGAGCAGTTCAGAGAACCGCTCTTGGTAATTGGAATCGCTGACGCCAAGGAATATGCCTGGCTGTCGGCCGTGCCCGATGCTGCAGATGTCGCATCCAAAGCTGGACGTGAGAATTTTGAAGAATCTGATCAAAATGCAGAAGAACTTCGACAGGCTGTAGATGATCTCCGTGAACAGTATCCTCGGGTGTATTTACACAGACTTATGGTGTTTGATTGTCCTCATCAAACACGCCCCACAGGTCTACTCGAGGATACCATACTTGTTCCTCCCTCATCACAGCTTAAAACAACTACAATGAAAACATTCATGTGCGATTTGACCGCTACCCTGTTAGCGGAAATGACCACGTTGGCAAGGTCGCTTCAGGCACTGCCAACGGTGAAGTCGCCCACATCGTCCCAACCGGGTAGTAATTCGGACGGTTCGGATTGGACGATGCCAGATTCTCTTAGCCAGCTTCAAAGAAGAAGCTCGCAGGCAATCTCAGCTTCCCGGCCGGATTCTCCCGCAACCAACGCACAGAACAACCTTCAACGCATGTCAATGCCAGTATTACCTTCTTCCTCTTCCACAGCTGCGAGCGTCCGTGGCGATTCAAGGGGAGACTCGAGATCGACTTCGCCGATTACTTCAGACACACAGACGCCGCCAGCAAGAACGTTCGATGAAATACCAGGAGTGTCTGCTTCTACTGTTCTTTCACGTACCAACAGCTCTACGCCCCAGTCGAATGCGACACTTAGAGACTCGAGCCGTGACAGAGTTTCAGTACATGGTTTTGGGCCTGGTGGCGTTGGAGAAAGAGCGCGTAATAAGGGCCGAGGCCGAGTTGGTATCGTCATAGGCACATTGTACATGTGCGCGGGCCGATGGCAAGATGCAATGAAAGAACTAGTTGAAAATGCTACAAGGGCACGTGCATTTAGCGATCATCTATGGCATGCGAAAGGGCTCGAAAACATTCTCGTCTGCCTGTTACTGTTTGCGTGGTCGGGGCTGGATTTTCAGGTGAGTAGTAGGACCTATTCCGAGATGCCAACTTCGAAGAGGGTTGGCCATCAAAGTCTTCGCTCATTTACTGACCGTGCCAAATTCCCAGGTCCCATCGATCTGCTATCCAGCTTCAGAAAAATCTTCAACCACCAAATCGCCACAGCATACACCATCCAACAGCGTTTCGGATGTATCTACTGTCACCCTTCCCAAGCCCGCCAGCCACTCGGTTGCGATGCAAAATCTCAATTCCGTCCTTCCGGATCTTATAAACATGACCCTTAACCTCTACTCTCGAGCAGCTAATTTTCCTGGTGAGGCTCTGCCCCCACTGGCATTTTCAGAGTGCATAATACGGTTTTCCAAAATTCTTACTGCGATGAATCTTTGCGGTGGTAAGTTGAACGATGACGCACTTCAGCACCTTATTCGAGGCAATCCACTAGTACCTGCGTTCGCATTATCATTGCCGAGGCCGACAATCTCTCCAACGAGATACGAAATTGCCGCTTTGGTTTTCCGTGCGTTTCCCACTCCTTTGGAGACTGGGAGTATGACTGCAACCGACCGCATTATGATACTAGCTGGAGTGGCATCAGTACTTTCGTCGCTCGGACTTCAGAGGAAAAAGGCTATTGTCATGAAGGAATTTGTTGCTTCCTTGATTCCTGGGCTTGTCCAAGCTCGAAAGGTTGGGGCTGCGGAGATGGGTGTTCACCCTGCGGCAGGTCTAGCAGCTCTCAACATGGCCAGTGGAGGGTCCTCAGGTGCCGGATCTATCAACCTTGGAGACGGGGAAGTCGAAAGTGGCATTGACGCGTTCCTCGGCTTGTTGTGCGAAATTTATGGAATTCCCGATCAAAGAACGGCATCATCGGGCACACCAGGTCACCCTAGCGTGACTAACGGATCTACGCACCAAGACCAATGCAATTTCAATGGAGACGATACGTCGCTCAAGAGACTGTTACACGCCTCCTCGATGAGATCGTTTGGGAACCTTAACCTCAAACTAGACATTTTGAGGATGTGCATAGACTTTTGTGAGGCGCTGCCGGACTTCCAGGGCGTGCTACATTATACAGCGGCTCTTCTGAGGATTGCGGGCCCTGGGACAGCGCCTCATCCAAATAGTACGGAGGTATTTGTATCCTTGGCCAGAGAAGAGCAGATTCGGCTGGCAACCAAAATCACACGTATGGTCGGAGCTGCCAGCAGCTTAGGCCTGCAAAACATTGAAACCGACTACTGGGACGACTTTCTTCTTCGGGGGCTGTACACCATAGAGGCTCCCCGGCCACGCTTGCTCATTCAGCACCGCCAGGACGATCTAAGCAAGATATCTTCGACTAAAGACGGCCCGTTCATACACAATCCGTTTCTCAAACAGGTTGATGCTGACCTTGCGGAGCACTTCATGGTGGCCAATGAAGAGTATGGCTTTGTTGTGGCGCTGCAAAATCCTTACGATTTCGAGGTGGAGGTTGAATCGTTGAGACTCGCTGGTGATGGTACTAGTTTCACTGCCTTTCGAAGGTCTTTGATGTTAGGACCGTATCGGACCCAGAAATTTTCGCTGGGAGCAACTGCTGGTAATGCAGGAACTCTGAGCATCACTGGATGTATTGTCAAAATAAAAGGATGTAGAGAACGTACGTTTCCCATCTATGCGGATCCGTGGAGACTAGAGCCGGACACGAAGATAAAGAACATCGGGCTCCAAGCCTCGAGACCTTCACCTCCTTCCCGTCCAGTCTCTGGCGAGTCAACTACATCACAAACTACAGAGACATCAGCAGCAAAAATTCCCGCTCCACTGTCGATGGCTATGACTGTTGTTCCCGAACAGCCACTTGTTGTACTCTCTAGCATCTCTCTTCCCCAATCAGCATTGATGGTTCTTGAAGGCGAAAGGAAGAAGTTTTCAATTACCCTTCACAATATCTCCAAAACCACTTCCGTCGACTTCATCCATATATCCTTCCAAGATTCGGCGAGCGCTGCTATCCAAGCAGCTATGTCGAACAAAGATCTTCCGCCATCAGAGTTACACGAGCTAGAAGTACAACTAGCGCATTATCCATCATTTCGCTGGTGCAAAGCGAGTGAAGATGAGGCGATTGAAATCAAGCCCGGCGAAAAAGCTTCGTTTGATATCGAAGTCATTGGAAGGGTACGGCTGACCGATGGCATCATCCAGTTTGACTACGCGAATTTAGGAATGCCACGATCAGAGGTCAAAGACCGATTCTTCACTCGACAGCTAGCAGTACCTATCTCCATTACGGTCAATGCTAGTATACAGTTGCACCGTCCTGATATACTGCCTTTTACTGGCGATTTTGCATGGTCAAATTATTTACGGAAATCAGGCCAAGACCAACTGACGCCTTCGAGGCTAAGATCAGAGTCCACCGAGAAGGGCGACAATCGATTTCACAAACTGCTGAGCAAAATCGGGATCACAGGACACGATGATGAGCACTGCATGCTTCTTTTAGATCTACGGAACGCTTGGCCGAATCCCTTGTCGATATCGATTCAAGTACGCGATAAACCCCCAAACCACGAAATCGACGATAAAGAGTGGCCAAGAGCCTATACCGTCCATGAGGTCATCCAACCGGGCCACGTCAATCGAATCGCCGTCATATTACCTAAGACATACCTCAAAAATCCATTCGCTGCGATCCCATCGCTCAACCCCGCAAACCAACGCCAATTTGTCGTCAGTGCAAGTCAAATCTCCCCAGAAATTGAGAGGGCTAATCGGGAAGCATTCTGGTACCGCGACGGCCTATTAAAATGTATTCGAGGCTCTTGGAAGGAGGAAGGCAATTCTCGGCACGGAGAGATCGACCTGCGAGGCATCCGCTTAACCTCCAGAATGGTCGAGGCGATTAAACTCGACGACCTGAAGATCAGCATGCACATTACTTCCGATTACGAAGACGACGATGAAATCGTGCGACAGACGGGAGCTGCCAAGTTCGAGGTCTACGTCGACGAGTTCCTTACGCTGAAGACGAAGATACACAACCGATCTTCAACTCCAATCTACCCGCTGCTTCGACTCCAACCATCGCTTGCTAATCTGCCGCACAATGCCGCGCTTGATTTGGATAAGCGGTTCTCATGGACAGGAGTGCTCCAGAGGAAGCTTCCTGTGCTGCAACCTGGTCAGACGATGGAGTCCGAACTTGGCATAGTCCTGCTATGTAGTGGGGTATTCGAGGTTAGCGCCACTATTGACGAGATTCGGGTCTGGGTCGACGAGAAGGAGAAGGGAGAAGGAGCTAGAGTCCGCAGCGGGACGGGCCTGCTCCAAGGGCATATTCTTGCAGAGGCCGGGCTGAGGGCATGGCATTCGAAAGAGCCGTGCACCATCACCGCCAAGCAGCGTGGACTGCCTTGAGGAACTTCGGAGTAGAACTGTCGCGGAGAAGAGGTGAACCATTGGAAAAGGTTGGGTTTGGACGAAATAGGAAGGGTACGGTCAAGATAAAGTTGTATAACGAGCATTAGAGCGAGATGACGACCAGCGATCATAATCCACTTGAATTGTATATCAGACTCTATTGGCATTGGATCCGCCATGTGAATTCATGGATTTCCTGGTCTCAACGTTGTGCCCCACTCTCTTTAGCCTGACTCGAGCGTTCCCTGATTCTTTTCGATTGCTATCGGTTCTACCGGTTTACCACTCTTGCATTATCGGGTACAATCCAGACTGACATATGCCTAAATCAGTGTCAAATTCTTTTACGTTCCGTGGGCTAATAACTATTGGGACTTAAGTGGAGTACACAGTCCCCATTTCAAAAGCATGCCTTATATACATGCCGAGGAGATTTATACAGTGATTACTGAACTATCGCATATCGCAAGCTATCCCCAGCAAGCTTAGCCTACTTCCTTATGCAGCGAAGCTTGCGTGTCGGATGTGGATAAACACATCATCCGAGCCTCGGCACATGCAGGGTCTAAGGGTCGTCAGCAGTGAACGTGAAGATTTGACTCCTGCTTGGCCTCTCATCCTGCGTATATCAACTCCCCTGGGCGCCGGCGCCTGTCCCTTCATTGTGTACCTAGAATACCTCTTTAGCGATGCCCAACCTTCATAGATTGCCCCAAGCTGTCAGCCTGACTGGCTTGGGCAGCCTTCTCATCGCGTTGTTGACACAGCCCACGCTGAGGGGTTATGTTTCCCGGACTCTGGGACTCAATACCCCGGGAGGAAACTGGCGGGCGTTCGCAATCTTCATGGTTCTTGCGAACTTCAAGAATTTCCCGCTGGTGTGGCATGTACGTTACTTCCCATCTCATCCGGACTCCTTCAAGACATCCCCCCAGACGCCTCTTGTTCACACGCATCTCGGAGGCTAGAAGGCTACGCTTTTGTGTTACTCTATTATGCCAATACTCAACTAACTATCACACGCAGTGGCGCTTCTTCCGCTCCTACTTCGCCCATATCTACCTCCCCGCCCCAAAACTCGGTCCCCGATCCCTTTTCGAACCCTCCATAATGTCCACCCACTCTCCGATCTTGGAAACGGATTTCAATTTCCATAAGAGTAACTCAACCTACTTCTCCGACTTCGACATCTCGCGCACCCACCTCGTGTCCCAGATCATCCGCACGGGGGTCCGTAAATCCATCGCCGAGCGCCACGCCGCCTTTCCCCCAAGCGCCGCCGAGCTTGCGATCAAGGGGAAAGATGGCCTCGCACTGGGTGCGGTCAGCTGCCACTTCAAGCGCGAGATCAAGCCGTATGAGAAATTTGAGATCTGGACAAGAGTGCTATGTTGGGATCAGAAGTGGATGTATTTCGTAAGCCACATGGTCAAGCCGGGAGTCGCGAGGCCGAAGCATTATACGGTACAACCGGGGCGGAGGGGATATGGGTCCTGTATTAGGGAGCAGAATGGGGGATTGGCGAATGGGGAAGCGAAGGAGGAGGAACAGAAGAGGTTGGAGAAGCTGAGGGGTGCGGTGTTCGCGAGCAGTATTGCAAAGTATGTGACGAAGAAGGGAAGGCTAACGATTCCACCGGAGGTGGTGCTGGTGAGGAGTGAGATGTTGCCGCCGAAGCCGGACGGGTGGGTTTATAAAGGGGAGGAAGGCAGCGAGGGGAGTAATGGCGCATTGTTGGATGATGCGATACTGCCAGAGGATAACGATAATAAGGAGTGGAATTGGGATACAATTGAGGCTGAGAGGCGAAGGGGCTTGAAATTTGCGGAGATGTTTGCACAATTAGATGGATTGCATGAGGAGTTTGATGGGGGAAAGAATGGGGTTTTGGGGGAGTTCGCTGATATTCTTTGGTGATTTGCGGATATCCTAGACTTAGATTCCTTGCTAGATTGTATCGTTAGTAGTATTTAGACTTGGAGGCCTTAGAGACGCAGTTTGATACATGATATTGATGCCTGAGCTTGCCAGATCACGTGATCGTTTCTAGCCACTCTAGCAAAACACATCATTTCTAATTAGTCCTTCTTTAATCCTGATACTAATGATCGTATCAAACCAGCCATACGTCTAATCGTCTTTCGAGGTTGCGAGGCTACAGATTCTGCCTTTTGGGGTGCCAATCAACATGCGCCTCAATCTACTGGCCAAAGCGACAACCTCAGCCTCACGCCCTATCTAGGCCGCAACTCTCCATGCACCGCCCTCCCCCTTCCAGCTAACCAACCTCTCTGGCACTGATCATAGGCAATGACTGATGAAATTATTCATCGGAAGGCGCCATTAATGTAATCCAGCGATCGGTTATTCGTGACGTTGCTTCATCTTTCCTACCTTCACCCTCACATTTCTTAACAGCCTTGCTATATTTTTACCCCGCCGAGGCTATCGAGTCTAGGTCCCGCAATTTTGGTACATTGCCTTCAACGTAGGTGACACCATATTGGTCGTGGTGTAATTGATCCACTGTAAGACCGTTCTCGTTCTTTCTCTGTACCAAGATTGAGCTTCAGTCGCATTCGTAATCACCCATCAAGACAACCTTCGAACACACCAGCTGTACTGTGCATTCAAACGATGGATTTTAGGCTCTTTCGCAAATGATTTGGGGAGCATACACATCTCATTCACCTTCATGAACGGGGTCATCTAAAAGGAGACGCTTCCCAAGACGAGAGCGCTACCTGTGGTCTCAAAGCCAACGATGGCCGCAACCAACGGCCGCGCCAACGTTATCAACAGCCACCGAAAACAAAACTTCATCAGTCATGCAGACAAGGAACTCGATACTGATAGATAATGTAGTCAAAGCCATGGCCGCTCCGGCGGGCGCAACTGGCGAGCCCGATATGGTTCTTATCGCCGAGCTCTTCGAGGAAATCTCACGGAATCCACCAGCAATCGAAGCCAGGAAACTACTCATCGAGCAATACATCGCAGTTGGATGGCTCGATGCCGCCAACGACAATGTCAAGGAGTTGAAGCAGCTTTCTCCTCACGACGCCGATGTCAAAACCTGGGTCATTATGCTTACGAAGAAGACGGCAAAAGCTCCCGTAGCTCCGAAGGCTCCTCAAGTTGTCAAGATTGCCGCGCCCCCACCGGCCAAGTTACCAGCCAATATAGAACCCGCAAAGCAGGATTTCTCGCAAAGTTACAAAAAGCTCCAAAGTCGAGCGAAAGGCCTGTTGGGAGATCTCCTCCACATCCGGGCACTACAACACCAAAACGGCATTACACCGGCGCGTACCGATGACTCTGCAGTCAAAGCCATTGTCGATGGCCGGCTCCGTACTGTTGCTGGATCGAAGGGGCCCAGTAGCGCGCGGGCAGTAGCTCGGAATATGCAAGCAAAACCGGATGAAGCAATTGAGATTGCCGTCATCGATCTTGAAGATATGATACGATGGCTTCGAGCGCCTCATGGAAAACCCTCTGGGATGGACAACGATGCTATCCGCGAGGCTCTCGTCAAGCGTGTACGCGCTCTGGCCGCCGCTCTGCCCGAGAACATGCAGGAGCATCCTGAAACGGCGCTCATGCATGCGGAGCACGAGATTCTACATACACGTACCTATGTGAATGATGAAACGATGTTAGGCGACCGGGTGGTGGATATTGAACGAGCCAACTTCTGGGTTACCGAAGACGGATATGCGTGGGATATGGACGAACTGGCCCAGGCTATTACTGCTAATGGAGGCATCATGCGGAACCCTCTGAGCAGGCAGATGTTTACACCGAAGGATATCCGCGCTATAGTACAGCACCCGGCCGGTCAGCGCTTGAAAGCATTGGCGATTGAGCAGCACGAGATGTCGAAAGGCGTTCGACCTTCTACGATCGATCACCTCGACAAGCTGGGCAAGGTCCTTCTGGACGATCAGAGCAGCGACCAACTACCGAGTCGGCATGCGATAGACGAGTTCATGGCGTACTGCGCGACCCGTAAGTCTTCCACCTTCCCGATCGGGAATATACGAGAGGCTGACCCTGTATAGTGCCTGAGGCTGAACAAAAGGCGCTTAATGGGCTTCGATGTCCTGCCCGAGACAGCCACACCGGTCAGTCCTACGACTTCTCCATTGGCGAGGCTGTGCTCGACGCGAAGGGTAATCGGGTCTGCTTCCATAAGACGGGCGACTTTATCAAGCAAGCCGCTCAGCATCTGCGCCAGAATCGCGGAGCGCCTGCCACAGCAGCGGACGAGAAGTGTGCGGTGATGTAAGGGTTTAGGAGTGCCTTTTGCCTTCGCGGAATAGTGTAGGATACCATAGATTCTGATTGATGTACGGGCAGGGACTATTTACGGATAATGAACCTCGGCGAGTTTCTTGGACCTATCAAGGCGGGCACAACCCTTCAATGTCTTCGGCGCGACAGATTAGCATATTTATGTTAAACTCTTCTAAACTACTTGATCTACAACTCTTATATACTCTTCAAGTTCCCTATAAACTCGTCACTTTCAGTCGAGATAATTGACGCCGAGAGCACCTAGTGACTTAGTCAGCGTGGCGTCTCGACCACCATCCGACCGGCCTGGGATTCTGCCTCCTGCATCACTACCTGCCACCCACGGAACCGCTATGTATCAGCCTTGGAAACCCACACTTCTGCCCTGTGCGCCTAACCACCTATCTGGCTTCAACACGCGCTCACGTGGCTGCAATACAGTGGCCAGAAGACCGCCAAGGCTGAGACAATGCCCACCCTTGGCGTTATCGTGCCCAGGGTGCCAGGAAAGGGTGGCCCCCAAGCTAATGCACTTTGACTGACCGCGCAGATTAGCCGGTGTTCCAGCGCAGTCGAGGGTGAGCGAGGCCTGGTATAATCTATTGGCTGTTTCGTGCTTCACGGACCCTCAACTCAAGAGACTTGGCGCGAGGCACTCTTTGGAGCGCCTACGTGGAGATGCGCAGCATGTCCCGGTGCCGCTTAACCGGACAAAACTACTCATTAGGCTTTCTGAATTCCTTCTAGAAGCATGCACGGATTCTTTGGTGAAGACGCCCGCCTTCCGTGAGGCTCCGACTTGAGAACTTCAGCCTCCGCACAGCCTCAGGCGCTAGCGCATGGCGTTCAGGAGCCTGATCGGACGCCTGATACCTTTCTCTTCTATCTCTCTGGTTGAAGTTCTTCGTTACACGGCATCTTTGTGGTACGAAACGTGTGCGTATTCTACTATTGTTGACGCTGGACTTTCTTTTGCTGGATAGTCATTCATTTTCGACAAGGCTGCCTTCTGGAACCCTTTTCGTCTACCCACGCGACTCAAGTACCGCAGGACTACAGAGATCTCCAACTTTGAAGTATTTAGCAGATCGTGATACTGCGCCTGGAGGCACTTCCAATTACTCAAGGATATGTAAAATATCTTGTCTATTTCCGGCAAATCGCAACGATTGTCAACGGTACCAAATCAGAAGCGACAGATGGTCTTGTTTGGCAAGCGAAAGAGCGATGGCTGGAAGGTTCAGGTAGATCAATGTCTTCTTCCATGATAGAGCAAAGCTAACTGAAAGAAGGTCGCCGCCACTGCGGCGCACGAACACCCCTCGAGTCCTAATTTCCCGTGGGACCAGCTTCAAGCTCACACAGATCTTTATCTGAGGAAGAAAGGGAAACTTACCCCAGCGGAACGCGACTTCAAGCTTGCGGCGTTGGTAGACGATTACGATGACCGAGATGTCGCCATTGCGGCATGTGCTTTTGCCATGTCCTCGCAGACCCTGCGGGTCTTGCTCAACGTTGAGAGCAACGTCACTCCAGTCACGTATTACGGTCTATATGCATATCTTCAGTCCCTCATCGCAGTCAACTATCGAGGACAGCCCGGCGTGGTTTCGGATTTGGAGGCCAAATGGGCAAGAGCGTTGGTCCCGTACTCATCTCCCGGTCCGCAAGCCGCGGCGCGATTCCTTGAAGGGGTTGCCAGTGTCCTTAGAGACAAATTGTTACAGAACCTCCAATCTATGCCAAATTTCTCTATCTTAACACGGAGGGCTTTGGTCGATTTTGCCTCTAATTTGGAAGGGTTCAAGTTGAAGAATCAATGGGCAGCTGCGCAAGCAGCCGTTGTATGGCTTTCCAAACTCCTCAAAAATCCTTCACCGCCGTCCCATGATCTGGGGCCGGAGCAACTCCTAGACAGTCAATTTCCCAGCTGGAGAATATGGGCCGCGTGGAAACCGGACTTGGATAGAATACGTCTCTTGGAAATCCTCCCAGGCCATACAAAAGCGGTTCTTCACGACATATTAGCATTAGAGGGACCCGATTTCCTGGGTAAAAGATATTCGTCGATACGGGAGGCCCTTGTAACTTGTATCACCGAAATCAACCAGACCCACGTACGCTTTGGGACGCTGAGCATCGAAGTCAAGACCCAGACGGCCGAAGAATTCAAGACTATCTTAGCTCGGCTTTCATGTTGCCTTGAGACTTCTTGCAAGGCGGGAGCCGATTCGATCGAGCTTTTTGTGCACCTATGTGCCGGAAAACATGTCACCCAGGAAGCTCTCCAAATATTGATAGGAACTAGTAAACTTGCGGATTCTTCGGTTGTTCCGTCAGTCACCAAGGTTGTTACCCATAAGGATGCGCTTGGTCAAAAAGAGTGGGAATCCATGAACCGACTGCTTCCGGCTCTCGAAGAACCGAGCGGCGAGCTTCTTCGTGGAGTCCTCTGCCCGTACCTCACGGATGGCGTACGGAATTGTATTCACGAAATGCAAGATTGGGCCCACAAGTCACTCACCAATGGAAAACCAAACATAAAACTGATCCTCGAGCTCCACAAGTTCGGCAAGACACTGCAGGAGTCCTCCACGCTACACCCGCTGCTTGATGCATCCCTTCGCACCCTGTTGAGCACCTGGCTATCCGAGTCTCATATTCTTACTTTACTTGAGATAAGAGCCGAGTCGCGGGGTAATAGCTTTGAGAAAGTCAAGTCTACTCCCTTGACCCAGACCATTGATATGTTCTGTATGGATCGTCTCATCAAACCCGGCATAATTGACGACCCCTCTGCCAAGTTACTAGACTCCTTGACTCTAATATGGAAAACCACAGCCTCCGACTCGCCTCGACGTGGATTAAGCCTTCTAGTGGCCGGTAGCGCGGTAATGGAGACTGATCTTCGCACCCGATGCTTGGACCAAGTAATGATTCTAACCAACGCCACCGCGGAAGAACTCTGCGCCTGCATGTGGAAATACCAGAAGGATCCAGACAGATCTTGCATTGTCTTAGCCAACATGTTAGCCAAGATCGAAGATGCGGACATCGTAGAATGCTGGCGGTGGATACTCTTCCAATATATCGAGCAGAGAGCCGACACTTTGATATCCTTCGCCCTCGAAAAGCTAAAAGCTAAGGATTGGCTTCAATTGCTGTGGAAACTCAACAGCATTTTCGGCGACATTATCACTGCCTCGACATCCAGCTCTCCCGCACCATTACAACCTTCTCTTCACACTTGGGCTCAATGTCTTGCCGATTATGTCACCGTTATCACACATCTGGAGAAAAAGCTTGAGAGCACAGACAAAAGGGATGCTCGGCCACTTCGATGCATATTGCTCGGCAGAGAGGACGACCGTGTCGATCTGATTTGTATTCTGGATTCATTCAGGAAATACCAAGGCCACGGTAGCCTCTACGAAGCTCCGATGTGTTGGACACTCCAGCGTTTGACTGAAAATGGCGACAATGTTACCGATGTCGCCAAGGCTATTGGCGGGCTGATTACGTGCTCTCCCGAAGGCGCAGAAGTTTATCGAGGTCTGATAGATTTACATCAGGAGACGCCTGTGGCTATAGTGGAGGTCCTCCTGACGGGTTGGATCCAGGACCTAGAGAAAGATGATAAAGAAGTCGTGAAAGCACTTGCTACTGTGCTTCATCTAGAAGTCAGCGAAGTGCAATCCAACGAGAAAGTGGAGGCTGCGGCGGCCTATATCGAGGCACAAGTGGCGGAAGTATTGAAAGAGGCGACGCGTCTGGATAGTCTTCGAGGAGGCCTCAAAGCGAGAGACCCTAAAGGAACTGCGGCCTTACTGGCATCTCTTGGAATTGAGGACTCGTCTCCCTTAGACGACGAGTTTGAGGATTTACCGTCCGAGCTCATGGATCTGATTGAGCGATATGGTGACCAGGAGGTCGAGATGAGCTTTCCAATCAGCCACATGTCGGATCTAGAGAAGGCCGCTCTCGGAGTTGGTGAGGCACAAAGTGTAATTGTGCGATTGGTTATCGACACCGTTGGAGACCTTCCACCGGGCTTCTGCATACACCTCGGAGACGATACAGTTTCGGAATCATTGGATGAACACTACCCCTGGGTGGTCTTCCAAGAGGCTGCGGAGCCTGAAAGGCCTTCTTGCCACGGACGCAGCAGCCGTATGACGTGGCAACTATCTCGCATAGTAGCACGCCATCTGAAGAACTCTGGATACACCTCGTTGCAAAATATCCACAAATACATCACCAAGCAAATCAACGATCTAGCTCACAGCTGCATCGTCTGCGGAGCGCCTCACGGAGCCCGCCAGGCTCGTCTCCGCCGGCCCATCGCCTGCCAAAAAGCCGTTTGTACCACCATCTGGAACCGCGCAGGCGTCGACGTCCGCCTCACCGACGTCCGCACCGACCGCAACGTCGTCGACATGCTTCTCTTCGGCGTCTTCGCCGCCACGCAATCCGGCCGCGCAGACCTCCTCCCCGGCTGCCCCATCAGCAACCTAACCACCGTAACTACCATCCTAAACACCCTCCCCGCCATGTCTTCCACGAACTGGAAAGCCATCGACGTCTCCACCGCCCTCCGCGCCTCCCACAGCTCCGCCGAGCAGCTCATCACGTGGGTGCTGAGTAGCTACCGCGGGTATCTCGCGTCCACGTCTGGGGTCCTGAAGATCCCCGGCATGCCCGGCGTCCACCAGTTCGTCCTCGCTAACGCCGCGCCCGAGCTCGAGGCCGCCTTCGCCGCCCGCGTCGGCCGCAACGGCACCACCAAGGTCCTCTTCCACGGCACGTCGCTCGACCGCCTGACCGCGATCCTCTCCCAAGGCCTCAAGATCTGCAGCGGGACGACCCTCCAGCGTACGGGCGCGGCCCACGGGAATGGGATCTATATGGCCGAGGAGCCGGGCACGTCGTTCTCGTACAGCCCGCTGCAGGCGTCGTGGCGGAACTCGAGCTACCAGAACCATAGGGTGTTGTTGGGGTGCGAGCTGGCGGGCAATGGGAATAGTGTCTCTCCCGGCATTCATGTGATTAAGGATCCGGGGACTGTGATGGTGCGGTATGTGTTTTTGTTTGGGAGCACAGCGGCGGCGCCGTTGGCGATTCACGTGGCGCCCGCGATGGTTAGTGCGTTTGCGGCGTTGAGGAGTGGAGCTGTTTGAGTGGGGGGGAGGGGTGGTTGGTGGTGTCTGAAGGGCTTTTAATAAAGTATGTGAATGATGGGAACTGATGTACAGGGGATGTTTTCATCTATTATGGGTAGTTTTTGTTTGGATTTGGCGTGCATTTCATGGGTATGGCGTAACTTGTGGGGGGTATATCATATAGATGGATGGATTGGATGTAGGTATCTTTAGGGCATTCTTCGCTGGTAGAGACGTTATGATTATGAGCAGGATCTAAGCACACAACATATAAAATGAATCGGCCTTCGGAATTGCACTCTCATCTCTTTCTAGGGAGCTGAAGAGGTTTGAAACATTGTGAATGGAGGATATGGTGAATCGAAGCTGAAAGAAGAGCTGAAGAGGAAGCCTGGAAAGGGTGTTGGCTTGCAGGCGGTACCCGTGCAACAGCACACGCTTTGTAACACGTTGTTATCTTCGAGTATGACAAGACTAGTGCGAATTCGGTTTCTCCGCCAAGTCCTAACCGTTAAGTAGGTGTGATTGTGCTGTCTGACCTAGCTATGTTGATCGCGGCAATGGCACTCGTTGCTACCCCCACGCCTTTCACGCTTCCGAGGTTCGTCATTAGGCATTCGTAGATCCAGTACAATAATTTTCCCAGACGACCTGGCAAAAGTCAAAAACAGCGGAACGGAAGACGAAGAGAAGTAGTCCGTCGAGAAACGCTACGAAAGCGTTGACAAAGATAGGCTTGACTATCACTCAGCTGCGCGAACCCTAAAGTACGGCCCAAAGCTGAGACCTGAATTCTGTTCTGTAACGTGATTTTCTGTATTTTCCCGGTCGCTTGGTCAATTTCTCCGTCTTCTTCGCAAGAGTTTCAGTGGCACAGCTCTTGACCGCTCGGCGATGGAACCCAGCTCACGGCAAACTGCATCGGAGACTGTCAGGACGGCAAACGTTGAAACAAACACTTCAAGTAAACCTGAATGACGAAGTCGCGTTTAGGAACTAGATATGCGGATTGCTACTCCAATCCTAGACTCGAAGTCCCAAAGCTGCCCACACAATACCCAAGCCGCATGTCATCCACGCAGAATTCCCTCCATCTCTTATCCTCGGGGCGGCACCTGCGAACATCATCACCGGTGTAGCAGCCGCGCTCGTGTTCACTCCGAGGAGCGAGAAAGTCTCGGGTTCTCGGCTGGAAAGACTCGTAATTAGAGCGGTTGGCCCTGAGACCATAGCGCCCGGTCCACTAATAGCACTAGCCGGTAGCGAGATGAAGCCTTGTGCAGAAATCTGACTACTTGGGGTAGTGGTGGTGATCGTCTGTCCGAGATCTGCTGAGCTGGGGGGGCTTTGGGGTGAAGCTGGTTTCGAGGCTGTGATCAACGTCCGTGGTAGGCGTTCTGAGGATGGAATCGGGGTTGAGACGGTCCCCGCCTCCTCCGTTGGTTTCGGCGCCGAAGCGTTCGCTTGAGATGGTGATGGTAGTGTTGCAGCATTGGAATCTGGCACCAGAATACTGGAGGGGCTGGTTGGGACGGACAAGGGTTCCTTCTCGGCCGGGGTTGTGATGGCTGGGATCAGTAATGAAGGGGCTGTTGGGACTGCGACGAGAGGAATGACGGACTCGCTCTTCAATGGAGGAAGCACTGGAGAGGACAACGGTGTTAATGGAAGTGCCGTAGCATCGGAGCTGGTAACACTAGACTCACTACCGATCTAACCCCAAGATGCCATGCAAATAAACACCCCGACGCTGAAGATTGATATCACTACCGATCATTTTGAGCCTTTCATTTAAATTTTAGCCCTCTACCATTCAAGTCTGTCAATATTACCACTCACGAATCAATCGACAACCCCCTGCCGCTCTCAATCCACCTCAAAACCTCTGGTCTCAGACACTGAAACAGAAAATCCTCAAGCCTCGGCCTACTCTGTATCCAAATAGCATACATATCATACTGCCTCGACTTCGGATCCTGCACAGTCGCCAAAAGATGCTTCAGCACTTTACGCGCTTCGTCGGCCATGGTGCCGCCTTCGATAACTCGTAAAAACCAAAGAAAGAAACCTCAAGTTGAATAAACAAAAACTTAAAAAATCCCCTACTAACACCCCCCAGAAATTTAGACGCATAGCATATACATATATATGTCCTAGGGCGGCGAAACAGAGACTAGGCAGAGCGTCCGCTTCGGAACTTGAGTCCTTGCTGACAAGCAAGCCGATTTGCTAGATTTGCTTGCTTGCTTGTTTATAAACAAGCAACCCAAGCCGAATCTAGAGCTGAAATTAAGCAAGCAAACAAACCGCGGAGATCAGATTTACTTGTTATTTGGTGTTATACCACTCCAATGTGCACACCCTCCGACCCCCTCTGCTCACGTGGCCCTGCGCCGCTGTAGCTGAGGTCGGCTCAGGCCCGGCTCGGCCTCAGCTTAGGTCTGCTCACCCTTGCTCATCCGCTACGGCGCAGTCTCACATGCATCCACCAGAAATATCAAGTTCTAGCGAGGGATCTCAAATCTGTCCCCGGGTCATACCATTTTGTAGGCCTCAGAAGCTCTAGCTCCTTTCCAGGGAGGATTCTCTGCCCCTGTCCTTACTAGTATAGAGTGTGCCAATCTACAACAATGACTGACCTCCGTCTCACCTTCTCGTCTCTTCTCTCGTGTCTCCTTTTTCATTTCCCATACAGTGGGAACCCTATACAGCGGCCTGTCCCAATAAGATCCTCAACTTTCCGAGATAAACCCCTTTTCCCATGCTTCTACTGACACCAATCTCATCAGCTACATAACACAGCACGACATACCTCGCGCACCCACTCTCCTAACTTCCTCGCTGAGCTCCTCAGTGTCAGCCGAAACCTGCAGGTCTAAACCTCGGGACGGCGACACCTTCGCCCGCAACTTTTCGAGCTCCATTCTGGCCCATTTCGCAACAGGGACGTAACTCGCATTCGGAAGATCTGTCTCATAATCCTTTAGCACCACCTCAATATCAGCCTGCCGCGCTGAATCTTCTGTCGCCGCCCACGCGGCACAAAGCGCTTGAGTGATGAAACTAGCTCCAAGCGGTCGGAACGGTGCTGCTTTCCGAGCGAGACTTACGAGTTCATCGGCAAAGAAGAGCGATGCTTCATGAAGTTCGTACAGTTGGGCGTTTGGTGGGTTAAACGCGCGGAGGATGTAGTTGAGGAGGGTGGTCAATTGGATCATGATGCCGTAGGCAACCTGATGGCGGAATAGCAATTTCAAGTAGTCTAGTGTCGGTAAGTTCTGTGGAACTTCCTTGGGAGAATCAGGAGATTCTATTTCGGCTAGGCACTGCTTAATCCGCAGTATGTCGATTCGTATATCTCGATATGCGACTTCGATGCCGAAACGATTCGGTCCGGGGTTTCGAATGTACTCTGCAATTTTAGCCAGAGAGTGTAGCTTCAAGGTTTGAAACATTGAGGCGTCATCGGACGTGCTTGATCGAGCCGGTCCGTATGCCTCTGCGAACCTTTGGAACCATGGACCGAGTCGGACCTTAGGGTTTGTAATACTGTCGATTATCTGAGGGTATGCGTGAGTCTTGTTGTTTGTAATCGTTTCTAGTCTGAAAAACCGTACCACAATCATACTTGAAATGAGAATCATAGCGATATCAAAGGGATCAGACCAATCTTGCTTTGATGCCACGGCGTTCAAGATGTGAGACAACCCTTCGTAGTGGTCGCCGTGTTTGGACTGATGTCGGCCTATCCAGTCCTGTGATCAACCCAATTAGTCTTGTGGTATTGATAATAACAGAAGAGTCTTGCATACCTGACATATTATCAGGAGCCACACGGCACATAAAGTGTCCGACGTTGCCTGTTTTGTCGGACCCTGCAAATATAATCTCAATGCCTTCATAGCGTTGCCATACTGGGCTTGAGCTTCAAGTTGTTTCTGTCGTGTATGCATCGAAGAGAAAGCACTTGCAGATTTTAACGTCATCTATCACCGACTGTCTTTCTCGAACTACTTTCTCTAAATTCCACAAAAGTATCTTTCCCATTCATTGTATCTCTTAAGACATAGTAGAATCTCTTGTCACTGTCGGACAGGGAGTCAGAGTTCCTGCATGCCTTTTTTCACTCTATAAGTCCCACCTCTTCAGCTTCTTCTGCAACACTCGATACACCCAATGTTGATCTATATTAAACCGTCTCCGACTCAGAATAATACATCCGACTCGAAAACATCATCTCCGTCCTCCCAACATCAAATACAGCAAGCATACTTCTCAAAAAGAGACTACCTAATATACCACCTCTAGTAGCATTTCCGTTCTGAATACCGCTGGAACAGCCCCTCTCATCAACATCCGCACTAAGAATCAATTCTTTCTATTGATACCAAACAGCTGGCCGCCAATTTCAACGCTTATATCAGGAGCCGTGGCGTTACATTGGGCAATAGAACCGCCTTTGGTCTTGTTGTAAACGGCCGGCGGATCGAATAGCGCGTTGATTGCTTCTGCTTGCTCTTGCGGAACAATGTTGGGTACGGTACCAGTGTCGACTAGATACTGCCCTTTTCCTGCGCCAGCTGCGGCACCGGTGAAATTGAGGCCGTCCACTGGGATGTAGTATTCAGAATACTCGGTACTGCCCTCTTCTCTCTCGATCGGAACTGTGGCTTCGGGGCCGTTTGTCGCGTTGATCTGAGCGTCATTTGGATCCGGTATGCCACCCAGAGTCATGATACCTCCAGTTTCCTTGCTTCGACTCATTGCGAAAGCGAAGATAGGCTTTGTGAGGTTTCGCTGGAAAATGGTGGAAAGGAGTGGTCTGTAATGCAGCAGATTGCAGTTCTTACTCGTGGCCTTAAGGGAATCGATGCAGGGGATATCTTTCGAAGGATCGACACCAGGGTATATCGTAGTTATACTCTGATATGCTAAGCCTATGAGACCACTCCACGGTCCATCATACGACGACTTTGCGTACGTCGCGAGACTCAATTGTTGATAGTCAACTTGCAAACCACCGAATGTCACATTCCCGACCCCGTGGATACCATTCATAACATCCCCGATCACGTAACTGATGTTTGCGTGAACATCCGGAATTGCCATGAAGGACGACGGGTCTGGTGTGTATTTGGGTCCTCTGTAGCCGCATTCACTCGATGGGATGGGGTCCCCGGTTTGTGGGTCGGCACATTGGGTGGAAGGGGTCATAAACCATATGTTGGAGGATCCGGTGTCTAGTACTGCATTGAGAGTGTGGTTTCCAATGCGAATAGACGCAGAGAAATTATCGATCCAGACTTTCTTGGGCGGATTGAGGGGGATGATGTACGGAGAGATTTGGTATTTGTTCGTGGGCGAGCGAGGGATGATGGCCGGCTTAGCTATTGTCTGCGAGATGGAGATGCTTCCTAGTAGGAAGAGTTTGAGAAGAGGCGAAAACATTGTGAAGATATATGGGCGAAAAGAAAGATGAGGTTTTGACGGACAGAGTGATTGTATTTAGTATTAACTGCGTGCGAGACTCGACTTTATATTCTCCCTTCCCCGACTGCACCTGCGTTGATCTTGCGATTGCAAGTCATATCCCTCCAGCGATGAGGTAACAACTTGCACAGAAATGTCCCAAACAAGGCGGAATAGCCAGCCATCAGCGTGCTAATGACACATGTGTCGTAAGCCTCGTCGTTATTCGAAGTGTCCGAAAGGTCGAGTTCATATGCACATCGAACTTGCTTACTCACATCCGCGCCATGTTCAGAGGCTCTTGGCCAACATCGCTCAAATAGGCAATAGGCAGCGCTTTCCACGTCATCCGGCTAGACCGGTATAGGTCTAGCCGCTTACCTTGCGCTCCTGAACCGCAGCTTCACCACAGCCACTTACAACGAACAACATCGATCATGCTGTTTAGTTCCCATGCATGTTGTTGATCAGATTCCTATAACCAGGTTTTAAGGTTTAAACTATTGAACGAGGCGTACTCGTAGGCGGAATTACGTCGTCTGCAATGAATTCGGTTCTTCAATGCGCTCGTGGCGTACTCTTTTTCAATGGCGGCTGAATCATAGCATTTCTCACTTACTGTAGCTTTATAAACTTTTCGTCCACTTTGGGGAAACCATCGCGCTGTACAATGCCTGCAGGACCCTCTAGTCGTGGCTGCGAGGCTTGCCGCAAGCAGAAGAAGTAAATTATCTAAGACAGCACTCTGTTATGCTCAATATGCTAATCCGAGATAGGAAATGTGATCAACAAAAGCCATCGTGTTCAAGATGTCTTCGTCTCAAAATCGTATGCAGCGGCAATGGTCAGCAGAGATTCAAATTCCAGGAACAGAATTCGATCTTTCCACCCACATCGAATCAACTAGCGCAGGGATTTGAGTCCAAGGCACTAGTCATCTTACCAACTTTAACCTCCGCAGGCGTGTCAGCCACCAACGCCTTTGTTGCCTCACTCCGTGTGGAAAGCCCGGGTTTTGATCTTAGCTGCTTTGGGGGGGCGATGTTTCCGCAGATCCCGCGGCGTCTGGGTCAGAACGACGCTTTAGATGCGTCTGTAATGGCATTGACCACTGGTCTCTTGACTTCAACCAAGCTCATTTCACTTATAATAATGCAAAGAAACTCTCAGTTCTGCACATGTGGTCATGAAAGTCGCAGGAACTCTTCTCCAAGCTTTGTGTTGTCAAAACCCCACAATTACTTCACTCTCCGCCGTCAGCATATCGAAGGCGGCCGGGGGGGAACGCCAGCGGTTGAATCGTATGGGTACATCCACTACGTTTCCAATTCGTCAACTCCATAAATCCATCAATGTGTATATGCGGGAATATGATACAACATTTTTTTTCCACGCTCCCGTTGCGGTTAGTCAGTCCCGCCGCTTTTGCGCAGGCGCGAATCAACCTCCCTTCACCCACCGCTCACGCTCTTCACCCTCCGCTCAGGTGCCTCTGCTCTTTTCCTACGATGGACCAATCATGCCAGCCGGGGACCAGCTGTCGTGTTGTATCTTTTTCGTCAACTTTAGACGAGGTGCGTGGGTGTCCAGTTTTGGGACCCAGGGGCGCCGAAACGGGAACCCTCCGAGATCATATGCGCACACAACGGCGAGGTCAGACCCTTCGCCCTCGGAGCATGTTGAAGACGAGGGTTTCCTCCTTAAGAGATGCTCCGCCGCCTCGTCACCCTATAAAAAACCTCCCCCCTCCTCCCGTCTTTTTCTATTCCTCTCCCCATATTACCTGGTCTTACTCCAAATCCCAGAGTTCCGTCACTGCAGCAAGCTCCTTCTCTCCCATTTATTTCCTTTTAGTTCTTGGTTATCCTCAACTCTTTTGCTCACGTTATTATCCTTGCCTTCTCAATGCAGAAGCAGAACTCAGCCGAGCTCTCAGCCGAGCTCTTCTTTGAGCGAGCTCTTGCGAAAGGCTCTGATAATAACAAGGACAGCGTTAATGGAGAAGAAGTCAAAAAGAAACTTCAGGACGCAACGGAGTATGGTCATCGTCGGGCCTTAGCGCTATGGCATCAGTAGGTTGATTAATCGGTACCTAAAACGAGGCCCTTTTCTGACGCTTTCGTTCCTATAGGTATCAGAAGAAGCATCCTAATGCTTCTCCAGAAGATATAGAGGCATCGAAAGATTTTGTAAGGTGCATTGCACATGGGGTTGACGGTCGCTATGGCGATCCTTTGGCATGCATGAACACCGTTGTCCAAATGTATAAGAACTTCACAGGTGGCTGGCAGCGGGCGAAGCACCCGAAGATAGACGAGAGAGTCACTCTTTCTACCTCGAACGTGAGCCACCACGGGTACCGACAGTTTTCACCACAAGGCCACTGTCACTGATGATATCTAGTATATCAAGTACGTGCTGACACCAGAACTCGGGCTTCCTCGGAAAAAGCGAGAGAGATGCTACGCGACTATGATCCACCTCGTTCATCTGGGTACGCAGCTGTGGAAAAACGACTGGCATAAGTATGAAAGGCCAGGAGTCAGAATAGAGCTGTGGGCAGAAATCCAGCTCCATGCATTCACTTCAGCTAGGGTAGGTGAATATCTTGAATCAACATGCCGCGCAGGTTCTGGCCGAGGCCTATACTATCGAGTAAGTGCTCTTGGTCATTGCTAGCTAACGCGCACTGTGCTCTAAATTACAATGAACAGGACATCGCCTTTGGAGTCTTCCGAAACGAATACGGAATGGCGGAATTTGCGATGCAAGTCGTGAAGGATGCTAAGGGTATGACGTTCACGCCTAATAGGAGGTCAGTGTTGACTACTCACGTGTCTCGCGTCCCTCGGGGAGGCTAATCACGAACAGGCCAGAACATTCTCTGCACGAAGGGCTAGAGCCTCGGCCACTGTTTTGGAGTCCCATCCTCACGCACCTCGCTATGTTCGTTGGGAAGGGGGCATTCCGAGATCATAAAACTATGGATGAGCTTCTGGATATCGAGCCTCCAGAAGACGAGATGTTCTGTCTTGAGTGGGACCCACGCGTGCTTAACACTCCCCTCTACCAGCGAGACGATGGCACAATTAATTCAGCCGGCGTCTTCAGCCAGCGCAATCGAAATTTGGGCTTCCGCGCCGGATACGCTCGACCACCTACAATTCATGACTTTAGGGCCGAGGGCCTACATCTCATCGGTATGTTCCCTCGTGTACCACTTTTCACGAGTTTTCCGTTAAATGAACATACACGCAGACAAGCTCTACTCATCGACTCAGAGGATGCAACATGGCGGACACACTGGCGATGACGCGTACGGCAATTTCTATGCGCCTCGAAACCCCGAAACGGACGGTCAAAACAGCTACCTCGGCGACAAGCCGCGCACCATTGTCAACGATATGTTCCGTGCCATGACCCTGTCTCGCAATCCGGAGCTGTGGCAGTCCTTGCCAGCGGAAAAGCAGCACGAGCTTGAGAACAGCCCGGAGTTTATCGCTATCGAAGAGGAACTGGAACAGTCCTCTTATGAGCTCAAAGACGACCCGGCGGCTAGAGATCGCCGAAAGGAGCTACACGCGCAGAAAAGAAAGCTTGTATCTGAGGAGCTCCGCAGATGCCAGAAGCTTCAGCCAAAGAAACTGCCCTCTAAGATACAGAAGGCCGAGCAGATGGGACACCACCGTACTCAATTTTCCCGGACTAGTCATCTGATGCCTCAACGCCGACGCCTGGCGGAGGATCTCTTCGCCATCGCTACCATCCGCAGCGAAAGAGGACGTGCAGTCCTTGGTGATATGATTGATCTCTATCAGCAGGACACTGAAGTAGCCTTCTGTCCAGGCTTGGAGCTAGAGAAGTGTGGCTGTGCGGCAGAGCGCAGTCAGCAGATAGACCGGTTTGTCATCCCACCCACCTTCCAAGCGTGACACGCAATGTCGACGGCTAACTTGATAATCTGAACCAGTAAACCAGCCCCGCAGAGATAGAAACACATATACAGCTGCTACAAGAAGCGACTTAGGACGAGCTATAAATTCGCGGAGCTGTGTTTTCCCTGCAGCGAATGGATCACCAGCGAGAAGGAATGGATAGACCATTGCCAAGCCCACCTGGACAAGCCTGAAGGGATTCCAACTCAATGTAATCCTTTCAGCTATGGTGGATGCCTGGCCTCCCCTAGATACTGCCCTTTCTGTCTCGGCGATACTGCGCTTCCCGCCACTTCTCTGATGCGTCAATTCCTTGACCGACCCGAATGGCAAGACCATGTTGAGCAACATATTGAAAAACTAGAAGACAGCAAAGCACCGACCTGTCCACATCTACGGGCGCTATGCACCATAGCATTCGAATCGGTGCAGGGACTGAAATTTCATCTTCAGGACGTTCATTGCTACGAGGCCAGAAGATTCAAACGGTCTAGCCCAGAGAACGAAGTAGATCACAGGCCTTGCAAAACTAGGATCTCAGGTGACACTAAACGCGACGATCTAAATCTGGAGATCACAGAGTATAAGTTTGTGGATGAAGCGGTCAAATTTTCGGGCGGGGAGGCATCCAGGAAGTCGACTACTTCCTCGATTAGCTCAAAGGGTTCGACCCCGTCGATTGGACTGGAATACTGCACCGGCCGAACGCGGTTCCGGGACGCCGCCTTCATCTACCTGCAACGATGAACTCGACAAGATCGATCCGAAACTTCTCGCAGAAGCGACGCCCCCATCTATCGGGTTAAGCGCCGTGGACGTCACCGGGCTTGACGAAGAAACGATTACGCCCCTGGACCTCGAGAATCCCCCAAGGATAAGATTACAACTCAGAGTACGTCTCAAAGGAAATGACTGTTTCTATCGCGCCTGACCATATAGATAACCCTCCAGCCATGAGAGGCATGTACGATAAGGACTATTCTCCGACCCTCCGAGTCTACGATACTTGGCTCGATGGGGCGTCCTTGGGCCCTGAGTTACCGTCCGGTCTCGAAGGTAGGCCCGTCCAAGTTATGCTGCTTTATCTGTCGAGAAATTCGAGGAACTCTTCGCTGACAGCACACCGCACAAGCAGTCCTCGCGCCCACCACCGGGAAAGATTCTCCTCCTTCCGATCTGCAGAACAACAGCATGGTTCCACTAAAAGACTGCGGAGACGACAACATTGGGGGATCAAGAGTTCAACAGCAGGACCTATCTCACCCGTCGGCGGCCTCCCTACAGGCCGTTCGCGAAGAACTAGTCGACGCAGAGTTGGAGGATGACCAGTATTTCGTTGAGCGATTTCTCGGGAAGCGAGTACGCCGGGTCAGAAGGCGCAAGATTGCTGAGTATCTCGTCAAGAGTGGAAAGGATACACGGAGGAGGAAAGCACCTGGGAGAATGAGGCGGACATACACGAGGATCTGATTAAGGAATACGAGAGCAGAAGCGTCTCGGCATCTTAAGATGGTTTAGGCTGAGGATTATCTGTTGAAGGAGTTGTTGAACCATACATATTCTTAAGTTAGACCAACGCTCTTCGGTATTACTTCATTTCACCATTTTTTGAGATCAGCTTGAGAATTCCAATAGGACCGTCATAGATGTCTCCTTCTTGATACCAAGCGCCGCTTCGAAGCTCGAGTTGTTTTCCAAGGGTGTCAGACATCTCAGAACCTATGCTCGCGCTAGAAAGATTCGCTTTCGTTGGATGAAGAGTGCTTCTGAGAGGTCTTCTTGGTAGCTTCCTTATCTTCCAGTGGAGTCTTCAGCTCTTGAGCAGACTTCATTTTGATGTCCCTATTTTCCACCTGGACTCCGCCCTTGCTGCTGTTGGGACCTTCTTGGCCTCCCTCGTGCAGTAAGGTAGCTTCAGACTCTCCAGATGGCCTTAAGTGAAGAGTGAATTCGGGCACGCAAGAGTCATAGATCGAGGGTGACCGAATTGGAAGTAAACGCGGTGTTGCCGGGCACATTCTGAGTAGTTATTTCGGGTGGTGATTTCGGATTCCAACCTTGCATGCAGTTAAGCCAACTGAAATAGACCCGTTTGTGAGAAAAAGCTTGATGAGTAAGGGAACAGTGCTGGTTGGCTTTGCTGGGCGTCGGGAAAGGGAAAGATCAGGTAGCTTCGACGGATAAGTATTATTTATTCCTCAAGAGGGCACAAAAGGTGGCCCGATTGAGGGCCTTCCCATCGCCACGAGACATTGTTCTTGTCCCCCTAGTGGCCGCTTCTGGGTCCAGCAGGAGCAAACGTGGGTATCCCATTCCCAGACCCTTTTTGCCAATCGCTTAAGAACATGAGGTCTGGAACAAAGAGACCGACCAAATACAGCAACCCAGTCTGAGCAAAAGCGCTACATCATTGCTCCGCTTCCCGATCGTTCCAAACCACAAGCTGGCGACAAAAACACCTCCATCTTATCACCGTCCGCTTCGTCTGCCGCTGAAAGTCAGCTAGAGCAGTCCTTGACTACGAGTTCATGTCGTAGTGCTGTACGTAGCAGTCTGTTCCTGGCCAAGGCGCCAAGCACAAGCCTAGCATAAGAAGGAAGAATTCACTGCAAGACAATCCTGAGAAAGTCTGGACATGTGGTAGTGGACTTTTGCTATGTTTCGGGTAATGACAGCTCCAACACGATGGTCAACTGCACAGCCAGAGTAGATGAAGCGAAGCTGAATACCTGACTTGTCATCTGGATCTTACGCAGACACACAACTGCTAGGCTGTTAACTAAAATTCGTTTGGGGTGCCGCCACCCCACGCAAGAAAAAGTATAGCACTGATATTGTACATGCGCTGCAGAATAAGCATCTTTGCATATCGTGCTCCACAAGCTCAGAAGGCCTCAATTATTGGCTGGAACTCATTGGACTGGCTCAGGTTTGCTGTGTCGATATGATGAGTACGCGGGCTTGCCCGAACCACACTCAGGTTGAAATTGATGTGAACTCTGATTTCTATAGACGTCTAGCTAGTTGTATATATA